GTGGGTTGAAAGGTAGCCAGTCCGCCACTGGCAAGAGGATTAGTAAGAGTTTTGTCTGTATCAACGGATCCCTTTTCTTTGAACGATGTTGAACAGCAAGTTTTCAAAACTTCTTGTATTTCAAGAACATGCGTAGTTTTGAAACTATTGTCACTGTCTTTTCGCAAGAATACTACATCACAAGATAATAACAAAAATTACCAATTTTTAAAAGTGTGATAGCGGAAAACAGTCAAATTAGGTTACATCGCGTGCTTTTGGGCTTTCACCCCCTATATCTAAAAAACGTCCCCCTAAACGCCAAAGCAACGTCCGGATTCGTAATCTACACAAAAAATCGAGTCAGGAAAAGTTAGTCTGGTTAATTGCCAGCTCAGGTGATAATGCTCCCCCTCTCACCTCTGGTCTATCAGAGATTTCACAAATTTTACTCCAAGGAGAACAGACTTAGTTCGTCAATTTGAAGGTCATAGCTTCTCCAAACACATTTTCAAAATAGGGCGTTTTCCGAATTCTTAAGGGTTTGGTCAGCTATCATGGAATTTTAATGTATGCCACCACGAAGTTATTCAATGTATGCCACCCCTCTCTTCCGTAGCAACGTCCCTGCACCTTTTGCAAAAGAGTACCGAAGTGCGACCTAACCAAAAATATATTTTTAGAATTTCTAAAATTTGGCCGCATAATCTGAAAGAACAGCATAAGATACTTCTCATTGCACAAAATAAAAGGGACTTTCTCCCCATATATGACTCACCCCTATGACATCCATGGAAATCTTTAGGAATTACAGAAATTCCTATAAGGCCCCTTGGCGAAAGAAGCTATTTCTTGAGCAAATAATGGCAAAAACTATACGTCATTACGGCATCTTTGTGGATACTTTACCAGGGGCGAGTTGATATTAAATAGAAGGGACTTTCTCCCCCGTTTACTAACAATTGATTTTGATCCTTGAACAGATTTCCTAGATATGTTCCAAACTGATCGAGATATGGCCAATAAAGTTATGAACCAAGACCAAATCACAGGGGTTTGATTATCCAAGAGCCTGTCCTTTATCTGGCCATATCTAAGCTAATTGTGATGCCTTTAACTGATTTTGCATATTTACAAGTATTTCATGAGGCTCTTTTATGTTCTGGGATCAAAATTCAGAAATTTTAAAAATAGATTTTTATGACGTCGTCACTTCGGTTACTGTAGTTACCCAGCAAAGGCAAACAGTTATGCAACCTAAAAAGATTTCCTGGATGTACTTTGGGATTTGCAGGGGTAGAGGGTCGGAGAGATATTTAGAAATGAGTTCGACATTTTGTCAGATACTTTTAATATTGTTCTGGTTGCTTTAATAAGTTCTTACAAACGTGGAATAGTTAAATGTATGGCTACACTCTCTTGATCAACTGAAAATGAATCCTTGTTGTTTCATGCAATTTCTGTGAAATGAATTTTAAAATATATCATTAGGAAGCAAGTTGGTATGGTAGTCAAAAAATGGATTTAAAGTAGGCGATAAAAGTCGAGGAACTACTTCATCCTTTAATAGGACCATAGAATTCTCTGAGAGATACAGGGAGTTACAAACAGCCTAGAATATTTTATTGTTAATAACGTATTTTGAATCCATTTTCAAGATGTAATTTTTGTTAATACAGCTCAGTTTGAAAGATATGCAAATCGAGTCTATTGCCATGTATAATTTTCTTTAACGTGAAATATAAAAATTAGTGAACTGAATTTGAATAGTTCAATCATCAGTTCAGTCAGATTAATCATCTATAAGCTAGCTTATTTGAATTAAAAATAATTGATAACATTTTACGAAGAAAGTTGAAATGAATCACGTTTTTATCCTAACAAATTTTCCAAAAACTTACATGCACCTTTATTTGGTTTTGAGCAGTTGAAATAAATTGATTTTCAAAAAGAGTTATGAAATGATTTCTTTGATGATGACCAAGTAAATGAATTTAAATTGTACCGACAGGCAAGAAAGGGCAGGGAAGATTTGGTCTGAGGGGAAGGGGACCAAGCAAATACCCGAATACAGAAATAACCCTATTTTTCGTACTAAACACAGAAATAACCCCATTTTTCGATCAGTGTTGGTAGATTATTTTGGGGCTTCAAGCCAAATCAATGTTTGAAAAAAGACATGGTGTATAGGGAGCAGCAACAAAGCAACAGGGGAGCAAACAGAAAATTTTAGGCTTAGCCGTTTTCGCTATCAGAATATTTACTCTTTCCTCGACATTTTATCATTGGATTTAGAAAAAGTACGAAGTCAGTCCATACGACACAACCTCCTTCAAGTCCCCCTCCCCCCCCCCCCCCCCCCTCCCCCGCGGTCATTAAACCCTGCTTCAACAGGCAGAAAGAATGAAGAACAAAGGGAAAACCACGTAGCAATCGGATAAGGTGGACAAAATCACAGATGTTCAACGAAGTGTCAAAATCGAGGGGCGAATCACTCTTGAAAATGGTGTACGAGATTAACTTCACTAGTGATCACGAGTGATTAACTTGTGAATAAATCAATTTTGTGTGTGATTAATTTGATTTTATTGATAAAAGTGATTAATTTTTTTTAGAAACTGAATCATAGATTCAAAAGAGCTCTTAAATAATTTCATGTTAAATAAACGTCGTCAACGATTTTGCAACATACTATATAAAATTGAAAAGGAAAAACTAGCAGTTCAGCACAGGGGTGGATCCAGAAAAAAAATGGCCGTTTGAAAATGACCGAGATTTGCAAACGAAAAAGGTGAGAAAGTTTAATAGCATTAACAACTAAATACAGAGATATATTTTCTGAACAGCAGCATAAGCAAAATATTAAATCAGTATTATAGGTTGGTGACAGTAGCCTGAAGTGAAAAACAGTGAAAAGTTGTTGATCACTTTGAATGAGACAAGACAAGAACAAGACAATACACCAGACTTTTTTCTGTAGGCCATCAACTTTCGTCATAAGAATTTGAATTTGCATCAAAAGAGCTATCTTTCCTGAACATTAGCAATAGCAACATGGAATTAAATAGCCTGGAATGAAAAACATTGAACAGTTGTTGAAAACCTTGTGAAAGACATTAAGACAAATGCATGTGCTCTGTTCTCTGCCCTCGCAAGTGATGTCGCTATTGGGAAATTAGGCCTGGTTCAAACGTCGCGCTTCTCATGTGCCGAATCTAACTCGAGAATTAAGTACATGAGGGGCGCGACATTTGAATCAATTTGGTACGACAGATTGAGTTAGGAGCGGCAGACTAGTTTGGATCGGCAGAGCTTGCCGAGCTGCACGACTCCAGCACGGTTTCAAGCGTCGAACTTGTCATGCACCGAACTCAATGCATGATTATATTTAATTTATTTTCCTTACCAGAATTCATTTCTTTCTTGGAGGGCGCATGCGTTTCAAACAAATATTTGAGATTGCGCATCTTAACCAAGATACTTCATGTAACAATCCTAAAACCCAATTGGCGCGACATAATTAAGTTCGACGTTTGAAACGGGAGTCGCGCTAAACATGCTCAAGTGCCGCGCCAAACAGAGTTAGGTTCGCACATGGGAAGTGCGACGTTTGAACCAGGCCTAAAACTGTCATTCCTAAAACTTTCACCGATGTCAAAAATTACAAGTTCCAGGAATATGGAACTTGATTATCAAACTTTATCTGTGGAAATTACAAGATCCTGACATAAACTCTTTCCCATAAATGACACAAGTGCAACTGCGAAATTCGGAACTGTCTGGATCATGTACTCGTGGGAAAAAGCCAAAATTAAGCCAAAAATGACTTTAAGCCAAAAGGAATTTCTGAAGCCAAACAAGTTCGAAAAAAGCCAAATTTCTGGGTTTTCGACCACTTTCAACGATTTTCTTCTAAGGTCTTCATAAAGCAAGTGCTTAAAATTCAAATACACTCTTTTTTTTATAAGAACAATTTCATAAGAACACAACCCTCAAACTGGTCAAAAGTTAAGAACAAATTAAGAACAAGCTGAGGCTGAGCTTCTGCAAAATGCAATTTTGAACAACGTTTTTTCTGAAAATCGAGGATTTTTAGCGATGTGTGGGTGCCTTTTCGGCGAATATTCAAATTTGTCAGCAAATCGAGGCTGTTTTACTCACTTTATTGGCAAATGAGGCCTAAACACCTCCTTAGAGCAAAAAAGCTAGCAATAGCACTGCTTACACCCTCTCAATTTAAAATAAATTAAGAACAATCCAGCCTCAGATTTTCGAAAAAATTAAGAACAGTCAGCCTGAACTTAAATTTACTGGTTCTTATAAAAAAAGGGTGTAATCGCTGAAGGAAATTTTTAATTAAAGAGAAAATGGCAATTGAATGGCAATTTAGTCATCGAAAAAGATTCACATATCATAGCCATGGTCTGGTCGAAGACCGGATGCATGACGCCCTGCATTTCTTCCCACTTGTGGCGAGCCGAGATATTTAAAAATTTAATTACAGAATGAATCCTCCTTGGCACGCTACCCTTGAAGCTTCCTATTTGGTGCATGTTTAAAATCAAGTTCCAGTTCAGAGAGTTCAATGTAAGCTGGAATTTCGGGCATGGACCAACGAAAGCCACGTAACAAAGCTTTTGCAGAAGGCTCATTTGTTTTGCCAGAAGTGGAGGGCAATGCCTGCCCAATCCCTGCCGTCGGGGGCACTTTTATATCAGTGGCAATTATAGAAAAATGCAGTTAAGTTGGTTAACCCAACATTGATTCATTAAACCCTTTTAGAGTCACTGCCGTGCCAATTGGTCATTGCCTAGTGTTAACGCTTAGCTTTGAGCAGTTGTTGGAGTCTAGACTCTTTTATTTAAAATATCACGGACAATTTCAAAAGCTCTCTAGTGTGTTTTGAAGTTTCTATTTAACGATCTCATTTTAATCTCTTCCCGCCCCGTGAACTTTCTCAGAATTTTCCTCAAGGTCGCCAAGGTAACTGGCGTTTCAAAGAGGATTCTTGAGGGAAGTTTCCAGGTTGGGACGTTATTTTGACTGCGGAGGAGCATGGTACCTCGGATATACGAAACTCAAGGTGAAGGGAAGTATGTTTGGCAGATATTTTTGAAACTGTATACACCACGTTGTATAATGAAATAAAGTCAGTTATGAATAACGATGACATCGAGCTAAAGACACTTCCACTTCATAGTAAAACAGAATTATCCACGCAGACGTCAAAAGTTCTGAACAGGAAAGGCAAAGCTGGCGAAGGGCCTAAATCTGGTAAGGTCAACAACAAGGCCGAAAGAGGTGAAATTATAGGCCAAGTAGATCAATCTGGTAAATCAGTTATAGGTCTGAACAGTAAAAAGTTAAAAAAAGTAGACGAGAATATGAATACGTCGAAGAAAACGGAGAAAAAGACTGGTCTTCGCGATTGGTTCATGGGCAAGTCAACCAAAACACAGAAAACCAAAGTCATGCAACGAACAGATAAAATGATGGGAGGCCCAATTATGGAACGACTACAGAAGCAAAGTGCATATCTTAGTGCTACTTTACAGGAAGAAGAATCTTTGGAGGGTGCTAGGTCTACTGGCAGTGCCAGTCCAGACCACGAGCAACTCAATTACGAGGATTTCGTACACAAAAAACATTTACTGCAGTTTCACTCTAGACCAACATTTTGCGATGTCTGTGATGATTTTATTTGGGGCATGTACAGATCTGCGATAAGATGTAAATGTAAGTCATATCCAAGTTCAGGGCTTAAACTATCAGAAGTGAGATTGATAAATCATCAATACTGTTTAATCTGCTCTGTGTATTCTTGTGGTTGACGACGTTGGTATGACTCTTATATAAGCCTCTCCTGATAAAGTTATTTCTCTGAATTATTTTCATTGTTTCAGCTTCACATATTGGTAAATAAGTGGAAGTTGAGTCGACGTTACCATTTAAGTTTGGATATTATCTTAAAAGTTAATATTTTTAGTTGTGTATCAATTGGATAAAGTTGAAATACGTTGAGTGTTTCAATAAACAGCGCTGGAAATTTGAATGGAATGCTGTAGAAAGAGCCAGAGCTGGGATTCAGACCCTTTTAGGGCACTCTAAATAGCTCAGATTCTTAAAGGCAGCTAGAGCTAAAACTTCAAATATTTTTAAACCTACTGGCTGTCTGGGCCAAATTCCTCACATTTTTACTTGACCACATTTATCAAACTAACAAAAAAGTAGTAATCTAAATTTTAGTTATCCCCCAGACAAATCTGTTAAAGATTGGTTACTTCTTAATTTGATGCCCTGCAGCCAAACAAAATGACATATGAGTTTGGAAGTCATCCATTGAAAACCAACTTGATAAAATGTGTTTTAATTATTCATGTAATATGTGGCTTCTATGTAGTCCAAGGTGCTAGAAACTCATAAACTGGTGGGATATTTAGTTGCATCATTAAATCAGCTGTTCATGAATATTTAACCTAAGCTCATTACTCAGATTTACCATTTGTTGGGAAACATTTTTCAGTCATCAAAAATATATATAAATACAGGTTATCAACTTATCTATAACCTTTGTAATGAAAGTAGAACTATATTTCTATAGGAAATTGTTTTCAAAAATTTTCGTTTAAGAATGCAAATGATAGATGAATTGAGAGACTAAATTCATTGACTGTATGTTGTTAGTTGCTATGTAAAAATGAAAACTCATCTGAAGCTGACAAGATGAATCACTTATCACAGCCAAAATTGATGATATTTTTTAAAGCAAGGATTTGAAGAATTTTTTCATTGTTTGTTAAAGAATAAAAACAATTTGTTATATATTTCTAATTATTTATAATGGAGAGAAGTTTTCTAAGTGGCAGGTACTTGAGAGTTAGTGGTGTCACCTGCTATCAAATAATGAAAGCTTAGGTAGACAGGTAGATGCATTCATTAAGGATCAATTTTAGTACCATAATATATATAATAATAATAGTATATGATAATATAATGAATCTTTATACAGAATATACATTTCAACATGAAAATGCTGTTATCAATATGTGTCCCGTAAAAAAAGAAAAAAAAGATAAAAACATATAAAGAAAATTTTTATAAAACCTAGCAGTAATTACAACACTTAAAAGATCCATACTTATAATATCACAATTTTCAACTAAAATGCTTCTTTAACAGTCTCTTATATTGCTTAAAAGATTTCAGTTTCTAAGATTGATTGGTTGTACAGCTTTGCACCCATAAAATGGAACAACTTCCTAGCATATTCTGTTTTGATGCCTAATTAAGCCTAATTAAACATAAAATTAATATAGAGGTTGAAGGAGGGGGAAGAGGTGAGAAGTTGCATAGGACCTACTGAAATAGAAAATATTTTGAGTCCGATTTTTAGAATGTTTTAACATGCTTTTGCAAAATATATTTTCTCTTTCTATGCATCTTTTTTATATCCAGGAATAAAAAGGAAGATATTTCTTATGAATTGATTACATAGAGATTTCTGAACAATGAAGCAATTTGCTGGGCTATTGCTTATAAGTAGTATTAACTCTCTTTTACCAATAGGCAATTATATCCACAATGTTCAGTCAAAATATTCTTATGAATTTTATTTCCAAAAAATTAAGGAACATGCCTCTCATGTTGCTTTTTAAGTTTCTTCAACAGCTTAAGGTTTGGCACTATTATTTTAAAAGTTTCATTCTTTATGTCTTGATTTTTAATTTAGTATCGAAGGTATTTCAGTAGATCACAAATGAAGTACTATGCATAACTTGGGACACCTCAGCTATACACTCCTATGATATAATTTACATAAGATTCTGAAATCTCATTATACCTCTTAAACTGGATGAGTCAAACATAATGAAGGATTTTTCCACATTTTCCTTCAATTTCTCTTGTCCTTTGACTTATCTGCAATTGTACGAATGAATTAGTATAGGCTTGAAACCCAGACATGTTTACAGCTCAGACATGTTAAGTAGACAGAATGAAGCAGTGCTTCAACATGTTGGCTTCTCTCTTAGATTGCAAGTTCACTTGTCATTATCGGTGTCATATTGAGATAGATGTTCACTGTCCTAAGGCACCAGTGAAAGAGAAATCATTAGAAGACATAACCAAGGAAACACTGGAGTTTTTGGTAGATATTTTCATTTGCCTTGTTATAAGCACAAATCATTGAAAATCTCAAATAGTCTCACTAGCTATCAAGTTATAGATAGTTGATTATGACAGGTAGTCAACTGTTTTAAAAATTGAAAAACAAGCTGCCAGAGCTCTACAATTTCAGTCTAATTCAATTTAAGTCTTCAAATCGTAATAATTTAATGAGATCCAGTATAATCTTAAAAAATAATTCTTGAAATATGATTTTATTTTTTCTTTTGCATTTACTTTATTTCACTGTCTTTGTGTTCAAGTAGTGAAAATTTTTACCCTTTGAGCTTGAACAGATTATCAATTTCTCTACAATGTGTCTTAAGAGTTAACTAATAGCTTTAGCACTTTTCAGTTGTTTAATCTTCCTGCTTTTTTTTAGAATGCTAAAGATGGAAAGAAAGAGGCTGTTGAAGAAGAGGCGCATGTCACTCTTCCAAAAAATATTGCTTCAGTTTCAGAATTGAGGCTGATGATCGAAAATTATAATAAATCATCAAATTTGATAATGATATTGGTAAGAATTTCACAGTTTTTATAAAGTTTCTTAACAGTATGTTTTAAGCCGCTTTCGGTTTATTGAAATTCATTTTATTTCTAGCAAATTAGTGCAATTAGGGTCTTAAGGCTCTTATAGTTCAAATCTCCTAAACGAAAGTTTTAAAATATATATATAATTAATAAAGAATTTCATATCGCAGCTCACATTAGATGCTAACATAGAAATTCTCATACTTATGGGAGTTGTGGCATTCATTTTTATTTTATTCAATTGTAATGTACTGTATGAATGCCAGTCAATATAAATTTTCATATATTCAGTCAGTAATCCCGACAAGTTTTTAATTGTTTTCATTCCTGTAGAAAGCATTAAAAACATAGAATGAATGAAGAAAGAAGGTATTAAAACAGAACCAAAAACTCCTGGGCATAATTTATTGTGCTTGTGAATAAAATTGAATAAGCAGAATAGAAACGTGTGAAGGAAATTCAGAATAGCCTGTTGGTGTTAAACAAACAAATAAAAACAGATGGATTTTGACAGGAAAACAAATGGACCATCTTATCCAGTATTTGGATGTTAGGAAATTAACAGTGGAAAAAATCAGAGTCAGAAAAACAGTAACGACATAAAAACAAAATAGAGGCAAATGATTCACTCGGTTGTTGAGGGAAACGGGACTTGCTTAAAGGGTTGTTTTGTTTACTGCAACTTGGTTGTTAATTCTTGTTCCTGCCTGTGGCAATTGAGGGATAACTTTCTTTCTCTGTATTAGAGAGCTATTTTTGATTTCACTGTAGTACTAGCTGCCACGAAACATTTATATTTAAAGTCTAGACAATTGTGTAAGTCTTATGTCATAATGTACGAAAAGTGGTAAGCAAAGCATTAAGGGCGGATGTTGGAGACCTTATTATCTGTCCCAAAAACGCTTGTTAACGTTTAATGGGAACACAAGTTCTTTTTGTGACCTTTCAAGTCTAACGCATTTTTCGTGAGACACACGCATTTCGATCTTTCCTCACGCCCACACGCAGAACTCTCCCACATTCTGCAAAAATGTTCTTGGTTTGATAAAATGTTTCCAAATCACTCCAAAAACCCGCTTTCCTAACTAGGCCAAGCGCAACTACTGTATAAAAAGGTGTCTGTAACGGGTGTTTACTCAAAATGGGCGATTCTTAAGAACTGGAAAAAGCGTGGAAAATTATTAATATTCCGGAAGGAAGGTTTTGTAAATGATTATTTATAATTGCTGTTCGTAAAGTAATGAAAGGTGAAATTTGCTTTGGGATGCAAGAATCTTCACTTTTAGTGTCGATGTTTTTTACCACCACACTTTCCTGATTTGTCCAATTTGTCTTATTATACAAAAATTTAATCTCAGCCAGACACAAAGGAAGACAAAAGTTAATGATCTTTATAAATGGCACATTAAACTTTGCATTCAAGTTTTTATCTTGAAATATCACTCTTGGTTCGTCATTTGGTTCGTAATGCATTCACTCTTGATTTGTCATGCTTGAAAAAGGCCCCTGTTGATCTAGATTGAGTCAAATGGTCCTTGGTTGAATTTTGAAAAGCTTTCAACGGTGCTCAGTCAGAAGCCCTGATTACACTACAACTTTCAACCTGGGTTAACGCTAACCTGGGTTGAACCCCGGTTGAACCCACTTTCGTTCACACCGCATTGACTACAAAGTATAGTGTAAACGCAAAGTTGGGTTGAACCCAGGTTAGTTTCGCCATGCATGCGCTTCATTGTGAATTGCGATCATTGGCATCTTTCAAATTAATGGACGACAAAAATGAGAATTTGATGCGGGGAGTGAATTCACTGTGGTGTGGTACCAATGTATTCACCTTCCCCCTGCATTCTTCTTGCAATCTTTTCGCATATAGACCGTTATCTGGTTCAAGAATCTAGATGTTGCTTGATCCATTCGTCCGCCTATACTTCGATTAATGTCATGACTTCATTGTCACCCCCACAGTGAACCTCTCTCGGTCTTTATTCACTCTTTTTCAAAAAATGTTGCTTTGAATTGAAATCATATTATTGTATCAAGAGGCGTCGCATTATTGTTTTAGCAAGATGATGGCGTATTTCAAGGGTATATTCAAGTGGTCATGTGCCTGAATCGGCCCGTAAACATCCATGCAGACACTTCAGATTTGACAATGAAGAAGGCGCTGCTTAGGAGCAATTCTCGGCGATCGACAAGGCATAAATCAGTCGTTGCAGTAAACAGGGCTGCAAGTGTAAAATCATCGGAAGGTTTGGACAGAACGGCAACGATGCCGTCTAGTATCGCATCATCTGTTAATGCACAAGATGGAGAAGAAACAATAAAGAAGGAAAGGGTGAGGACCGTAAATTATGTAGCAGGGTAGCAGATTTAAATCCTCAGCCTGATTTTGCAAGATATGTCATTTCTGGATATCATGCAAGATACGTTGCTGAAGTGTCGCTATTTTATGTGTCAAACATTGTGTGTACAAGCCTCTAAACTCCTTTTTTAAATTGATATTTCATTCCTATGATAGAAATACATATAAGTATATCGTAGGCGTAAGTATTCTTACTAGTTTGTGTGTTACAATATGTCTCAATTTGCGAGAAATCTGAAACGATTTCAGCTGGATCTTCTCAAAGCATCATAAACGTGACGTCAGACCCTTTCGTAATTAATATAGCTCAGTTTTATTTCGTAGCAAGACAGCATTTGTTTTCGTTTTTGGGTAAAAGCCTACGTTTTACGGTATAATGCATATTTTTTTCAGTGATAAATTTTTATTTCATTGTCAGCAGCGGCCACGAGGACGATCAAGCTTTTATATATCGCAAAACACGAAAAAGCCACTGCATATTACAAGCACTACAACAGCTTACGAGGTTAGCTATAACATTTCTTTAAGGCTGCATGGTTAAAAGATTTGCAGTTCATCTACATAAAAATGAAGAAATGCTACCATTTTGTATACAAAATGAGTTCGTTTTCACCTTTCGGTTCAGTTGTGTCATTTTATACAGGTAGGCTGCACTGATTTGGCAACCTTTAAAGTCATTTGCTTGCGTTTTTGATCAGCCTGTTACAATCCACAACTGGGTATATGTATTTCCTAGCTTAGAGTTTTCCATCTATGTCTTGACATTTTATACATTGAGTTGTGTGAGACGAGAAGTTCAATTGTTCTTCAAAAAAATTGCTTTTTCAAAGCTTTTTCAAATTTTACGTCATTGAGAATTTTTCGCAAAAGTTATGCAATTGGTTTAATAGATTAAAACTTTGCTTAAGTTTTCAGATCTTGAATTTTCAGGTACTATTCATGGAAAATTTATAAAAACAATCTTTTCGGTGTTGTATCGAGTTTTTGACTTTCTGATCAGACAAGAGTGCATTTAAACAGTATAATTTTATTTCTTTATATTTATATAAGGCCTGTAGGCCGAAATGGCCCATCGCCTACACAATTACAAGTTAACATAACTACCTTCATGAAAATTAACAATAAATCTCAAATTACAGCAAGCGGTTAATACAAGATAAGAAAATGTGAACATGATTATAAGCTATACGGTAAACGTTACATAGATATGCACATAACGGAATTCCCGAAATATTCCCGTGATTCGGAAGCCATGGATATAAAATTATCTATTTATATCAGACAATCCCTATCTTCTCGACTCAACAACCAAATAAACTTATCACAAAGGTCAAGGGATGAGATTATGGGAAATTTTGAATAAATCACAGATAACATAGAATTCCTAGCAGACACGTAAAGGGGACAAACTAATAAAAGATGAATTTCGTCCTCCACAGCCGTTATGTTTAAAGACTGACAATGCGGACATTTTCTGTCAGCCAAAGGAATAGGATTTTTCCCATATCTACCAGTTTCGATTCCAAGATTATGAGAACGGAGACGTAGTTTTGCAAAGTTAGTTCTTTTCTTTTTGCTAAGTACCAAGTCTAAGTAATTCTCAAACTTAAAAACAGTTCTGAAAGATGCATATGTACAGAGCTTTTTATTGAGAATGATTTACTCCTTTAGATTTTTCATAACTTTTGACCTAAACTGGGATAACACTTTCGATTTCACGGTAGAATTATTATCGGTTGCATGTTTGTCATAAAGAGTCATCAGGGAACGGGCAATACTGACCCAATTTGAAACACCGGAATCAGCATCATTTATTAGCATTTGAAGAGCTCTGTTTGCATATCTTGAAGAATCAAGATTAACTAATCAAACGAATATAAACTTTAAAATATTAATAGGTCTATGTTCAAGCAACGAACAACGTCCCAGCTCTGCATAAACCCCAAGAGACATTGTAGAGCCTTAAACACCTAGGGTTGACTTGCAAGCTATTCGATGAAATTTTTCAAGGTATTCCCAAGTACCAGATCCCCATACTTCAGTGGCATAACTGAGGATAGGAATTAGGAAGTATAGTACTGTCAAATAAAAATAAGAAGAGTCTTGGATTGAAATCATCCCATTCATTGTATAAACCAGCAGTCTTGGACAATTGCAGTAAAAAGGTTGTCTCCCCCGCTTAGGACCTGTGGTCTCCTAAAGGGACAGTGGACATTTCCAGAAATGCACATTTGGTCGCCCAGCGGATACCTTGTGTAACGATAGGCGTTCCGCAGACAAGACGTAAAATTTGAAAAATAATAGCCGGTGTATCTTACAAACTTGACCTTACTAAAATAGCATACATGTAAAGTATTTCTGTTCATACAAACTTGACTGAACAACAGAATGTAAAAAGTATCTCTTTTTGCCGGGATTGATGAAAGATGCTGCTACTTAGATGAGGATTTTAACACGGCAGCCAGTAGCCATAGATTATTAAGGCCTAAATCTCCAATGGAACATTATAAAGTTCAATGTGATGGTAAACCTGGTTTTCAATTAATACAAGCTACTCCTTTTTTAGGTTATCGAAGCTCTGCTAGACAAGTACCGCGTAACGGACAATCCACAAAAATTTGCGCTTTATGAAAGAACGGAAGAAAATGATTGCAGTACGCATTTGGTTCTAAATATGTTAAATATTTGCAGATTTTCATTCGTTTTTATTTTGATATAACTTGACAATGCTATGCCTAGCCTGGACGGTTAGGCCAGCTCATTGCTTGTGATGGCGAGGTTCTTGGTTGGAGCCCACTTTATCGACCATTCGTGGGAATTACCACCGCTGTCGTTTCAAGGGGATTTTGGCCTATGGCTTTGACATTGCTTGGGAGAGTTGCGATGGACTTACGTGCTAACTGGCAATTACCCAGTAGTTCTGTAGTAGTTCTGTATTCTTTTTGTATAGAAAATTCAAACTGTCAATATTATTTTTTCCCTGACGTCACCTCACATCACCATTCTTTACTGCATGTTTTTTATTCAAGCAAGGGTTGGTTTTACTCTTGCATTAATTTTTATCTTGCCAAATTCCTTCCTTTTTTGTTGGCTGTTTTGTCTTTTTGGTTTTTGAATAGTAATTTAAACTTCAGAAATGAGGTAGCAAAATCGTGAAATCACTCGCAAAGTCAGTGTTTTCATATTTTAGTTTGTTTCTACCTGTAAAGTCTCTTTTTTGTTTATTCTCATATTTATTCATCTTCTATTTTAGTTCGTGTACGGAAGATTGACGCTGACGAGCATCCTTTAGTCCTAAGTTTATTGTGGGGGGACGCGCGCTCGACAAAAGAGTTTTCACTGCAAGAAAACGAACGGGGCGATATAATTGTGAGTTGATTTCATAATTTTACCTTCCTGTTTAATTTCTTTAAAGATAGATATGCTGCAGGCTAAAAACAAGCAGTTGAAAGAGGTGACGGGGGACCCTGAAGAGGAAGCTCTGTCTACAGTGCCTCTATTTGAAATATGATGTCATTCTCGTTTGCTGTGTTTTGTTTATTGTTTACTAATTGAGTACCCTGAACTTACACCTATTCCGTTCAACTTGTTTGTTTTCGTTGGTTTAATGTTCTGTTCTGTTGGCTTTATTGTGATTTTTTAACAGGATTTTCAGTCTGTATGCACCAATATCAACTCTAAGCATGGCCTTTTCTGCAGTTGGCTGTACAAAACTGGCCATGTAACTTTTGCATCCGACTCTTGCGGCCGACATTTGCATCCGACTTTTGCCTATACATAGTGCGAATTACAGTGTTGTATACTTGCCTATAGAATATAGCTTGACTATCAATATGTGGAGAATTTCCGTGGGTTTTGTTCTCGTTGTTTTAACGATTTCTAAATCGTGTAAGACACTGCGATTTATTTACTTCTTTTAGACATTTTGTCTCTATTTTCTAGTGGGATGCATTTGAAATACCCGAGCTAAAAAATTTTCTTGTATTTTTAAATCGAGAAGAAGAAGACATGATTAACAAGGCAAGTATACTACCTTTTTCCTCTCTTTATTACTGCAGGATATATTTCTATACATTGATACCTGCAGTCTTTTTTAGTTGTATAATCATTCTTGTATTGCACATAACACCGTGTGTCCCATCGTGATTTCTAGACTTTCTATTTATGAGAATGGAAACTAACCCAACTGTTATTAAAGTACAGCATACGGGAACGCGCCTTCCTAGAGTGCCTAAAGTGTCTAAGTGGTTTGAGCTCTTGACAGATGTCTTGAAGGTTGTGGGCTAAAATTCAAGCTTCACCCATACTTTGCACGCTTTTCTCGTGTCTACTTGACACCCTTTAAGCCGCTAGATGCATCGTTAAGAATGCTAAAGTCAGCAAGGAAATGAACTGTCCACTTAAGCCAATTGTTCCCTACTGGTCACTTTAGCTAATACACTTTCGTTATGATGCGAGTAGTATATAGAACTCGCTTTTTTGTTTCCTGTACTCTTTATTTTGATCTTGCCGTTAAAAACTTCTATACATGACAAACATTTTACTATATTATGAAGGTGCGATGACTACCTGAGAAATTCAAGGTTTTCTCTCTAATAAGGACACTGTCTCACATATCATATTGTGATATTCGTTGATCCTTTTTCCGGTAGGGTTAGGGGAGCTTTAGAACTTTAGCCTTCTCAGACCCAGTAAGCTTTTCGCTTTCACCCTGCTATAGCGTCCTACTCAAGCGTGTACTCAAATCCATTCGACATGGAATAGTCTAAGGCACAAATCACATTTTGCTGAGATAAGCCTTGCTTAATTTCTTATCTTTGCTTTCGGTAGAATGAAACTTCGGCTTTTTGCCACGAGGATTTTAATCTGTAGGACACAAAGGCTGTTTGCAACCAATTCTGATTTAGATTATTGCTTCTTTAATTTGACCTTCTAGAATCTGTGCATTACCGCAGAAGTTTAGTATGGGAGCGTATCACCTCCTTGTTTGACGTTTAGGTTTTAATCGTATTATGATGCATACATGAAGTAATTTAGAGTCTATGATTATCGTTTGCTTGATGGACACCAAAATGATTATTTTGTGGCCAAAAAACGGGTTTTGCTTGGGGAGGATCTATTCTTGTCTCAATTATGTCTTCGATTTGAAAAATGTATACTAAAGATCAAACTTATTACCCAAAGTCTAGATTAATTCACATCATTAGAAGGCCCTGTTCTCCTTACTCCGTTTTCATATGTCTCATTTTCATATATCTTGAACCGTCCTTGTTACTCCGACCCACTCCGTTTTCATTATTTTTCAATTTTTTTTCTTTTCAGGTTAGAAAAAAGTATGAAGAGCAGAAGAAACTTTATCAGCAGGCACTGGACTTTAAAGCTGAAAACAGCACAGAATCGGACTGCTAAGCTGAATGTTGTAGATAAAAGAAGTTGTATTTTTACGTCTAGGTTAATTTAGATCGTAATATAGGCTGTACATAAAAGATAACCAACGGGTTAACATATCTCCAAAGTGAGAAAAATTTCTAATCAAAACCTGCCACTAATGTCTATTCCCACTATGAATGTCAAAGGAGTCAAGTGTATATAGCTTCTATACTGAAAACCGTCGTGTATGAAAGTTGTAATGCGAGCATGCATTTCTTGGCTACTTCTGAAGAGTCTGCAATAGGCTTTTAAACAAGCCGTCTATGTCAGTAAAATATGAACATAAATTTTCAATAAATGATTAGGTGATCCAAACTACACAGAAAAGCTTCATACTTGAGCTAAATCTAAAGACTTTCAAAATCCCCTTTTAATTTTTTTAGAATTTATATCCCTTTCAGTAGTTCCTCGGAAACATAGATCGGACCTTTCTCCTGAATAATCTACGTTGATGCTGAAAAACGTTTCAAAGCCCGCTTTAACTTGAACGCGCTGTTAGCTCGTGCTGTTAGTTAGCTTTATCAACCATTGCTATTCAAAAGCAATCCAAACTTAAATGACTTTTCTAAATTTCAACATAGCAAACCAACCCTTTTTGCTAAGTGTTTCTTCGACAGGGTGTAGCACTTATGGGCTCGTTGAGCTGAGGGGGCTTGTTGAGTTTCCAAGAACCTCTCCTTCCTATCCATATAATTACCTGCTTCTTCTTTAGGTTTGATTGGAAGGATTTTCCTTGTCTAAGCGACTTCTTGGACAAGCTTGGTAAAACTTAGCATATAAGCATCCACACCAAATATGGAATTTCCTATAGAGAAAGTGGGTGCAGCTACTGGTAAAACAAGATATTTTCTTATTGCCACTGTGTTTTTTTGCTTTGCATCCTGCAACTAAACTACGTTTAGATTACATTAATTGCTTGTTGATGTGGGACTTTAAAGAACTTGTTTCAGGATTGCTTAAAAATTAGCAAACGTTTTGTAAAAAAATCTCTCTCAAACACTGTCATTTCATTTCAATAAACTTAGGAACTCCCGTGAAGGATAAAGGCAGATGTTACCCGAAAGCAAATTACTTCCTGAATATCTCGTACACCTATCGTGCAAATGAGATTGAAGGATATAATGTTGAAGTACCAAAACAGATGAAGTCCCAAAAATAAACAGATATAAAAAGTTTTCCAAAGAGGACGTCAGAAAAATAAATTCCGAAATATTTTTAAATTTGACCATGCAACTTGCAAACGTCATTTAATACTTCTAGATATGCAAAATCAGTTAAATGTTTTCCAAATTGACAGAGGTTGCATGAGCACAGGCTCTCTCATTCGATGAATCACTGTCATTTTGTTTTGGTTCAAAACTTTATGAACCAAGCCAAAATGACATCAATCTGTTAGCAAACTTGAAATTTCTGTTTGTATATATCTCATCATTTTTTTCTTCATTCAGGTTATGTACCCAGTGATTCAATATTCTAAAAAATATAATTTTTATCATTTAATGCCAGGTACTTTATGCAGGTTGACCTCGGATGCGTTCTAGAAGAATGCCCTGAAATTTCCAAAAATGCCACCATTTCTTCAAAATGGATTTTTGTGAACTCAAGGTGTAACGCTTCGTCATCTTAAATTCAATGGTTTGCTATATGTCAAGTATAAGAAGTTTTTTTGCAAGGATTCGTATGCAAGCCACCTGTCAAGTTTTGTCATTTTGATTATCCCGATATGCACGAATTGCGTCCCTGATGGTCACACCATCGCTCAGTAACAGAATGATTATGTGGAAGAGTACAGAATAAGGTACTTCAAGGTATATTTTAATATAAGGTACAATTGACAGCCACATTCAAATGTCGACAGTAGACTGTTAAAGAGAAGTGAAAATGTCTCAAAGTTTGTTTTCCAAGCAATAACTTCAACAGCTAAAAAACACTGATTATTTACATGCCACATTCTCTCAAGTTTCTAAATCGAATTTTCACCCCATTCCCAATAAATGGGAAAATTTTTGCAACAGGGTAGCGAGGTGCGACAACATCAAAAAATTATTTTTTCAGAATTTCTTAATTTTGACCACATAATCGGAAAGGATGGCATAACAACCTCTCAATTTGCAAAATCAGTAAGATATGTTTGAAACTGGGCGAGATATGGCCAATTAAAGATTTCAAGTTTGCCAGTGGATTACTGTTATTCTAGTCTGATTCAAAAAGTTATGAACTTCCCTATTATTCCATTTTTAGGGGTCATGCTGCTTGAATTTTTTCCTCGTCTTTGTATTTCAAATTTCCTTTAACTTTACTAGCCATTGTACGTCAGAGCTTTATTTGTGAAAGAGTGTATTTCATAATGGTATAAATTCTAAAAATATAATTTTGTGACGTCATTTTTTCGGCACTTTATTTCTGTCATGCTTCCTTCGAATGTTTTATAATACCCTTTAGAATCTTCTAAGAGACATTGTTTAGAAATATGCCCAGTTTTGCCCCCCCCCCAACCCCTTTGACCCAAGGAGCATCTTGGGTCAAAGGGATACTCCCTCCCCCTATTTAATTGCCTACTTAGCATGATTCTATCAAAATAATCGAAAATGATGTATTCAAGCCTCCAAATAAATCGATGACATGTTGGGAGGAATTCCTAAGCACTGTATTCTTGAAGCTGGTGTTGTGATGCTGAAACAATTTAAGTCTTCGCATCCAATCTGCGGTTTCCTATACGATAATCATGATCGCAGAAAGAAAGGAGCTGCAATACCAGACCACTTTTATGGTATTAGCATAAGTAAGATGTTCTTAAAAGAACTGCTAATGCTCTTAGTGGTAACTCTGCTGATTTCGCCGTGACTGTGAACCAAAGTATACGGGACATGCTTTAACGTTATCATTTGCGTTTTTAGCTGCAAGGTTCGAAAATAATAATTAGGGGTTTTAGAATTAGGATATTATGGGTGAATTTTTTTTGAAAAATCAAAATGCAGGGAGGAGGTGGTGTAGTGATGTTTATTTTCGACTCAAGAGTAGCCTTTGATTTTTCTTCATTCAGTTTTTTCTGAAGTGAACGTTTGTTTATGCCGAAAAAAGAAATACGGCTCACCTACATACCAGACTTTCCAATAGCCTTTTTTCGATCCATGCTGCCAAAAATCTGTACTGAGAGTGGGAAGCTGAGATTTGGTATACGACTGCACCGGGGAACTAAGAAAGAGGAGAAAAATACCCTTTCCTGTCACATTTCGGAAAGCACTTTGTAATTTATACTGCCAACAGTAATTGAGCAATCAAGAAAAAGCCACGGAATAAACAAGTAGAATATAAACATGAAACCAATATATTTAACTTCTTGTCATTAGGATACATATCTCAATATATGAAATACAGTTCAGGGACCGCACGTGCAGAAGTAGCGCTTCCAGGGTGATGATGATTCGGGTTAACAGAGGCAAATGCCTTGCAAAAATGATTTTAGTTGGTTTTAATTGCGCAAGGTTGAATTGTTGTCTTGATAGACACAACCCTATTACTGCAGTACCGTTGGTGATTGAAGCACCCAAGGCAAAGATATTATAAATAAGCATAGACAGTACTTGATGCTTACGAAGTGTAAAAAGCCTAAAGCCTTGACTTTATTGAATCTGCTAGGAAGAATATTTGAAAGCCTAATGTTTCAGCACCACCTTCTCTTTCTAGGACACCTACTACTATACAGTAATAAAGATTTCAGGGTTCCAACACACCCCGAAAAAGTCTTTGTGTTTTTTCTGTGTTTAGAATAACCATTCGGTTCAATTACGACAGTTGAATTTTTCACTGTTTGTTTGCTTATGTTGCCACTAGCTCTGAATATATTTGCAAAAGACCATCCTTATTTAAACTGAATTGCAATGTCCATCAATATTTATTTATGCGTAAGTATTTCATATTGGTAAACAGATATACATATTCTTAGAAGGTTATGTTTTAGAGCCGTAGAGACAGCGAGCGTGTGGGAAAAAAGAGAAGGAGAGCCTGCCATTGGACCCTGCAAAGGCTGACTATAGATTACATTAAGATAAAGTTTGTCTCTTTTTTGACGCTGTAATGAGCATTTGAGGCCGCTTTCCCCAATGTAAACTCTCCTCTGCAGCTCAAATAAGTTCCTTTATATAAAGCAATAGCGATAGGTATTTCTTTGACAGAAGTAACTTTTTGCTACAAATAATGTTTTGCTTTGTCTGTGTCTTGAACATCAGAATTAAAGATTTTGTTTATTCAAATAAAACTTTAGGATTATCAAGCAATTTATGCATAGCAGGAAATGCCCTGGGTTATCTTTTATGAATTGATTGATTCATTTAGTTAAAATCTCTAAGAGTCAAATGTCGGTTTGGCAAAGAAACAATAAATCCAGCGATTTCATCATAATTATATTCATCCGAGAAAATGTAGAGATATATTGTTTGTTTGTCGTTTATAGCTCTGGTGAAATTCAATGCTGGCCAATGATAGTAACAAACAGTATTAGATTGAAAATTTTTCGATACGACCAAATGTGGTTAGCAATAAAATTGTTATGTCGGCATTGACTAAGTGAATGCGACTCGAGCTTGTATGAAATAACTAGCTAATCGCCACACAGAATAACTAATAAAAGGGTGGGTCAAGGCATAGGTCACTAAATTTATAAGAATAATTTTTTTTCACAGTACCTAGTCCTTGTCTTTTCTTATACCTAACCACATTACTGTTATGTATTTTTCTCCCCTTATTTCGCTGGGGTCTCCTCCACTGGGGTGAGGCTCGGACCTGTGCGTGTCATTCATCTGCAATGCGAGGCAACCGTGTTATCCAATACGCCAAAGGAGCGAGTATCGATGGTTTTCAGTGTATGTTATGTGGCCACTCAAACTAGTAGCGGAGAGACAGATAGTATATTTATATTCAAGGCAAAAACAAACGTTCAGGATATCTCAAAAGTTTTGTTCATCTCCCCTCTTTAGAGTTTGTGCAGCAGGTCATTCGCTATCGCGACTGCCCCTTATTTCGAACATTTGCCTTCCCCAGATTTTCCTTGCATCCTTTAAATAACATTTTCTTAGAACTGCCATTCAAGTAAAATCATTTAGGAGTCGGCTTTTACGCTTTGAAGGCAAAAAATAGAGTACAACTACAACGGTAAACCCTTCTCTCCGGCTTACTGCCGTAGTACCGCTGTGTTCTCTGGACACTGGAAAATTGCTCGTTTTCTTGAACTTTACGAATTTTCTACAGTAATAGGAAATATATTTATAAGTATCGAATAACATCAATTGTCAATAACACAACAAATAGCGTGAAAATAATTTCCACAACCCCTATCTAAGATCGCATCAAAAATATGTCAAAACTGCAAGTAACGGTTCAGAAAGTGTCCCAACTCGGCGCAAATATTGTTGATTTCCTGAATGTTGCAACCAACAAATTAAAAAGAGCAGAAACTTTGCAAATTGAAAAGTTAATACTGCTGAAAACCGTTTGATGAAATGATAGATAAAAGCAAAGCAAATTGTGCAATTTATATGAAGATCTGAAAACAAGGCCAACAACAGATCATTTTTAAAATGCTATGGAGTACAAAGATTTCTACAACTGTTGGTTTTTCGAACATTTACCGCAAGGTCAGTGATATTATGTAACTGACTCTTAATCTTACTTATTTTTTATATAATCTATATGAAATTTGGCATTAGTGATCTTTTGTTTCATTCAGTTCTTGTTCTTGATGGTTTGGTTCTAGGACAAAACCGGGAAAAAGGGACGAGCTTCCAAAATAATTCATTTACGTTGAATATCAAAAGAGTGTATTTGATGCAACAAAAAATAATTGCATTCTTCACTTACAGCCCTATCATAGAGCTTAAGACGTCAAAATCTTAAATGCAACATAGTCCTTTACATCATGTAGTACAGTAAATATTCGATTACATTCCTGGAGGGCCCTGGAGGAAGATTACAACTATGATGATTTGAAGGGAAACTTATTAGGGAAGGAAGATTGGGGTCCATACTATTTACACATATCATTTACTGTGTTCATTTAGGCCGAAATGAAAGGTTGCGTGTTGTTAATTTTTCCTTTTTTGAGATTTTTTAGCAGTTCATGGTAACAGAAGGTAAAATTGCGTGTTGTTTCCACCGCGTTTAACTCTACACAGGACTTCCTAATGCTAAGCTTAGGACATGTTCTAGTGGAGTTTCCCCTAAAGGTGGGCGTTTGCAGGATTAAATGAACGTCTAAGTTAATACTCCTGAATTCAGCTGATCTCTCAGGCAGTTGACAACGTATTCATTAACCTCTTCTTGGTTCCCTGTGTCAAAAATTCTTTTTGGCAGCCGTACTTTCATTTTGGTGGTTTTTGATTCAACTGACAAATCATTAACTTTCACCGCTTCTATGGTCGGCATATCAGGCTGCTTCAATAATTCAATTTTTATTTTCATTTTGTTATTGTTCCCTGTTATTTCAGCTTCATTCCCATTTGCATCTTGTGAAAGAACCTCATAATTCAATATGATCGGGTCACTTGGATCCAATTTCAATCTCGCAATCCTATCAGTGTGTAGTACATTCCGATAAGGGGTACAAAGGAAATCCCAGCTTTCGCCTACTTTCACTTCTATGTCTGCATCCTGGGAATCTGGGCTTATACCCTCTTTAGAATCATCATCCCTACAATATTCTAATTCAGACTCTCCATACGATATGCCTGCTACGTTATCCTCGCTGTGTTTTCTAGTTCTTTCTGATTCCGGATTTGCAAACACCTTGGTAAACTTTGTCCGAGAACTCGAAATAAACCCTGTTTTACCTGCAACCGACTTCTTCCACCGACTTCTCTCGTATCCCAAAGAATGCGCGACATGATACCTCTGGTAGTTGCTCTGCACAGGTACATCTTTACAAAGGTCTTCAATTATGTCATCTGCAAGGCAAATGAAGTCACAAACGATCTCTTCCATATGCCAGCTCAAGTTATCTTGCTTCCATTGGCCGCTGATTACATCATTCTTTTTTATCATCTTACTCAGGTCCTGGTAATATTTCGCTTATATATTGCTCATGAAAATAATTTCTTGTGCTACAAGTGAGAATCCACTGTCCGTGCAAGACCTGTTTGGCGTGTTTGCAAGCCTTGCGTTCTTGAAAATAAACCAAATTGTCTCTGGTTGCGTCACTTGCAATCTCCGCTGATAAGGCCTGTGTCGAAAAGAGTATCTACCGCAAAATATTTCGTCTGAAATCAATTGATCCCGTGCAAATCAATTAGCCACATGACTTTCATGTACGCATTTGTTCTGCACGAACATCAAACATACGCGCTTTAGCTCATTAAAGTTTAATTTCCACCGACGGGTTTGGATAAAGTCTTCATAATTGAGATATGCGCATTAACTTAAAATGCGTTCTTAACTTGTGTTTATTCTCCCACGGAATTAGGCAGCAAACAATTACCTTGATTGACAACAGTATAGATGCAGCGAAGGCATCGCTCAGGAGCAGCAGTAGCAGCAATCCATCCTTGAACAGGTCTGACGTCCTGAAACAAAATTCAAAATTAATTAGATCCGTTGAGACTGTTTTTCTATATGTTGCTTTGTGGAAATCCCCTGAAATTTTGTTCGCATAAAACTTTCTTTCAAAGTCGTTTCTTTATATTTGATATTTGAATAAGCATCAATTAATTCATCTGCGATCTGTGGTGATATGCTCTTTTGTGAATGTAATAATATAAATATTTCTGAAAACTCGTACTTTTTGTGATTTTGTTTACAAAAGATTCGCTCTATATATTGTTTTCGTAAGCTAATTGTTATGTGCGTAAATTCAATAGCTTGCAAAACTATATGATTATGATTCTAGACGCAGTGATTTGATTTTGTAGAATGAACCCACAACGAGCCTAGGTTACCGTAAATCCTCGGCTGTGGGTCTCCACTTTAACCAGCGCCTCTCCATTACAGAATCAATGAGCTGAATTCTAGTTATCAAGGTTTTTTTCAAACGTTAGCTCGAAGAGCGTGTACTTTTACTGAACCCTCTTTCCCTGTTTTTATGCATCGCCGGTAATGCGTTGAATTTTTCCAAGAAGTTGTGTCTGTGCCTGGGACAAACCCAGACTAATGGACAGGGCTATGTATTTTGAAAAGCATTTACCTCTTGGTTTTATTGCTTTGGGGTGGGGAACCTCTATAGGTTTTCAGGTACGGGGACGTGCCATTTTTTAGGGGTACCTATTTTCCAAAAAAGTGCAAAATAAACGGAATCGCCTTTTTTGAAATATGTGCACAATTATGGGTACTATTTGAAGAAACATGCAAAATTATGGATACAATTTCGGGACAATATTGCAAAATTATTAGGAGCCAATATTTTTCAAAAACTCAAGCCTACGATTTTCCGACAATAAAACATCTTGTATCATATATAATTTTATAAAAATCCATCACGGCCATTAATCTAGTAGCTAGAAGAACAATCCATTGATTATTTCTAAGGTAATTGGTGGTACAAGAGGTCGACATTACACTATTGACAAGTCATTCATGATAACAACATAATTATTGGAACTAAATGTAACCAGTTAATTTTCTTTTTTATCTTTCCTTTCTTTTTTGATGTTACCACATATAGTTTGCTTGATTATTTGGTACTGGCAAATATTGCATCAGGTTATCAGTTACGTTCAAGGAGATCAGGTAAAACGAGATCCAGAATGTACCATGTCTTGTGTTATCAATTCTTCTCTATGGATGCTAGACATAGAGCCACAAAGCAACTGATATAAAGCGATGGGTACCATAGCCGCAAACAGCAGCTCTCATTATTTTTTTGCTGTGCTGTCGTGAAGTTTTTGCAGCTCTGGTACCAAGGGCAGCATTCCATATGAAAAGTATTAGACGCATGTTGAAAATTGCTAATCTGGACAGAATTTCAAATGAAAAAATTAAGAAAAGATCTGAAGAAAAAATTTTTTGTCAAGCTGAAAGCGAGAATACAACTGCATCTTATGGGGCTTATCAAGGATGCACGATGAACTTTTCCAAGAAGTTGTGTGTGAGCCTGGGACAAACCCAAACTAGTGTATTTTGAAAAGTTATGTATTTGAATGCACATGATTTAAATGCTTTGGGAATGGGATACCTTTATAGGTTGTTAGGTACAGGGACGTGCCATTATTTAGTGGTGCCTATTTTCTAAAAAGGGCAAAATTGTCGGCATCACTTTTTGAGATATGTGCAGAATTATTGGTACCAATTGAAGAAACATGCAGAATTATTGGTACAATTTTGGGATATATTGCAAAATTTTTCAAACAATCGGTCTTAGAACCGTACAACGGACCAACTTTTCAGAATTATAGTTTAGTCAGGGGCCGACTGGTTAAAAATATTTGGGACCCCACTAATCCACTAAAGTAATGTCAATCGTTCAGGAGCCGAGTTGCATTAGCCTGTGCTCTTCTAACTTACGGTGGCTTGTAGTAGAGGGATTGTAGTAGAGGGATTGTAGTAGAGTGATTTTAGAGGCTGTCATAACTCCTGCATACCACTGAACCTGTGCCCTATGTTCCAAAAGCAGCTTTGCCATGACAAAGGGATTTGCCAAGAGCGGCTTCTTGTTCATTCTATTCTACTAGATAGTGTGGATTATCAAAAATGGTTCTAAGTTACAGTGTTTACCAAGATTTGAAAAAACTGGACATGTGACTGGTCATTATTTAAATTTGCTACCTGTAAGGGCTATTTGTGCAACATGGAAGCGAGACTATAATCACAACATGTTTTCTCCAAAGATAAAGTAATATGTATGCACCCAGGCCTTAGTAAATGTCTTTCTATACACGCTCTAACACATGTCTGTTATTTGCTAAGGGACGTTACACAAAACCCTAAGTTGAATTGATATTGGGGACATGAAAACCCCTTTTCCCTACAATAATACAATGCATCAGTCCTATCTAAAAGCGTCAAAACCTCAAACAGATTTGAATATGAGATAAAGTATTGGAATCTGTCCTGCAAAAATTGAACCAAAGATTGCAAAAGCAGTTACATAAAGAAACAGAGTGAGGTGGTGAATGTTGGAAAACGTGTGCTTATTGTTACAAGGACATGAGCAAAAGTGACTCCTTCCTTTAACATAGGTATCCTGTCGCTGTGTACGATGAATGCCGGTTTCGCCGGTACTCTTTTTATGCTTTGTAGGCAGGCACGTAAATAATAAGGGGGCGTGGGGGCGTGACGCCGCCCCCCCAAAGGTTGGAAAATCCAATTGCAGTTTGAAAACTTAAAAGTTAACTTGGAATTTTTTCTAACTATTATGACCAAATATGTGAATTTTATAGCTTAGGATTTTGGGATTTTAAATGTAAAAATCTTAAATCTTAAAAATTCAAACTCTGGAGCAGGCACATCTTCTAATCGTTTTTTATTGCGAAGGCCTGTCTCCACTGGATCTCAAATTGCACCATTGAATCGTTTGTCTCCTTTTTGACAGAGGTTAAGTTGAATTAAATTATTTTGAATAGGCAAGATGAATTTCTGGATAAGAAGTTTAAATTTTACCATCAGTATTAATTGAGCCTGAAGTTTTGAAAAATCATTCCCTGTATTGATCAGAACAATTGAAAGTGGGAATTTTTTAAGAAACAACATTGAAAACATTAAAAATCTTTCATTGCTAGAAATTCTCAACGGTTCTTAACGGGTGTATGCTAAGCTCCCATTGCACTTTGTAGACCTCTTTGAATCCTATCATAAATTGCTATGATAATGCTAATGAGAAGCCACAAAACATAGTATTTGATCAAAGAAGAGTGTGTTATCTAATGAATCGGGCACATGCACTTGCCCTCAGATCACCCTTTTCAGTTCCAAAGAACAAAGGACATTTAGCCCTTTGAAAATTGTTAAAATTTTCCTTCAATCGAGAACAAAAGATGAAATGGTAAATTCCTTGATGCTTTTATATTGTTATAAAGATGTTTTATATAAAAATGATCTGCAGCAAGCAGCTTTAAGATGGGCAAAGCAGAAAATAAACAGAATTGCTGTTAATTGAATCGAAAGAATATTACTCTTTATCATTAAACACTAAACATATCCAAGATCTAGACTGGTATGGCTTTGATGTTGCTTTATATCTTACGAAAAGATTAAATGTTCCTGTTACGTTAATCAAAATTTAGAGATTTCCTTTATTTTCTTAAGTGATTTTATGCTTAAGACTAATTAATATAAGTAAAATGTTGGTAATTATACAGAACCTAAAAATCTGGAATAAGGTTATTTCCAAATCAATTTAGTAGATACAAAAGATTAACAGGTCGAAAGAAAAAATCATAAGGTAAAGTTGGAATTTTCAATCTTCCACGATCCCCAAATTGAGCCACTTGTTTACGTCTCTGTTTGTAGGCAGTTTCATAGCATCCGCTACACCCATGGGTAGTTCTACTTCATATTTGAGTTGCTTTTTGGAATTGAAACCGTTATAAAGTTTTCAATATTGACTGATGCGATGATCTTGGAACCTTTCACCTACAGCACCTGGGGACCTGGCGACCTGGCGACCTGGCGACCTGGGGATCTGAGGGCAGAAACGCTGAGCCGCGAAATTTATTTTTTTTGCGACAAATATAGTTATTCTTTGTTAACTTGCTTTTTGGATTTTGCTTTAATTGGAAATGGTGGTGTTATTACGCTGCTAAGTATTAGTTTAGGTGACACGATTTGTAAGATCTTTTCAGTCGCGAAGTGCTTAACTCTTAGGCACGTTGGAGCACTAGAGTACGTGCTGAGGTATCTTCAAGATAGGAGCACAGGGCTCTGATATGCGAAAAAAACAATGGCAAAATTGACAATAGCAGTACACTTTTACCAATTCTACTACAGTGGCGGATTTATTGCCACTATAGGAAGTTGCTTCTCCTTTTTTCGGAAATTGTGCGCCCCTTTTGAAGAATAAGAATCAGATGAAAAAGTTTCTGAGATCGATAGGGTAATTTGCCATTTAGCAACCTTTTTTAATAAGATTTTTTAAACTTACCTTTAACAACCCATGGGCTCCGACAAAGGTTGAAAAGTGGGGGGGGCCAAGGGAAAATTCAACACCCATAACAAAAGATTTTGAAAAAAACTCTATTGTTTTGCAAAACCAATGCCCCCCCCCCCCCCCCCCCCCTTCGTCGGAGGCCCTGCAGGCACTTCAAACGGCCCTTTGAAAGAATTATAATGGAGACCTCACTGAACGAAAATCTGCTTCCTGTATTAGGTATTTGGAAGTTACTACAGCATATATCTTAAAGTTCTATTAAACCATAAAAGATTCCCAAAATCACTAACAAGAAAGCTCTCCTAAAGTTCGCTGATCTGATTAGGAAATAAAAAAAAACATTTCATGATGAAAAATAATTATTTCACTTGGTAAACAACAAAGCAAAGGTCAACAGCGAATCGCACTAAATTAAATTTGGTCCAGATATCTGGGCACTTGGCACAGACCGAGCCATTATATTTATCATTGCTCTTAATAAATGAGGAAATGATGCTACTCAGGGCCTTGGAGTGAATGACATTGGGTCCAGATATCTGGGCACTAGGCCCATAGAAACCTGTCAATGATAATTACTCATCAATATCGTCTCAATTAGAGATCACTTAATTCCAAGAGTCTCGGCGTACATTTGAAAATGGTGAATTCCAACTAAGATACAATTTTGCAAGATACAATAGAACATTTCATCCTTGACAACCACTACTTCTGTCCAGAACTTTCCAGCGCAAGACTTCTTATTCCTAAATACAATTTACCCCAACACACACGACCTGCCCCCCCCCCCCGTAGAGGGGTGGCCCCGCACAAAAGAGGCTCCCACCAAAAAGAGGGTGTGGGGTGCTCCCACGCAGAGGCTGCGAGAACCACGCCCTCTGCCATCACAAAATTCTTCCTCAAAAAGATGTGCAAAAATCACTCGCGCTCCTACGCGATTTTTACTCGCACGACTGTCACAGGCGCTAGAGGGCGGGGAGCCTCTTCCTTCCCTGTCTTCTGCTCCCCGGCGCCACATTTTGCAAATTTTGCTCCCCTTTTGAAGAATGAGAATCAGATGAAAAAGACTCTAAGGCTAATTTACTTCAAGGATTACCTCAAAGTATACATCAATTATTGTGATAATTTCCTTACAAAGTGAATGGAGAGCCTTCTGTCAGTAGTTAAAGTCTAAAGTTGTTGTTTACAGCGTACACTCGTCACCAATTTCTAAACATTTTTCAGCGCCCCCACTAGCAACTGACCCTCCTTCAAATTTGCTCTGGACCCAAGGATTAATTTAAGGTGCAGTGATGACCAATCTGTGCAGTGATGAATCGAAAATGTGCAGTGATGAATTGAAAAATGCGCAGTGATGAATTACTACACTTTAGAAATTCTCCAAATACTACTGATTTGGATTTTTTTAGAATAAAGACAAATTAATACAAACTTTAATCAAGAGTCAAATAAGATAATAGAATCAACCTACGTGTGAAACTCAACTAAAACCAGCTTTAACAAAAAAATACTACACAGTTAATCACAAACGCACTTTATAATGCAAAAAGTGTTTTTAAGAAAATATAAATAATACTGGAAAAGAAATAGATAAAAAGAAAAGTGCAATAAATCCTGTTATTGCGAAGATTCCAAGAAATAAGCCGAGGTTTGTGGGGTCTTATAAAGTAATTATGTAACTTATTTTAAGACTGGAATTAATCAAATGTAATAAAAGCATGTTTAAAATGATTGCAAGAAAATAACTGCTAGAAATATTCTGAAATATATTTTAAGATATTCTAAGGGGCGTGGTCACAAAATTTTCTGCTCGCTCCGCTCGCAGCTAAGCTTCTTCTTTCAGATTATCCTAAGGCCTCCGACAACCTGGGATTTCTTGCATTGCATGGCCAAAAAGACCCAATGCCACTACCACCATCAAATGACGGCCTGTTTCTCTTCTTTTGTATGAAATACAATACGCTACAATTATCGTAGTGAATACCATTTCTATCTTTCTATCTTTGTTTTATATTTAGATAAAATTTTTTTTTGGTTTCGGTATCCATAAAGCTAGCCAGGTATAGGTTTGAAAGATTAGTAGCAGTTGCAAATTTGTATTATATAAACAAACCTCATATTACATAAAAAGTATGTAATATACAGCAAGGCTGTGTTTTGGACAGTTCTTAGAACATTGAAATATGTAACATGATTAGAGATCAAGTCTCTAAAAACAGCATTTTATGAAAAGAAACAGCTAGAAACAGTTGATTTGCCTTTTAAGGATCAATCAATAACTTACAAACACAGTGAGTGATTACATTCCACTCCATTTCTCCCATTTACAAAGAAATAAAATATTGACTCCATAGGGTGAAAATGTAGAAAAAATTTCCTGTTATCAGGTTTGCTACTCTGTTTTCTTTTTGCCAAGTTTGATATGTTCTGGTAAGATTTATACATAATCAGTAGCAGCTGTAGTTAGGCCAAATTACACTGAAAACATCGCTGAAAACAATGTAAACATTGTTGGTCCGTCCAAAAGAGGTCCAGTGAAAACTTAGCCACACCCTTAGCCACACCCTATTGGCCCCAAAAATCTGCGTTTTACGCTGTTTTGTGCAGTGATGAAAATTCCTTAAATTTATGCCTGCTGGATCCGGTCCTGATAAGAACCCCAACAGCAATAGCCACACCGACATTCTGGTCATGAATTTCTGAAAGGTCTTTGATTAAGTGGATCATGGTATGCGTGATTCCCAAACGGTATTTTTATGTAGCAGTTTGGGGAGAATGTACAAATGGCACTTGGTGTAATGCAAGGCCCAGCTCTGTTCTTGTGCCATGTAAATGTCATCCTAAAATAGCTCAACCAAGCTTGCGAATTATTCGCAGATAATTCATTAATGTAGTGAAGTATTGTGAAGTATGGAGTTTCATTTTATAAATGCTGAGTTGCAAGGTACATACAAAACAACTACCTTATTATATGCTCAAACAATTTAACATTCGATGTCGACATTGAGGTGCTAATAAAAATAATTGCTGGCCTATCTGGGGGTAAGGAGGCGGCCGCTTCCAAACGTTTTTCAGGCAGTTTTTTGCAAATCATTAAAATCTGAAGGGAAAATTGGGAGCCTAAAAAACGTCCTCAGAGCAACTACGTTTCAAACCTTTCCGGGGGAGGTCTCCCGGATCCCCTTAGCAAGAAGGCATTAACAGGGCAATGCCTACCCCTCTCTATCAAATATCCTTTCTACGACTTTAAAAAATACCGCTAAAATTGTTTAATGTGGTCTCATACATAAACAATATAAACATCAACAACAGGGTATACATTTGTTTCATACAGCATTTGGCTCCAAATCTGTGTGTGGTTATATAGAAATCCTCTTTTGTAAGTTTAATGTTAAATATTTGATGCGTATTTAGGGTAAATCAATTCCAATCTGACTTATTTATAGCTTTGAACAATAACTTGATGCCCAGAGTGTACATGAAATGGTTAATGAAAGTAAACTGAAACAACAAATGTTGACCATAAGAAAATGATTTGGAACAAAGAAGCCAGTTGTTGATGTTGATCACATGGATTACGTTTTCTTATCATAGAAACGAGACTAAACTAATATGGTTCTCAATTGGTAGAAAGGAAGAAATTGTTTGAAAGAGAACAATTTCCCTGTTTCTGAGGCTCCCAATTTTTCTGGATGAATAAAGATAATTTGCAATGTAAGTATACATTTGAAATAAAAAACTTTATTTTGTTTACCTCTTTGCTTTGCAGGTGCTGTCAATGTATTCATGGCGAACAAATGAATCTTGTGTTATAGACTGTTGATGGTTTCGAGGATGTGAAGGACATAGGCGTCTGACTGGTAAAAATTGTCACAAACAGCATTTGTTACAGCATTTGTGATTTGAGAAAAGATAGCTTGATAGCATGCTGTTATGAATTTCTAACTGGTACGATATTAGTCCTGGGTCCTGGCCTGCCAACTTAGTTAGTCGGACTAGTCCCCCAAAAGCTGAAAGATTTTATACTAACACTATAATTTAATTTTGACTTTATCGCTAAATAAAAGGTAGAGTATCGTTCATTACTTATCCAGATGACATCATTCCTGAGACTTTTTTTATTGCCATTTGACCGAACAATGAATTAATAAAAAGTGGATTAAATTTTTGTTTGACATTATCAGTAGAAAGCCATCTGCTAGTACTGATGATATTTATATTCTAAGGCCTTTTTCAGCCTTTCTTCAGCCTTTCTTCAGCCTTTCTTCAGCCTTTCTTCTCCCTTTTTCAGCCTTTCTTCAGCCTTTCTTCAGCCTTTCTTCAATGGTAAAAATTTTGTCCTGAAAAATTTCCAGTGTATATAAATTTTTTTCTAAGGTCTGCAATGTAGCATGAATTTTTTTTGAACATCAAATTAGTTTTTTCACTGTTGAGCATTGTGCTGTACCCAATGAGGTGTATAGAATACGCTAGAGGGATAACTCTGTAGGGAGGCAGTGAGGCCTATCAATTTCCGCATTGCACGGCAAGAAGTGACTCACAGTGTATGGCGTTCTATTGCATCTCGGTATTAGGATTGTTGTTTCGTGCGTTTCTTTTTGGTCTAAGAATTGACAGACTGATAAGAAAAGACATTCTTATAAAAGGGTTGGAAGTAAACGGCTCCCGCCAGTATTTCTACGGATATAAGTGGGGATGGATCAATTTTACTTCACCGGTTTGTTGACGATTAGGCCTATCCTTACCATTAGGTTCTTCAATATATTGTCGCTTTTCTGTAAAATGTATACATTTTTTCTTAAATTTTATTTCTTTGGTACTTGCTATATTCCTCCTTGTTTCATGACCGATGCCTTGCAAGGTGATCACTTGATACACCTCGTCAAAAATATCGGCTTTAAATATACGGCTGTTTGTTTGCGAAGGTATGCCAAAAAAATTAATGAGAGAAGTCATAAATAAAAACAAACCAGGTATTCCCCTTCAGATCAACAAACTCGTTTTGTTTAATAATGTTTAGGGGCTGCGAAAAAAACGCTATAGATCCTCCAAAACAACGGTCGGTACCATCACTGTTAATGTCCAGAATTATGCTTTACTTTCCCATTTTCCTTAAAATCCAATAATTTAGGTTCGTAGGTGTTTCAGATTTTCCAGTTTAATCACTTAAAACTGAATTTTCGCCTGAATTCTTTGTTTAATATTGCATGTTTCATTCAAGTGTTTGTACGGCACTTCTCCGTTCTTGCCGTGCAAATGAGATTTCTCCTGGCTTCACTTCCTGTGGTCAGGGCTGCCTCGAGTTGACCCTCTAGCGTATTCTATACACCTCATTGGCTGTACCAGATTGGAATATTTGAAAGATGCACAGGGGATCTGTATTATGTCCATGAAAATTGCACACTTGCAAAAAGCATAGATAAAAATTTTGTGTGGCTGAGACTTATTACCATAGAATACAGTATGTAACTTTTAGGTATATATTTCAGAGAAGGAGAGGTGGGTAAATCATTGCAGCTGGATGAATCATTTTAATAGAAATTTAGCAGCTGCAACCACGGTTGAAAGTTGATGTTTGCAGGGTATTTTTCCCCCTTGCAAGGCAAAAATTCCAATCTGGGCGGTATATACACTACAGAGGTGGCGCGGAGTGAAATAAAGTTGCTATTACCACAAGTACATATATGTACCCTGTGGGTTCTTTACCAGTGAACGTTTAAACAATTGTTTTAGGATCTATATCTCTTTTCTCAAAGTCCGTATGTACGGGTGGACCCACTAATCTATTTCTTTGTAATTATGGGTCTATGCGTAGGCTGATGGCCTTTGTGAAAGGTGGCTACACTTTGAGGTCGATAAGACCCGAGTGGCTCTTTGCCATCTGGTGAAGCCCCTTGCTATTAAAGGTACACTTTGTAATAGCAAGATTGCCACTGGGGTCTAATCGGGTACCAGAGAGCGTTTGTTCCTTCCCTTAATTGAGATATATGTTTCCCCATGAGAAGTTTGTCTGAAAGTTTGTAAAAGCAGCATAACTATTAGTGTGTAGACGATTATAAATTAAGAATAAAAATGAAAATGCAACAAACAAGTCACAGCAAAGAATAAGTTCTAACCTAGTAATGTTATAAAAACACAGCAAAAGACTTTGATAAAAATTCAATAAAGACAAGGCCTCATCCTCCATAACTAAATTTGCCAGAAATAATATGTACTTTATATCTGAATCACCCGAATCAAATTTTATCTGAATCGACTTTTTACTAATTTTTACATAGGGTTAGGACATCCATCATTTTGAGGCGAAGGCGCTGCTCATGAGTTAATTTGACTACTTTTGCATAGATAAAAAACAGAAACATCCCGTCAATACAAGCACTCATGATACAATTTGTTTTTTTCCACATCAAGCTACTTCGTTCTCCTCGAGATGAGCACCTATCTGATCTCTTGCTATTACATCTGAGATTTTAATAGCAAAGCAGCAGGATTTCTATTCCTAACAATAGCCTATTGCGCAGCAAACAAAGGGAGTTATGATGCAATGTACTATTGTTTTTCTTCATATGCTATTAAAAAAGCCAAAGTAATAGCATGGATGATCTGTGGCTGAAGAATTAGGCTCCTCTGGTGCCCAGGTATATTGGCTTTTGATGAAAGGTCTACTGCAGCTACTTTAGTTTGATTAAATGAGGCAATTACCACTAGAACCCTGGTTGAAAATTTCCCTGTTTTGCTTTTTTTTCTTACATTACACTCAAAATGGAATTTCATTCAAGTGAAAAAATTGCTATTAAAGTAATAGCAATAACAGCACTGCCTGTCACCCCTGATACACCAAGATCATACTCCCCTCTATGAAATGGGCTTCCATGCTGAAAAGAAGCTTGGTGTGCTAATTTCACTAATCAGAGAATAGAGAATAGTAATCAGAGAAAACATGAACCCATGAGCATCATTTGAAAGGTTGATGTGGAGAGTGTGGAGAGTGTGGAGGTCACAATTCTAAGAATCGGAATGTCATATAAGATCTAATCATGCCAATGAATAAGGGAAAAATATGCAAGTAAGAACATTTGATACATTATCTTGGTTTCTAAATTTGATGCTTGAATTTGCCATACAGATTTAAACACTGTCAATTTGATTGATAATGCCAAATTAAAGTATGGAGGTGAAGTTGTGACCAAAGCTTATCTGAAGATTTACAAAGTGATACAGAACTATAATCAATCCATTTTTGATATTTTTTGACATGCTGACCATACATAAAATTAAGGTCGGCACAGACAGACCATGCAGGGGTGGCTGGGAGTAGAAAAGTATTGATTTTAGCCTCCCGATGTTAAGGCAAAAGAAGGCCCCCACTCGAGGTTAAAAAAATTATTTAACAAGAGTGGAGCTTATATGTTTTGATTTAGGAAGGGATACCTTTTTGATATGATGGTTTGGAATAGCTTTTGGCAATACCATGTCTTGCGAAATCATTTGAAGGCACTGGCCCCTGCTGCCCTTCAGACACTGATGTTCCTTTGGTAACTTAGTCCTTGCAACTAGTTTTGGATGAATTATAGGTGCTACGAAATACCTGGCTGCCGCAAACTATGCAAGCAAACTTGTATTTTGATACAGCGGTTTGCTGCCCAGTAATAGAGCCCCAAAGTATTAGCCCATTAATTCTAATACCATGAGGCTTTTAGCCCACAAGTACTTCTATTTCTTTACAGTACAGATTCTATTACAATAGAGGGAGCGGTTTACCATGGAGATATGCAGCACAAAATCATAAAAAGTATCAAATCTAATCAAATCAAATCAAAAACTTTTTTCAGCAACAAATCAATTAATCATAAGATACGTCATGTTAATTGTTAAGATATAATCATGAATAACAATAAAGATTGCATTACAAGAAACAACATAAGATATTATATAAGATCAGCTGATGGACACATGGAAAAAACTTATGAAGAAGCTATCAGAGTTATGTTCCCAATTTGACACAAAATGGCAATAAATTAAGATTAGTTTCTTTAATGATAACAGTAAGAATAAAAAAATAACAATGTGAAAATAAAAAAACTAGAAATCAAAAAATAAAGGTTTACAATATGCATAAATAGTTCAATTGTGTTAGAATGAGAATAGATAGGATTAAAGGTTTTCTAGAAGGTAATTTTTCATGTTTCTTTTGGAAGATAATTGGGAGCATTTTTCAAATCTAGATGCAGAGGCTTTCTAAAGTTGATTTGTTTGCGCACACCCAATTTAATATGCCATACTTGCATGGGATTGAACAAATGAGTTATTAAGTGTTCTCAAAGTAGTTTTTGGCACAAAATGCTTTTAGTTTATACAGAACTCCAATACCTTAAGATATTTTAATGCTTACTTAATGCTTTTTAAAATCAGCAGGATTTATAAAATCCATAACAATTTCATGACATTAAAAAGGATGTCATTACAAAATTTTATGACATCCAGTGTCTAAATTTTGTCAATCAAATTATCCATCAAAAGATATGGCCAGCAAAAGTATAGCTACATCTTGCAAATTCATTTAGGGAAGGTGGAGAAATGACCTTTTTGATATGATAATTTGGATTAGCTTTTGACAATACCATATCTTACAAAATTAATTGAAGACAGTGGCCTCTGCTGCCCCTAGATACTGATGTCCCTGGGGCCCCTGATGCCCTCAGACACTGATATCATTGTATGTTAAATGTTGTTTGCAAAAGTTTTTTGCAAGATTCACTTATCTTATAGTTTTGTAAATGCATTGATATAAGTAATGTAATTCCGGATCAAACAAAATCCTTGCTGGAAAATGAGTGAAGGGTAATAGAAAAAAACACCCCTCCATTCTTAAGCCTTAATGAAGTTAACATGTGACATAAGGGAAGCAGAAATGCTCAAAAGTATAAAGAGAACAAAAGTAAACACAAAAAGCAAAGAGAACAAAATTTAAATGAAATATTATATGCAGATTTGTTTTGAAACGCTTAAATTTTTTTGCTTGGAGATGATGGAATTTTATAAAAAATATTTGTTTCCTTCTTCTTAGGATATTCCTGTCAAAGAGTTAAGTACCAGCAAAAATGGTAGATTATACTGATATACTGACATCAAGTCAGTAATGAGACCATTGTGATTTTTCAATGTTTCTTCATAATCTCTAAAGCTCTTCCAGAGTATCTGCTAACTTGAAGTTGTCAAATTCAACAGTCATGCTAAAATTTATATTGGCAGATACAAGGCTTAAAATATTGTTTAGGCTACCTTTGTGTTTCAAACATTAAAGCAATTGTGTTTGAAATACACACAGACAATAAAATTTTGAAAATTTTAGATTTAGATTTTTTATCAAATTCACTAAGTTTAAATGGTTTTCTTTGGTTGATAGCTTTCTTAAATCAACTTTCAGGTCAGCAAAAATCACTTTCAAAATCACATTAACCTCGGACCCAAAACTTCCTTTCAAAGTGTAAGTATCCCTTGTCAAATTATTTTTCCCAATGCTTGAATTTATCTTCACTTAATATGTACTGCAATATCATGAGTTTTATGACTGTTCAAGTAAGAATTGAATATAGAAATTTTGTGTTACGTTGTATCATTTTATAATTTTATATCAATGAATAATTGAAGCAATTTCATAACATGCTGTAAAGAGGTGGGACCATAAGGCCTGTTTGTAATACTGTGTGCCAGAGTCATGCCATGCTAGACAAAATCCTCTTTCAATGCATTGGCGACCTGAGTAACTCAAATTTGGAAAAAATTGATTTGTGGGTGACGATTCTCATGTGGCACAACCTGCTTTGATAGCAGCACAGCTTTGATTTAGATATGATGTTAATGCTGTGCTGAACTTTGAGAATGTATTGATGGCCAATATTTTAACAGCATCTTTCTCAAGATGTCAATTGATGGTTTGAATTGATAATCAACAGAGGAAATTGACTGCAGTCAAAGACAATATGCATGTTCTAGATGTTTTTGAAAGAAGAACATGGAACTTAAAGGAGCAAATACCTAGAACACATAAAGAGTGCCAGCGGTTTGATAAGAAAAATTGGGGCGTGACCATTGTTTCGAACAGTGAAAACGTGAACCAAAACTCTATTGAGGCAGTTCCCCAGAGCATCACATCTAAGTGAACATTCTGTCCAACTGCCCTCCTTAAAAATTTGGCACTTCGTTACTCTAGCACAAGCTATAAACCAGGCCAAAACAAGCATGTGTGTTAATCTGAGAGGAGAAGCCTGTAAATCTCGTTTGCTTCATGCCAACTTTTTTTATTGACAAACTATTTAGAACATGAATTTAACCGTCAAATCTTTTGTCCTTGGTACGATTATAGGCCCCTTGAAATTTTGCCATGTTTATTGTGACTACCAAGAGCTGCGTGCAACCGACAAGGGTCCTGAATGTAAATATTGTTTGCAAAAAATCTTTAAAAAGGTTCTGTCAGATTGTTTTATGTATCAGAAAAGTTGCAATAAATTTATTAATGGGACGCAAAGTTTGCTTATGGGAATAGTGATGTTGGAACCTGGGCTCTCGTTTTCTTAGAATCGTAAATAAAAGAGTCAGTTAATATGCTAACAGAACATCTTTTCTGATATAAAGTCTCTTTTTATTGTTTTTCTCTCTAGTGAGCATGCTTCACATTAATCTGAATATTTTTTCGACTATCATATGACGTAATGGAGATACAAAGAAGTCTCTATCCCTGGGCCACTGATCACCGAGAGCATCCTCATTGATTATGTGAATGCTAGCTGGCTCTTTATACGACGAAGTTTGAATTTTAAGAAAGTAGTTGAAGAAAAGAAAAATAAAGTAGGCTGAAGTTCAGAACCAGCAGGAAATTGAAACTAGATCACATTATTGTTCAATATGGATGTCCCAGTGGTTAGGGTTGCTGGCTGAAGATCCAAGGGTCCGTGGTTCGAATCCTAGAGATGACCAAACTTTCTATCACAGTAAGGAGAGTCGCCAGCTCTCTGTAATTCCGGGCGTAGGGGTCATGAGGTGTGGTCACATCAAGAGGAAGGACCAGGACACTGCTCGATAAGCATAGCTTTTCATTGTCCTAGGACTACCTTTGGAAGCTAGGTTGCAAACAAAATAAGATTCAAGTAGTTGGGCGTGGTAATGGTAGGGTATATAGAAATAAAGGCAGAAGACCATCAAGTAAAAGTCATTTATATAGAATACTAGCATATTTATGACAGTTTTCTTGTTTATAACGGATTTATGACATGTTGAAGCTGCCAAATCCTAGATCGTAGTCTCTCTTGATCCTCAGTTACCGCGAAAAAGTATAGCCTACTTTTATTCTTTTTTGCTCAACTTAGAGTTTGTTAAAATTTTCCATTTTTTTAAGTTCATTTTGTTCAATTTTTTTCACTGTTGGTGATGATGGGTTGTTTGAGTTTGAATTGTCAACGCTGACACATTGCTTTCATTTTTCCGTTTAGATTAAGTGTGCCAGAAGGAACACCATTTACGGCTGTTTTGAAGTTTGCTGCAGAAGAAGTATGCAATGTTTTCTCCTCTGAATCTTTCTGTTATTTTCATTAAGTCTGTTTTACTTCTTAATATTTTGCATCAGGGTGTTATTTTAAGTTCTCTTGCGACCGTAAACTTTCGGAAGAAAATTTCCTGTGAAAATAGCTTTGGAATTTGTGGTTCAAAAACCTTAATAATGCGATAAAGTTATGTCGTTGAAGGCAAGCAGGAGACACAGATTAAAAACAAAATTTCGGATATTACCACTATCCTTTGCCATGCTTAAATCAGGGCCGCGGAGAGGTTAAGGAGATCCTGGGGCGAAATTGAAAGGTGCAGCGTCCCCCCTCCCAATTTCTGCGACGACACTTTAAAATGCGAGCTTGAAATGCATTTTAGAATATTTCTTGCAGTCGTTTCTTGCAATGGTTTAAACATTTTACTTTCATAGGCATACTTTTGCAACGTTTGATTGATTCTATTCTTAAAAAGGAATTCATTACGTTGAAAATATATGAGTTCGGTTCTTTCTCTATAGCACATTTTGTATAGCCTGCATTAAAGAGATATCTCAAACACTTATAACAGTTAGTAGTTGTTGGTGACTTTTGCAAGATGGCAAGCTGGTCCTCTTGAGCTCCCATGAAACAATATTTTTTATACATGAAACACATTAAACAAAGTTTTTAACGGTGAATTTCTCGTGACCAAGTCCTAAAATTGGAATGAAAAAGAGTGCAGTTTTTTTTGTTTATTGTACCAATAAAGGCCAATAATTTTGACAGATTTTACTTTTTTGAAGTGCAAAGATTAGTGGTAATTTAATGATAAGAAGCTTTGTTCTTCCTCTCGATACCAGAGGAAGATTCTGCCTTATCAGAGTGTTTTCTTTTATTTGTTACCAAACAGGCTTTTTCACTCTATAGTGCTTGAAAGTCTCCCAAAAACTATTTAAGCCATTAATTTATATCTCATATTGTTTAAAGTCATTTAAATATTTTCTTTCATTGCATTGAAAGTCTTGAGCTGTCTTGCAAAGGCCGTTATATGGATGTTAATTTAATAAAACTTCTTTCACAGTTTAAAGTACCACCAGCAACTAGTGCAATAATTACAAATGGTGAGTTTGTGGTTTTCTTTCAAGATGTCTTATTAACCGTTGTTTTGATTTACGTATAAATTTTAATTGAAAGCAAATCTTCATATGAGATAAGTTTTTGCTATAGTTTTAGAGTTAATGTAATATTTAGTATTGTTTAGTTTTCACCTTTCTTCCACATCCTTTGTGTATTCAAAGCTATCTACAATTATAAGACCTCAAAATATCAACAAGTTTTTCTCGGCATTATCAATTTTCTTGTACAAAAAGGAGGTGATGTTTTATTTCGTTTGGCATATGCTGCGATTTGCAAGTTGCCATGAATTGTTTTCTCGATACTCTTTTTTAGTTGCAAGCCAGCTCTCCCTAACTTTGGTTGCATTTCGCAGTTTGCTAGTTCGCAGATCTGTCCTGATTATTCTCATTTGCAACCAAAACTTTATGTTGAATTTTCAATTTTTTTTGAAATCTTCAGTACTCTTCTAATAATTTGAAACGAAGCCATCTACGCCCTTCTAATAGTTGCATTAGGCAAAGTTCGTTAAAAATTGAATCCAACATTGCTCTTGCAGTGGGGTCGTGTTTCTATACGGCTTCAACTCATATAATCGTATTTTACTTGGCCTTAAAGACCGTTAATAGCCTTAATCTCCCCAGTATTAATGGGATTAATCCCCTATAGTAATCCCAAATAAAAGGATTTTCCTTGATACTTATTTCAAAAGATTTTTCGCTCATCATCTCGGATGTAACATCTGGTCGCTAAAATACTGTTTTTGTAAAATACTCTAAAAGAAAAAATTGATAGTTATGGAAAAATGTTTTTGAGACGAGTGGCAAGTTTTCGTTGCTGAAAGAAAAACTGAACTTTGTTCTACAACAAGAATGAAATCGGCTAACTATCAGAATCAACTAATGCCTTGAGTTCTTATAACTATTTTTGCAAGGGGGGACTTAACTCTGCCAATCAAATCTGCTAAACTGAAAGAAACCCAAGCGCTTTATTCAAAACAGTCTACATCTAGAAAATCTTGGAACAAAATGCCAGGCAGAAGCTAATATAAACTTCATCTGCCTTCTTTAAAAAAGAACAAGACAAAACCAAGCTACAAACTAGATCATTTCCTTCTCTTTTTGAATGGAAGACAAGCCTTTCGGTGCTGTTTTAAGTAAAACTTTATATAGTTCTCCGGCACCTATTTCTTTCCAATCAATCTCAGTTCACGCTAATTTCAGTATATTATCTTTGACAAGAAAAACAACAATGCATATTAAGATAACTGATATTGAAAGTCATCAATTCTTGACAAAATCTCTGCCAAAATACATTTGCTTTCAGTGTAATGACTGTAGATTCGTGTGATTTTAGCTTCCTTGTTTAAAATTGTGCGTTGAAGAAACCTGTTTTAAAAACCAGTACGAGGTAACTGTACGTGATCGGTGCAACTATGATATAGCCCAAAAAACATTGCTGGGGGTATTTATAAGTAAAACCTATGCGTTTAACAATTTTTTACTAGTTGAAAATCCTTTTTATTTCAAGATGCATCTAAAAAGAAATTAATTCATTGTGCTCTCACTTTTTTGTTTTTTGCTTTAGTTAATAATTAAAATCAATTAAATTTCCTTCCACACTTTCTATACTATCTTGTTTTATTTTCTTTTCAGATGGAATTGGTATCAATCCAGCCCAAACAGCAGGTATGTTTTCGTTTCGCATCCTCAGCCTTTCAATTGAAATTGATTCTGTTTTGCATTCATTAAAAACCCCTGGCGTCTATTGATACCAGTGGAGTTGTAGGGTATCTCAAGGTACTATTACTTGTGTTGTGGAGAGTCGGAGGGATAACGGCCTACGATTTCTGCCTCTTGCTATAGGAGAATGATTGTCAGTTGCATGAAATTTCTGCGCAGTGGTAGCTTTTGTTTATGGTGGACATGAAATGACCCAACCCTCGGGTGTAGCTGTGTTTTCTAACAAAAATACTGCCTTAAAGATAGAATGAAACGCATTGAATCGTGCATTTTACTTATTTTCAAACTACGTTGTGCTCAAAATCTGCTCAATTTCCAGGATTTTCCGATCACCGAGATTTTCAACTGTAGGAAATTAATATAGTCAAAGGAATTTTGGGAGATTTTCACACTAGCAGTGTTTATAAAATTGATTTTGCATAGTTGAAAATTGAAAATAATTGTATTCGGTTAACGAATGTTAATATCGAGCAAAGTAAATATTTTGCAGATTTTCTTATATTATTTTACGAATGTTGAAAAATGTTTTACTGGTAAACTTCACGAGCAATGAATCTTCGAATGTACTATTTTGCTTTTGTTGTTTTCCTTTGGAACCTGACCCTTTATGTTTTACAGATTCTAGCCTTTGTTTCCATAAGTTTGATTTATCTGAGATCACTCAATTTTTAGATTTCCATCCTATCTAGCATTCCTTCTTGAATTTAGATTAAGAACGAGGCAAACTGTTAATGGTACGGAGGCTAGATATGCCCTATCCTGGTTAAGGGATATTGGCCCCTATTTAAGATGCACCCGTATTTTGCAACGATTAAATTGAATGCGAATATTGAGCACGGCATGAATTCAAATCGAACACATTCGCTAAGGACAATCTTTACAAAGAAATCCACATCGATTCTTCGATCTATCCTCTATGGGGACACATCTTTCAGTTTACCAAGTTGCCTGTTAGCCCTTTGGCTTATCGCTGAACTCACCATTTTCGTTGTTGTTTCATTCTCTATTACTTTTTAAGATTTGCGCTTCATTATGATAATATAACAGGTCTTGGGCACAAAAAGAAACTGCAGAGGTGTAGGGGGCGAGAATTCCCTTAGCTTTTGCTAAATTGTCAGTCAAATACAGTTTTTAGCGCTTTTCTCGTTAAGTTTTGTCATTTGTCGGCAAATTTGCTCGTTTTTGGAGGTTTTGCCCCCTCACCTGCAAAATGAATTTCTGCCTCTGCAGACATACCCTGGGTACCAGATCCACAGAAGTAAAAACAGTGGAGGGAGACTGAGCTGTTCTTACTTCCTTTGACTCTCTGGGGCTCTGGTACCCAGTGTAGGTACATACACCGCTGAGTCCATCTTGACCAAGCTAACAAATTTTAAATCTACACGAACAAGAAAACATGTCAAAGAATAATAGCTCGTGTAGCCAAGGGTTAAAAAGGAAAGCATATCCTTTCGATTTATTAGCCCAGTGCCTATTCGATTTTACTCTTAAGTCAACGTTCTGTCTCCTAATTTAATACACGATTTTGATAAATTGTAAACTATGGTAAAAGTAAATTTTATGTTCTAAGACCTCCATGTGAACAAATTTTCTCGATATTTAATCCCCAGAATGACCCAAAGCCTATAGAGCCAGGTTGGCAGAAGGTAGATACAACTGAATTCGTACTTCTCAATTACAGAGGATTTTGAAAAAGATTCAGAATATAACGCCCGCTCCTTATGCGAAGCGCATTTGAATTCCAACTTCTCACTGTAGATTATGTTCATTCGCACTTGTTTCCACCCATGCCTTTGTGTAGTTTTGTAGAAAATTTTCCTCCTTTTCAAGTATTTTGAGAAAACATTTCTGGCGTGCAAAAGTATCCTGCACCAAACCCGTTTTACCTGCAGCACGATATTTTTTCACCGGACTAAGAGAAGTTGGTCAGAAGAGTTTCTGAATTCTGCGAAAGGCATATAACTTCATGGAATATAACGATGAGAGTTAAACTTTTCAGTCTTGTTTTGTTTTTACTTTTTTTATACCACGGGATTTTTAAGGAAAGATATATTTTCCCTTTAAAGTGAAATTTCATTTCAAAAGTGAGTTCAATAATAAACAGATTGTTTGTTTGAAATCTTTATTCACTTAGGAATGAATTGAAGGACCGATAGTAAATGAGAATGCTATGCATTGACGATTAGATCAATAGGACACGCACTGTTGCATGCAGAAACTACCAGTGCGACAGTGGAACGACACGATGAGGTTCGGGCGGAGAGAGGTACGGGCGGAAAGAGGTACGGGCGGAGAGAGGTACGGGCGGAGAGAGGTACGGGCGGAGAGAGGTACGGGCGGAGAGAGGTACGGGCGGAGAGAGGTACGGGCGGAGAGAGGTACGGGCGGAGAGAGGTACGGGCGGAGAGAGGTACGGGCGGAGAGTGGTACGGGCGGAGAGAGGTACGGGCGGAGAGAGGTACGGGCGGAGAGAGGTACGGGCGGAGAGAGGTACGGGCAGTTAATGGGAGTAGAAGAGCTATTTACATAAACAGATTTCAGTTCGTTGCAACTGCTTCCTTTGTATTTTAATTAAAAACGCCCCTGAGCATACTTTCTATCTGAAAGAATGTAAATTTTGGATTATTAATAAACAGAAAGGTATTATGGTTTCCTTGCCAATTTCTATTTTTTTATCCTTTTATTTTTTATTTGAACGTAGAACGCTGAAGAGCTTTTTTGTCACTGGACATTGTGGTATTTTCTTTGGCAGTCTGATAGAATAGCAAAGACATAAGAAGATTTTATTGTAAACATTTTCAAAATAACATCGAAGTTTTAATAAATCTTTAAAGTCTTGGAAACCTTTCATAAATACTCCTTTGTTAGAAGAAACATCAATGTTCGACAAACACGCAACCCTACAGCTGTCAGTCGTAGAAATTCAATGTAGTTCAGCGTGTGGTTCCTCGAATGAACAATAAACACGAATGATTAAAGTCAAATACGACTTTGTACATAGATGTTGAGTATTGTTGCGACGTTTCGTGCATAACTCTTCATCGGGAGTAATTTATAGGGGTTAGATACCTAGGGGCTGAATAGAGTAAATCACGCCAGAGATTAGACCTAAAGTTTTGACCACAACTGGGAAATTTGTCTGCCTTTTTATTCCATATTGCGACTGGACTAGGAGCAATAACAAAGACAAGTCTTATTTTTCATTTGCTCCTGTCCTGTGCACAATGCTTTTTACTACGTGGAAAAGACATATTTACCCGCAACTGATAAGCTTCCCTTGCTAGCAGAAATGACAAAACATATTGGTCACTGTTGAAGATAAGATTAGAAGGACCTTTGATGTCACAAGTAACCACAAAATCGGTTTAAAAATAACGTATTGGAAGATTGGTGTTAAGGATGTTTCCAGCAGTTGAATAACATTACCCTTATCTCTTTTCCCTGGGTGCCAGAGTCTCCATTATTCAGTCTCAAAAATATCCCAGGAGAAATATAGTTCGAAACTAGTCACAGAAATCGAACATCTACTCTTTTTTGTCACTGCAGCCATCTACAGTACTTCATTCGCGGAACGAATTGTCAAAGGCCTTTGGAAAATTGATGACCAAATGTTTTCCTTTTCCTGTACCAATCAAGCAATCGTCCAAACATGTTAAGCAAAAATCCTACAATCTGTTTTCTTCGAGTAGGGACTTTAAAACAATGAAACGAACCGAAACGAAGCGAAGCGAAGCGAAATGAAACGAAAACCAAACGAAACCAAACGAAGCCAAACGAAACCAAACGAAACCAAACGAAACCAAAGGCTCCCAGTAGTGCGACCAGAGGTTTTTGAGGCAATGCACTGTTTAAGAAATAAATAGCAAAAATCAATTCCCCTCTCAAGCCTTAGTATCTAAGGTAGGACTGGTGCATCCGCTCCCTGGTTGGGAAAGTGAACTTTTCTGCTCCAATCATCGCCTAGAATTTCAAGTTGCTTTGTAAGTTTTTGTCCAGTTTTCAGGTTTTGTGTACGAAGAATGATACACTATGGCATACCGGAAGACCGTATGTATATCTTGGGCATACCAGTTCCCTAAGGCATGGCCTAAGACCTAAAAAAACAAAGCAACCTGCAGCATGCGAGATATAATCTTCCAGAGAGCAGAAAGGAGAAACAAGACACACAATAAATTTTCTTTATGATCAAGACCAGATCATGACCAAAATTCAACCGATAAAAAACCCTTAATAAAAAATAACATTACATGCTATGAGCGATTTGCCTAACAACTATTACGTTTCATAGCAAGGGAGGAATACTTCCAATAAATACTGCAATGAACCTTAATCTTTTTTCTGGCCCCGTGCGAAAAACGAAAGCTTGGGTAGCTCGATTAAATTGCAAAAGTACGATTAAACCAAAGCAACGCCTTGAAAAGCTTTACTCATAATCGAAATCTGACGTGGTTTTTTCAGCAAAATGCAAAAGCAAGTAGACTACTTTTTTTCTGCATAAATCCAATGTTATTGCATTCTAACCAAAGTAATTGTTCCAAAATGGAGATGTGGTTAAATTATCATTAGTATTTTCATTATTATTAAGCAACAAATGCAACAAGAAAACACAGTGTGCTCCCCTCTTATCTGATTTACAGCGTCGATTCAAATATGTTTTTTGTGAATCTTTTTTGAGCTCTCTTGGCATCTTCGGAAAATCCTGCAACTTATACTTCAAAATGTGTGACTCTCTCTCCATCGATCAGCAACAGAAACGGTATTTCATCTCTAAACTTTCCAACGTTGCCATCCGTACTACGTACTACATATTTTGTTGAAAAAATAAGCCATGGACAAACCCAGGACAAATCCTTTTTAATTTTGGTTGTTTTTTTCTTCAGTTTTCCCTTTAACCTTACGATTGTTTTAGTTTTTTCTTGGAGAACCAGGCTAGCATATTGCAAATTACCTTGTAATAGTGAGTTTTGTAATTGTAGTTTAAGTTGAATTGAAAATGAAATGTTTCCATTTTAAAAGACTAAAAACATTAGAGTGCCGAAGTGATGACGTCACGTCACAAAAATTGATTTTTAGAATTTTTCAATTTTGACCATTTACCCCGAAAAAGCATTATGAAATACCTCTAAATGTGCAAAATGAGTTTAATGTGTTACTAATTGGCTGAGATATGACCACGTAGGCACAGGCCTTTTCCCATCCAATCTCTGAAATTTAGTCTTGGTTCATAACTTTATGGATCAGGTCATAATAACAGTAATCCGTTAGCAAACTTGGAATTATCTAGTGACCACATCTCGCCAAATTTTCAACATCTAGCTGATGTTTCTTGTTGAGAGGTATTTTATGCCGTTTTTCAGCTTATGTGGTCAAAATTAAGAAACACTAAATATAGATTTTTGATTACGTCACACTTGGGTACTCTACTACCTCTACATCTTAGGGGTAACTGTCGGTTTCGAATCTGTCTTCTTTTTTTAATCTCTCTGTAAGCTCCCTTGGTATCTTCGGAAATCCCGCACTCTATCAATCAACCACAAAAACGGTATCTTATCTGTGAACTTTCCAAAATTGCCCGGAACTACATCTTTTTCTCCTTTTGCACTAAGACTATAATAGTCTATCTTGCAAACCCAAGCTATCCGTTTGCAAACTACCTATGTAATAGAGGTGTTTCTTATTTTAGTGTCAGTGAATTAAAATGAAAAATCCCCGTCAGAGGGGGCTTCGTCTATACCCAAGTACTCTCCCTTGTAGCGTCAAACCCTGGACGTCGAGAAGGGTCTATGCTGGGACCATAAATATCTGGAACCCAGTGACGTCACTGCTTTCACTATTTTTATTGGAAACTATTCACTTAGTAATTTTTTTGTGGGGAAAGCATGGCATTTCGTCTCGTGCCTATTTTGCAGTTGTGCCTCACTTATGACCAGTACCCTTTACAAGGCGGTTCAAGTATCAGGAAGCCATGATTATTGTTCACGATTAAGTGTCTCGTGGATATTTTATTTATATTTTTCATTCAAATGTGAAAAGAATTTTCTAAAGATTATATGTTTCTTTTCCTTCCTTTTCTATTCTAATTAGAATGATTTTGTTTCTCTTTTCAGGAAACGTCTTCCTTAAGCATGGGTCAGAACTCAGATTAATACCAAGAGACCGAGTTGGTTAGATTAAGTATCATTACCAAAGATTCTGTATTTAAGGTATATTTTATTGTTCTCTGAAATTAAGCTGCTCAATGTAAAGAAATATCAACATGTTCCATTTGAGTTTGGAATATTTGAATATATCTTTAATATATAACTTTGAATTATCGCGGGTTAATGGATTGATCAAGGAATTCAGATTGGTTCCAAAAGGGTCTCTCGATTATCACATCTATTGAGAAATTGAAAAGTCCGATTCCCTATGAAGCGCTGGCGAGGAAGATCATAATTTTCGACGGCTTTCCTGACGTAAACAATGTCGTAAAAGATATTTAGCATTTCAGGCATCAGATTTGAACGCTGCGGTGTGTGGAACAGGATCGATCACCAGACAGACTGACTGCTCGCTACCGTATTAACAGAGCTGTGCACTGTTGAGTAGACGAACAGGCGAAAGTTTTCTAACGTGTGAGGCAACCCTCCGTCCTGAAGTCAAAGAGCACGCGTAATAAAAGCTGCGTTCCATGTGCGTAATCTTTGAGTCCAGAACGGAGGGTTGCTCCACATAATAGAAGATGCTTCGATTCTCATGCATCATGCTTATCATTAAGCAACTAAATCCGCAGAAGTAGATAATACAAGATACTTCTGAAGATATATCTCACCTGATATATTGAAAAGCAAAATGTCTTGAATTAGACACAATGAAACACTTCTCGTTTGACGCTTTTTTTCGTCAATTTTTTCGTCAATTTTATCGTCGTCGTCGATTTTGTCAGATTCAAAGAGATTTGTTTCAAAGCAAACTATAACTGCTGCAATTGGCCAGTTGTTATGCATGAAACACCCTTAAATTAAGAAATTTACTATTCTGCGATAAACGTTCTGGAAATTCTGAGATCTACAAAACTCACTTTTATGCGATTGTCAGCCTTTAATTGAAATTCCATTCAAGTTAACATAACAGAGACATTTTTTAAATCTACGTGTCTGCAGGTGGATTCTTGTAAACGCCTTTATTTTGCACTTAGATGTCAAAACCTTTTCTTGCGATTTTACCTGCTTCAATGGCGATGGGAAACCATCGAAATCCGCGAATGGGGTCACCTTTCCTCTTTGTTAATCTTGTGACAACTTTTTACTTAATTTTTGTACCAGAATAACGAGAAATTTTCTCGTGATTGTATTGTGCCAAGAAGCCCATTCCTGTGCATACTCTAAACAAAATTTTCCTTGACCCTCCCTATCTAACCATGTATCGAGGAAAATTTATAATGTTTAACAGAGGAAAAGACGGGTGTTGTATTGGTGATCGAGGTGATTGAAAACGGTACAAGCCTAGAATGCACATTTAGTTAACTGAGTTCTAGATAAGACAAAGGTAAACATAGCCAAAGCTAGTCTGCTCAAAGACGATATCTAAGAACATCAATTTGACCTTCATTTTGTGTAGTAAACGGTCGCTCTTAGGTTTTAGACGAGAGAACGCAAACATAATTGTTGATGCAGGTGATGCAAAGATAAGAACGGGTTGGCTTTAAGTCAAATACCTGCCTATTCTCAAAACAACGTGCTTAAATCACTGGCTGCTTAGGTTTAGCTACTGTCGCTAATTGTTGGATTAGAATTTTCTTATCTTCCATGATGTCTATAATGGGTTTTCCCCATTTGTGAACAATCAGGCAATGAAAACCTTTCCCTAAAATTATCCTCGTCTGCTTTTCATCTATTTTACATATTGCCCAACTTCGATGTTTAGAAATCAGATTTTTTCTTCCAAACCTGAATCTTTTCGGCTTTTGGATCCTCATCCAGCCCAAGCTGAGTACAATACCTTCACCGATAGGTCAGCTGCCCTCACGTTGCTTCGAATGAAAAGACGAAAATTCCTAGCAAAAACGACTTGCAAGAAACCTGCTCATGTGCATTGCTTGATTTCACTGGGAAAATTTTGTCTCTTTGCAAAAAGAAAAATTGAACTCAAGTCAACCTTTTTTCGATTTCACTAGCGATGTAACTAATGACCGTAAAAAACTGCAGCTGCGCGTGGACGATGCGCAGCTGCATCGTCTTATTTAGCATCGTAAATGAAATACAATGCGAACCTAAATTTATCTACAAAAGTCTGCAAATTTCAGGCTCTAATCGTTTGCAACATGAATTTACAGCTATTTTTCGAGAAGAAAGATCCCAAGAAAGTTCCATCCTCCGAAAATTAGAGCTCAATCATTCCACTTCTTTGCAAACCCAAACATAACTGCTTCTAATTACAAGGCGTTACCATCTTTTCTTTATATCCTAGCATAAGTATACTTAAGACCCAAAGCTGGCCTTTGGGCTTCAAAGGAAAGTATTTAAATAGAAAAGCCAAAACAATCGTACCAAGACCTGCTACCTTTTTGTGGCAAGATTTGGAATTATGTGGCATTGTCTGCATATCCTTTGTTTCATTCATGCAACAGCAGATTATTCAAATACAATTTCAGTGGTTTTGTCTAGCAAGGCGCCGTTTCCACTTTACTGGACAAATTAGGATCCCGCCAAAACTTAGCTCAACTGTTAGCTCGTTTTTCTAGAAATTTTGCCACAATAATTATAAAACATGCAGGAACGGGTAGAGTGTAAACATAGCAGCTAAACATGCTACTAAACATGCAAACCAGAATTGTTCTCTACATTAAGAATCCATATTGACCCCAAAGCTTCCACATTTTCGCTTTTGTTTTGGAAACTGCCTTCCCTCCTTTCCGGGGGACATGGCCTCTCCAAAATTTTTCTTGGCTTCTTGCTTGCCCCCAGTATTGAACAAATGACCCTATTAAAATTTTGTCGTTTTCTTCCATAGCTTTTCGATCGTTGTTTGACTTTGTTAGGGTAGCTCTCTCCTGTTTTGCTCAATACGATCTTTGTTGCATTTATTTAACAGGCTAGGCGTCCGGATAAGCATTTTGGTTTGTAACCGTGGTGAACATTGATGAAATTTTTTATTCCTTGCTGTATTTTCCAGGAAATTTCATTTTCAAACACCACTTGACTTTTTTATTCTATTTTAATTATATCTTGTCACAAGATACCGCTTCTTAGGTTGGGTGCGCAGGGTTGGCCCAAAACAAGCTTCTCCGCATCCGTGGCCCTTTTCACTCGGGAAACCCGGGGTAGAGAAAATTATGTAATACCAACATCATTCACCTTGGCAGTCTACGATTGTATATCAAAATTCTAAAAGCAACAAACTGATTTGCTTGGCCTCATGGAGGCTGGATATCAAACATCACTACTATAGGGGATTTTAATGATCAACTTTACAAAGCTATTTATCCAATCATGGTGGCGGCTATTACAAAGCCCTTGAACGATCTTAACATTGAAGTTTCGCAAGCCCTGATATATTTGTACCAAGGACGTACTTCTCTAGGAGGAGCCAAAAGTATTGGTGCCCCCTCGCAGCCAAATTTGAGCCACAATGCCACCGCTTTACATTCAATTCAGTTCAGTTCATAAAGCAATAGCTAGCGTTGGCCCCTCTCACTGAAGGCTGGTCCCCGGCTAGCCCCCTACCCCCAGATTTTCAGGCTTGACGCCTTTCCCCAGCCAATTATTTTGTTGCTAGAAAGGACAGTTTGACTTGTCTTTATGCCTTTAGCACTGACAGGCCATCCATGGACGTTAAAATCATTTTTGACAATATCGCTACAAGAAATTTTGTTCATTCTTGAAACGTATTAGATGAGAGACAAAATTCTCTGTCCAATGGAAACATTGCACTTAATTGGTCTGCAAAAATGCACACAATATAATCATTAAGAATATTTACCAATTCAAGGCCATTTTATCATTGCGGTAAATGCTCAAGGCATTGATGAATTATTTTCGTTGAAAATTTTAGTCTTTGAAATGGGGCTTTTTCGGCAATGAGATTTTAGAAATATTTACACAAATATATGGTGTAATTTATCCTTTTTGCAGTTTCTTCACGCAGATACCGTATTTCCTCTAAAGAACGCTGATCCGTTTATTACAAAGGCCAACTTTGTATGCGGCGTTTAGAAGAGGGTGGAGTTTATCAGAGGACGGCGTTTAATACAAAATGAAGTGTGTGTCAAATGAAAAATGACAAGAAAATTGCGATAAAAGATAAAAACATCTTTTCCCAAAAACACTGTAATAGAGATTGTGTGAAAAAAATTGTTTAAAGTTCACGAAAGATGTGACCACGTTATTAAAATGTCAAAGAATGTTAATATACCTGTCTCCGTCAGAGTCCTTGTTTCTATGAGATAAAACTTTCATAGCTTTCGAATAGTAAGCGTATAAACTATTCTGACACTTTTGCCAGCCCTGTTGCTTCTAAAGAACCCCCGGAATTGTGCGGGTTATTTTGGTCGTGTATTGTTATGGTAAAGATGATTGACAGAAGCAGCAAGTGTAATAAGGTCATGTACTTGCATAATTCGTTTTGCATATTTCACTTGCGGCAATGGAGAACGGATTTCGAACACACGGGTGCAAAGCAGAGAACGGTAAAGCGGAGAACGGCTATACGGAAAATGGTATCGATGAACATTTGGTGAGCGGAAAGTGTATGAGCAAGAAGCTAACCTTTCATGGCCTGCAAAACAGACGAGTTTCAGTCCTGGAAGATGTTGCAGAAAACTTAAGCAAAGAGGGTGACGCCAAACATGTAATTGCATCTCTTCTAACAAACGAGAGTGTCAAGTCATTGCTTATGGAAGTAGCTAACCTCGATGTCTTTGCTCCAAGTTTCCTTGAAGAGTTTAAGGAAAGCATTCTGACCCTGTGTGCTCTCAAACAACTGAAGTACTTTTTTACAATTCCCCTTTGCCAGTTGGTCACCGCATTGGCTGATCTGAACTGCTGCTCTGGTTCTTCCGCTTGGGACCGAATCAAAAGCTTAGTAATTCAATCAGAATATTCAAGAGTAAAGACCTGTGTGTTTCTCGTCCGAGAAGGTACGTCGATTGTTAACTGTTATTAATAATTTACTTGCATTTTTATTCTGAACAACTTTTCTTTTGTTCAACTATTACATAACCAAATCACCCAACACGCCGCTTCATTAGTCTCAAGACAAGACTGATGCAAGTTAAGTTGCCTAATCCACATTACTATGATCTTAATACTAATTTCGAAAGTATTCTTTATCGATTTTAACAAAGCAATCGAAATCAAGAGCTGCAAAAAATATAATTTAATATAATCACTCCGTAGTCCAAGGACTTTATTTCCTTCCAATCTCTAAACGCCCCCTTACCTACCTTCTCAACTGCTTACTTTATTATCCAACCAAATCACTCACCTCATTCCCCTCCCTTACTTCTTCCCAATAATCGCCTCCTGAACTCATTTTCCTAACCATGTCTTTACTTTCCTCCCTGAACTTCACACCTTCATTACAACCTACATTACATAATTCTACATTACATAATTCTTCATCTTTGCTTCTTACCGTCGTTCTTTCCTCATTTAACTTCCACACCCGTTTCCTTTACCGCCTTTCTTTACTTCCCCACTAAACCTCACTTAACCACCTCCCTCACTAATTTATTTATCTTGGCACCTTACCATCGTTATTTTCCTCGCTTTAGTTCCTTACTCATTTTCCTTACCACGTCCCTTCCCCCCCCCCTATACCTCACTTAACCACCTCCCTCGCTAATTTCTTTATATTGGCTCCTTACCATCGCTATTTTCCTCACTTAACTTCTGTCATGAGGTAGAGAAAAAGTAATTAGACGTAGTTTAAACCTAAACTAGGCTCTAATCAACACATATCCACTAGTAATAAAAAACAACAACTACGCTTCAATGCCCTAATAAGTTTGAATTCAATAGCGATGTGTTCTTTATTGAATGTCAACACAATACATGCAAATATTTCTAAGGAAGGTGACAATAGGCTAGTTACACCACATTTTCTTTACCACGTCCCTTCTCCTCCCCCCTATACCTCACTTAACCACCTCCCTCACTAGTTTCTTTATCTTGACTCCTTACCTTTGTTATTTTCCTCACTTAACTTCCTCACTCATTTTCCTAACCACATCCCTTGTCTCCCCCCTATACCTCACTCCACCAACTCTCTCACTTATCTCGTTATCTTGGCCTCTTACTATCGTTATTTTCCTCACTTTACTTCCTCACTCATTTTTCTTACCACGCCCCTTGTCTCCCCCCCCCCTATACCTCACTCCACCACCTCCCTCACTAATTTCGTTATCTTGGCTCCTTACCTTTGTTATTTTCCTCACTTAACTTCCTTACTCATTTTCCTTACCACTTACCTTGTCTCCCCCCTATACCTCACTCCACCACCTCCCTCACTAATTTCTTTATCTTGGCCTCTTACCATCGTTATTTTCCTCACTTTACTTCCTCACTCATTTTCCTTACCACGTCCCTTGTCTCCTCCTTATACCTAGATTAACCACCCCCTTACTAATTTTTTTATCTTGGCACCTTACCACCGTTATTTTCCTCGCTTTAGTTCCTCACTCATTTTCCTTACCACGTCCCTTTTCCTCCTCCCTATACCTCACTTAACCACCTCCCTCGCTAATTTCTTTATCTTGGCTCCTTACCATCGTTATTCTCCTCACTTAACTTCCTCACTCATTTTCCTAACCACATCCCTTGTCTCCCCCCTATACCTCACTCTACCACCTCCCTCACTAATTTCGTTATCTTGGCTTCTTACTATCATTATTTCCCTCACTTCCCTCACTCATTTTCCTTATCCCGTCCCTTGTCTTCCCCCCCCCCCTATACGTCACTCCACCACCTCCCTCACTAATTTTTTTATCTTGGCTCCTTACCTTTGTTATTTTTCTCACTTAACTTCCTCACTCATTTTCCTTACCACTTACCTTGTCTCCCCCCCTATACCTCACTCCACCACCTCCCTCACTAATTTCTTTATCTTGGCCTCTTACCAACGTTATTTTCCTCACTTTACTTCCTCACTCATTTTCCTTACCACGTCCCTTGTCTCCTCCCTATACCTAAATTAACCACCCCCTTACTAATTTTTTGATCTTGGCACCTTAGCACCGTTATTTTCCTCGCTTTAGTTCCTCACTCATTTTCCTTACCACGTCCCTTTTCCTCCTCCCTATACCTCACTTAACCACCTCCCTCGCTAATTTCTTTATCTTGGCTCCTTACAATCGTTTTTTTCCTCACTTAACTTCCTCACCCATTTTCCTTACCACGTCCCTTGTCTCCTCCCTATACCTAAATTAACCACCCCCTTACTAATTTTTTTATCTTGGCACCTTAGCACCGTTATTTTCCTCGCTTTAGTTCCTCACTCATTTTCCTTACCACGTCCCTTTTCCTCCTCCCTATACCTCACTTAACCGCCTCTCTCGCTAATTTCTTTATCTTGGCTCCTTACCATCGTTATTTTCCTCACTTAACTTTCTCACTCATTTTCCCTACCACGTCCCTTGTCTCCCCCCTATACCTCACTCCACCACCTCTCTGACTAATTTCTTTATTTGGCACCTTACCGTCGTTATTTTCCTCATTCATTTTCTTTACCACGTTCCTTGTCCTCCCCCTATACCTCACTTAACCACCTCCCTCACTAATTTATTTATCTTGGCACCTTACCATCGTTATTTTCCTCACTTACTTCGTCACTCATTTTCCTTACCACGTCCCTTGTCTTCCCCTTGTCATTTCATCTTTTACGTTCCTTGCTAAACTTTCTACCTTAACCACCTCTCGTCACCCTCACTTTCTTCCTCTATCTGTCTACTTAAATATGCCGTGCATTATCCGCCAAAAATGTAATTTTCAAACTTTTAGTGGCAGATCATTCAGCCCTTCATTTTTCTCTCTTAACATCTTACCCAACAACGTACTATCGTTATTTCCCACACTTCCTTACTTATTTTCTCTAACCACGTCCCTTATCAATTTTCTTGCCACCCCCTTACCTTTGTCCCTAAACCTCCTGCCTTAACCACCTCTTTTGCTTTTTTCTTTAAAATCTCCCTCGCTTTCTTCTCTAAACGTCCTACCCTAGCCACTTACCGTCGCTATTTCCCTCAACTTATTTTCTTCCTTACTTCCCTCAACCCATTACCCTACTCCTCTCTTTAAACCTATCTCAACCATCTACCTTTCCGTCCCCTTAAACCATTTTTTCTTACCTTTAACTCGAACCATATCGCACGATTGATTTTTCAATAGCCTCAATGATATCTACTTGGTTGGCACGTATTCTTACACGACTTCTCATTTCTACCATTTTCATGCTAGTGCTGGCTTGAATGTACCGCTTAAATGATTAAATATGCCTTAAAGCCACCTAAATTAGCGTTATATCTATGTCAAAATTTCATTGGACCAGGGAAAATTTAAACACAAGGTACCTTTCTTGCCACCGGAGGTCAGCCAAAAACTTGACTGAGAAACCTTATTGACTGAATAGTAATAATCCAATTCTTAGTCTCCATATTGTAATCACCGTAGACCTGAATCCCAATGTGTCTTAATGCTTTTCTTTCAATGTTTGTATCGACCACAGAGATCGGACATGGTTTGGACGGAGAGGCCTCTACTCAAGGGAGGCATGACAAGGGGGCTTTTTCGAAGTCAGACTTTCTGGTTTATAACATTTTGTAATTCATTATGGAAAGACAATTACATAGAGTGGTACAAAAAATCTACTCTGCATTAGAAGCCATTGCTCCTTTCTACAGCAATAATTTTGCGGGCAGCTGCGAGGACAGCTTTTATTGCTTTTCAAACCACACATTGTCCTTTTTCAAATTTAAATTATCATCGAAACCTATCGCTGTGTTCAAATTATTATTCAGGTCAGCTACCAGTCACGTCCCCAAAAATGTCGTCACCAGAGGCATGTAATCCCTGCCCCGAACTCTTAGGAATTTCCTACTTAGACCTTTGGAAAGAGTCCTATTTTCCTCAAGATTCCCTCGACTTCATTTCGAGTGTAGCTTCTTCCCGAGGGCGGCTTCTGTACGAGGACGGCTTTCTCTTGAAGAAAATATGCTATCGGTATCTTGTCTATAGACGTAGAAACCCTATTATTGATGACAACATTTGCGTGAGTACGTGAGTATTCTTTTGGGTTCCCGTTATTATTCCTGATGAATGGCATTTCTAAGAGACATTCCTCAGATTTGCTGAAAAATGACGTTCCTTGGGTGTGATGGTGGATGGTGCGCAATTATGCAACGTGGCCATACTGCTTCCTGTGACATCTTGGGCCATTTGAGAGTGCACAGAGAATTTTTAGGGCACGAGTTTAAGGCATATGATGGATGAATATGCCTATAGCTATGCATTCATCTTTGAAGTTGAAACAGTTGGAGCAATAGATTTTAAGTTAAGAATCTAGTCTTTTTTCTTGTATTCTCTGACAAAACCAAACTGACCTAACATGCATTCCCCTCCTCCCCGTACTCCCCCTTTGGCTACACCCTTGGAAGCTACCAGGTGTTGGTCTATAGTCGAGACGAATCAAACAAAGAATTGAAAAAATCTAATATTTGCGACATTTCGTCTAAGATCTAAAGAAAGCAACTTTTGAAAAAGACCAAAATTAAATCAAAATGTTTCTATAAGGTTTTGTTAAACATGATATGATGAATCAAAAGAACCATTCGTGAAATCGCATTTCCCTGTTGGAGAACAGTCATGATCATAATTCGATTTTTTGTGGAAAGCGATACGTTTCGACAAGTTTCTATGACTATTTCTTGAATGCCATGGGAGGGACTTACACGTCACTGTTCTTCATGTGAACTTTGGTGGTTTCATACAACAAATCGATAAAATAATGCTCAATGCCAGTGTCAGCATAATTTGTTCCCTAAACTACATCGAAACCGGTTGGAAAATGTTGACTTAAAAACTTGCGAGAAATTTTATCATATTCTGTTTCAAAAAAGCAGGAAATGGCCTCAACCAATTGGCGATAGGACCATTGAAGCACCAAAAGGATTTCCGAAGTTATCTAAATGCCAACTCACAAGTTTGGGTAAAGAAACGCTTTTTATTGCAAATATTTTATTGGTTTACGATCATGAAAGCGAATTTTCGTCATTTGCAATTTTGTTGGTATTGTTTAGAAATAGGAAAAAATCCGAAACAATTTTGTATTGATAATTTTCATAGCTTATCCCCTCAATTTTATGTTACTTGCTACAGAAATTCGAATATTAGTTGGATAAAATATTTGCAGCCGTGTCGCTATTGTTTTTGCAGGCTATCCAATACTAAGTGTACTACTACGAGGAAACTGCACAGAAAACAGTGTAAACGGGAGGGCAAAGTGGGCAAAATTTGTGCGGCACAGTGTAAACGCAAATCAATCCGAAAAGTTTTATGCGGATAAATTTTATCCGGCACAGTGTAAACGGGGTCTAAGTGTACTACTACGAGAAAATTTGTGCAGAATAAGAATAAAAGCCAACTTTTACACTATACACTGAAGTGTTTTAAGCCAGAGATCTACCGTAGAATGTTATTTGCTATTTGGATAACTTGAAAAGCTATTGCGGTCTTTACTTTCATTGATTTCCCATTTTGTTGAAGCGATTTTCTTTAGCCGTTGACAACCGCATTGTCCAGCTGCTTTCTGTAAAAATGTCTAACCCGCAGAGAATTTTTATTATTATCGCTAATCGGTACATTTTAGCAGAAGTTTAAGATCTCTCCTTTTTTAAGCACTCATAAGATAAACGAGGCATAACTTGCGTTGCCTATCAGTTCAATTCACAACAGCCATCTTGACACTAGAAACCCTGTCTTCTACCCTATGCTTCTGATTGTGCAACGTGTAATGCAATCCTTAATTTCACTCAAGTCTGTATCAGATTTTACGTTCGTGTATTTAGAATACGCCGCTTTAAAGTATTGGAGTTATAGAAACTTATGCGGTAGGTTAATTGTGATTCACTATCAAACTTCGTCTTTACAGGACTATCTAATGTTTGCAATTTTTGTGCTTCAATAGGCCTTACTGGAGCGTACAATTCATTTGCAACAAGGGTCGAAGCAACCGATCCTCATGCTGTCTACCCCACCAACACATATCGCTACAGTGATGGGTTTACTGTCTCTAACGACGATTTCTCTGCCTTTGAAAGCACAATGACGCTGCACTTGACAACAACAACCCAAGTCCGAAAGGGCGTCCTACAACCGAGCGACGACACTCTGGCTCGAATTTACAGACCTCTGGGAAGGTGTGTTGCCATTGTAGATGACAAGGTAGCAGCAATATACGGAGAAACGCTGGCGAAGTATTTCAGCCAGCACGCCATCGACTTTAAAGCATTGATCTACAAAGGAGATGAAGTTGACAAGGAAATTGAAAATGTTGAAAGGATACTTGTGGATTTAAAGAAGCACGGTGTGTCGCGAAACGAACCAGTTTTGATTGCAGGTGGAGGTGTGATATCGGATATTGGGGGCTTTGCGTGTGCTTTGTATCACAGATCAACGCCTTATGTCATGCTATGCACATCTCTGGTGAGTGGAATCGATGCAGGACCCTCTCCTAGGACATGCTGTGACGGGTTTGGGTTCAAGAACCTCTACGGGGCATATCATCCACCTATTCTCACCATCACTGATCGTTTCTTTTTCAAGTCACTGGACCAAGGGTGGTTACGTCATGGAATAGCTGAAATCATGAAAATGGGCATTGTCAAAGACAAAGAGCTTTTCGAGTTGCTGGAAAAAGCTGGACCGAGGTTGATACGGACCAAATTTGGGACTGAAATGGAGTCAAAAGATCCTGATTTTGAAGCCCTTTGTGATCTTATCATTGGCCGGGCACTGAAGTCCTACATCGAAGCCGAGTATGGAAATCTTTGGGAGACACATCAATGCCGTCCACACGCATACGGCCACACCTGGTCACCCGGCTATGAACTGTATGCGGGCATGCTGCACGGCCATGCAGTTTCTTCAGGCATGGGTTTCGGCGCCTACCTTGCTTACATGGAAGACTGGATCACTAAAGGTATCCTATTTTAACCAAAAATTATGTTTTGAAATGTTAATTCTTTTTAGGGCTACCATAATAGTCTATTCTAGCCATAGTATTTTGTCTTTTCTTAGGAGACACGTCGGTTCCATAATTATAATTATAATTCTAATCTTGGAGACATAATTCCAAAACTCATCGTTCCAAAAACTGTTTTGCCAATCTCTCAATTTTTATCTTCCCAACTGATATTTTGTAAACACTGTTGGTAATGGCAATCACAACAGTTCAGTGAAAAAGGATTTGCCTAGAATAGCAATCCAAGAAGATTCGCATCACCCCACTTTCAAGTAGCAAAGGCCTCCAATCACGTACTCTCGCTACTGGCCCTAGAAACTACAAAGGTATCTTCGTTTTCTGAATGACTAATAGTTAACTGTTATCAAGATGACTATTTGGATGACTTGAACTGGATTATTTGATAATTTGGTATTTTTGGGCTGAATTCATTGCTATATCTGGTAGAAGGACTTTTTAATATCCCATATTGTGATTGCGAATCATCTCAATCAAATGTCCGTCGGCTTGCAAGGCGGAGCATTGGGCGACGCATGCCAGTCACTAAGTCCTGCAGTGGTTATTGAGGCCATCAATATATTAATTTCTTTATCTTCAGGCATTTTATTTATCTCTCTTTTAACAGATGATCTTGAGCGCATCATGTCACTTATTTCAACGATGGAGTTAACTCTTTGGCATCCTACAATGGATGAGGTTGATATTGTCTGGTCCTCTCAGGTCAAAATGGTACAAAAACGTGGAGGTAATCTGTGTGCTCCAATACCAAAGGGCGACATAGGCCGTTGTGGTTACTTGAATGACTTGTCTTATGAAGGATTGCAGTTAAAACTTGCCAGTTACAAGTCATTGTGCCATTCATATCCACGGAAAGGCCATGGGGTAGACATGCATTGTGAAGATGTTGGGTTGCAGAATCCAGCGACAACTGCGCAGCATTATATCAGGCTAGAGCAAAAATCAAAGACTGAGGCCGCTCCAAAGATGTCCTATGCAGAATGGATCAAGGAAGTTCAAACGACTCGAAACAGTGAATGGAAATTCAATGTAATGTTCGAAGAGGCTGCAAACACGGAAGCTCCTCCAAAATTTGACCATGTTACTTTGTTCCATCCTGGAGTGGAACAATATGCAATGTCAGTGACATCTTTGCCGTCGGAAGATATTAAGACAGTTGCAAAGGCAACAACAACTGCATCATTATTTGCACCATGCATGGTTGGAACACTAGAATCGCAGTTTCTAAAAATGCAAGTTGCAATAGCAAAAGCTAAAAACGTTTTGGACATTGGGACCTTTACAGGTATGGATTGGTGTTGGGCAATCGACAGATATAAAAGTGGCTTAAGTCATCTGTCAATTAATATTGGCCAATCAATGAGCGTGTGAGTGGAATCATGCTCACCGATTGGTCAATGTTTTATTGAAAAAAAAGATTAAGCCCCTTAATTATCTGTCGATTGCCTTAAGATGTGTCTTTTGTGATTTTTAGATGGTGTATCGGGTGAAAGTGATGTTTTTTGTTGTTCGTTCAATGTCCGAATCTAAAGTTGGCTAGGCAAAAGTATGTCTGTTACTTAAGCATATACGGTGCTCATGCGTATATTTGAAAAAATAGGGCGTTAGCATATTTGATACTTACATAGCCAGTCTGGGTCTTCCGACAGTTCTATATTGTTTTGGTAACGTTTTTCATAAGAAGAAAACATTTAGAAGAGAATAGAATTTTCAAAAAACCTTTCAGAGCAACTTAGATTTATTTGAAATCTAAGAAAATGCCACTGCAGAGTTACTTTGTGGAAATTCCTCTGTTTTTCGAAATAATTTTAATTTAAAACCTCTAAAATGCAAAGTTAATGTCAAAGGAACTGTTAACAACCTAGACTGGAACGTTAGGACAGCTACAGCTTGAGTTAACGACTAATGTAGAAAGCAATAATTAGCTCATTTTTCGTAGCGTCTGAAACCTGAAGGTTAACCAAGTATAGGTGCGTTATAAGCTGATGGGAAGGTCAATGGGAAAGTTATGAACAATTGCTTAATCTTGGATAGCCTGTTTTTTATAGATTCAACGGTTTTTTATATATATACATAAAATGTAATGCTTTGTTGCTACATCGGGTAATATAATTGTTGAACATGTGCGAGCAAAACGTCCTACCTTAAATTCACGTCTTGGATAAAGAAAAGAAAGTAAATTGAAACAGCACTCTTAAAATTTTAATGTTATGTTTAGTATACTTGTTGAATTTTTTTTAACAAAGGACTTAATGAGAATGTACTTCTTACGAGGTCAGATTCTTTCTTGTCACGCTCCCTAACCAAACATATGATATTAAAGCATTTCTTAACATTTTACTCATGAAGGTATGTCTGCGATGTCAATGGCTGAAGGGATCCTGTTCGATGATGGAAAAGTGGTCACGTTGGAAAATGATGAAACGTACGCAGATGTAGCAGAAGAGTGCTTCCGGAGGTCTAAAATTGGGCACAAGATACAGCTACTTAGAGGAAATGCTGTTGATAGCATGAAGAGGCTTTTGGAGTCTGGTGAGAAGTTTGACGTCATATTCATTGATGCAGATAAGGAAAATTATATAAAGTATTATGATCTAGCCATGTCTGGGCTCCTCAGCGAAACGGGCTTCATAATGGCCGACAATGCCTTGTGTGCATTGCTTTACGATGCTGATGACGAAAGAAGCCAAAAATTGCACGAGTTTAACCAGCATGTAAAGAGCGATAAGAGGGTGGAACAGACTGTTCTTACATTGCGAGAGGGAGTTTCTATTATAATGCCGATCAAGAAGAATTAGGAAATTTTTTACACTTTCATCTATAGTTATGGTTTAACAATTTTCATGATTGGTTAATCACTGTCACTCAATGTCAATTTTCCTCTTAATGATAGAATTGTCATTTTGCACTGTCTGTACTGAGACGCCTTCTTTCACTATCTCTTTGCATAAAGGAAAAGATCCCAAACTTGGGAGGCTTGGGAAGTCCTTTGAATGCAATGAAAACACAAGATTGGAAATGTCAAGTAGAAGATCCCTGCCTAAAGGAAAAAATTCAAAACTTGGGAGGCTTGGGAAGTCCTTTGAATGTAATGAAAACGCAATGTTAGAAATGTCAAGTAAAAGATTAACTGGGATTCACTGATAAAAGATTCTTAAAATTCAGTACTGAAGCAAAACCAACAATATTGTAAGTTAGAGAGCCTTAAACTAAGACAAATCATCTTAAGAAGCATTTTTCTCTTGGCCACATATTAAATCAGATTTACAAACGCAGCTGCCTTTTATAGGACACGTGAAACTAAAACGGCAGATGCAATGATATTTAAAGAATGCTACTAAGTAACCATGTCATTTGCTGAAGAAAGGGAGTATCAAATACGTACTCAAAAGTGCGTGTACGGCAAGGCTGGTGCCCAATCGCATGAAATTCATTTTATACTACAGAAAGAAGTAGTGCAAAATTCATTAAAGATAGAGGAGTACTTTCAGTGTCATAACCTGAATATAGAGCACAAAGCCTACTATAACTATCCACTTTGTACGTAAGGTAAAAGCAGGTCTATATGTGCCTCTACTGCATCCCTGCTTACAGCCCTGTTTTCATTATAAAAGTCATGTTAAAGTAATTTAGAAGACATGATACAGAAATAAGAGGCCATGCAATGTTTTTTACGGCTGTTGGAAATTGCACACTAGCAAAAGAAGCAATTGCACTCCTTGACACTCGAAGAATCCTTCCTTCACCCAGTATCGAATGCTGGGACAAGAAGACTGTTTTTTAGTGAAATTTATACTACATTCTTTTATTCAAACAAGAGCATTTGGGAATAAGGTTTCTTACAGTAACTGATACCAGTGCAAGCATAAGCAGCATTGATCTGCCTCAAAAGATTGCCTGAACTTAAACTTTTCTATCTTATAAACTAGCAGTTTTGCTACAGAACAGTAATACCATATATTTGTTGGTTTATAATGGTTTATAAGCGACAACAGTTAGGAACATGGCTTTTAAAAAACATTTTGTCCGACTATCCGCAATTATTTCCCCCGAACAGCTGATACCATCAGTAACCACAAAAAATTTCGTCGTGACCAAATTTCGGCAAATATTTTGACGAAATTTTTTTTAGACTAAATTTTTAATGAGATAAAACTTTATGCATCCCTTAAATCAAGTCGATGATAATTGCATCATTATCCTCATTTAGATAGTCTCAATGGCGATCTTTGTCGTCGGCATCATCTTCGTCATCATTTTCGGTTCTTGAACTACATTCGCTCTCAACATAGTGCGAATAGTCCTAGCTGTTTTTGTCGCAGTTTTCAAAAGATTCCATCTGTCTTTGTATAGTTCAAAAGGTACTGTTTCTCTCATTCACTCAAGGTATTTGAGCTTTCCAACACAAATTTCCAGACCACTTTTTCGTATTAGAGATGGTCCTATATTCTCCAATTCTTATACTTATATTTCTGCTTGTTCTTTAAATTATGCTTTGTTTATAAACTTTCAAATCATATTGATAGATTCTGCTTGTTCTTTAAATTATGCTTTGTTTATAAACTTTCAAATCATATTGATAGACAGTATTGACTTTTTGGGTGCTAGAAGCATCTCTTTTGATTTGCCTACATATAAACAGAAAAAATATACCGCTTTAATTTTGGTTCTACTGAAATGCTGTTCTGTATGAAGAAGCTGCAAGGAGGGTTAAGGCAAATTGCAAGAGAGCGTTTAAGCAAACTAGTCTCTGCGGAGCTTGTGGTTTTGCCTCTTAGAATCTAGGTAGTATTTTGATATCTCTGCTTTCTTTAAACCACGACGAAATTTTGTCACGACGAAATCTTGAAAAGTTGTCCCGAAATTTTTTTCGACTATGATTATCCGCCTAGAATTTATCTGAGAAATTTTTTTTAACGTTATCTTTTCAATAATTTTGAGACAAGAAGGCTTCAACATCTTCATTCATGTCTCGAGCGCTAAGTAAGACTCGCTCGAATATGGTACGCTTGGACTCTAATATATCCTCTTCTCTCGAACCCAACTTTGTCAACGGATCTTTAATATTTTGGTGTAGAATGAATTAATGTTTTGACGGTATAGAATGAGGATTGCTAATGTGAAGTAAGAAAATAAACTCGACAGTGGATCGAAACAGACAAATAAGAAACGCGAGAGCATAACAGTTGTTGTTAAGGTAACCCATTCAGTGCCACATGTATAAAAAATATGCTACTGGAGCCTCAGGGTAAAAACGAACGCATTTTGGCTGTAAGAAAGCAAGACAAAGAAAACAAATCTCGTCAAGCTTAAGTCAGTATGTTAAAATGATAGTACAATATGTATAAAAAGTTATGCGTATATATTAATTGATTGTTAATTTGTTTGATATATTGAAGCATGTCAAACAGCGCTAAAAGCACAAATTGATTATCAAAGTTATAATCACAAACAGTAAACGAGAAGCTCATCCGGCATATTCCGAAAAAACCATTAGGCACAAAGCAGACTAAATAAGGCATTTTCTAGCTGCAGGAATTTTTTTTGAGAAAATTAAAGTAAGTTTTTACACCGACTTACTTCAACTCTAGCCAAAAGCCTTAAAAATACGCATCATAAAGTGCAATATGGAATATAAATTTGACAGATCCAATTTAACAAAAACCTCACTCAAATACAATGTAGGTCCATGATGTTGCAAAAGAGTACAATAGAATAGTAGTCGTTTATAAAGAAAGCGTCTTGTAACTGCTGATTCACTATGACGACCTAAATTAAGGATCTATGGCTTTTGCTTTGTCCTATAATTTCCTATTAATGATTCTAAACACTCATGTACGATTCGGGTAAATTCATAATTTCATTTTCAATACTTTCCCATGTCTAACAACTTGTTATAGTTTCCTAAGTCAAACAGGACAATTCCTCCTTCACATGAGTAATGTCATCTCCGACACTATTTAGAAGAAATGTAAAAAATATATTTTTAAGAAACAAGACAAGTGCCCGTGAAAACATACAAGAAGTAAAAACATAGTTCCATAGAAATTTAACATGTCGCTACTTAGTAATAAACGAGTGCGTGTGTATAGATAGTATTTTCAATGGATTCCTATGTATTATGAATGCTGTTATTGCAGACTATGAAATAAAATGTAATGCTATAAAGCATGTATGCGAATGGTTACATCAAATTCAAATATTTTTGGTAAGGTGCTGCGTGCATTAATGAAATTAAATGGTAAACCTTTCTAAAATGACAGATAAAATACTTGAAAAACATGTCTAAGTGAAAAATTACAAACGTATCCAGCTTGGTGTCACATGGAACCCCTTAAAATTCAAAAAGTTCACTATGAAAATCGAAACTAACACCTTCCTTTGAGAAAACGTCAGAATATTTCAAAGCGTCCTTTACAAGTCGACCAGGTCCACAGCTTAGTACGGCAACTTTGTTTTCTTCAGTTGACTGGGCAAGTTTGTGTACTGAATCAAAGATTGACTCTAGATTAGGCCTTCCAAACTTCAAACAGGACTGCAGCCCAGGGCTTATATTGGCAGCAGCGTAATCCTTCGGCTCTCTTGCACGTGTCAAGTAAAACTCGGCATTTAGGACACTTTCGTGCAGGCTCTCTGTCAGGAGGTCTGGGGAGAATGAAAATGGAAGACGTTGTGGTATATTTTTGCTGAAGTATTGCGTGTCATAATCAAGAACTGATGTCACCATGAACGCATCGCGAACGGACCATATGAAGTAGACTTTTTTAAGCGGTCTGCCTTTTTTGTACTGATGAATGAGGTCGTTGCAAATTGATTGCATAGGAGTTATGCCAATCCCACCAGAGATGAAGACAAATATTTTGTAACGATCACCGTCCACATCAACTGAAGGTTGCCCGTACGGGCCGTCGATGAAGGCAGTTGTTTCCGTTGAATCAGCTTTCTCATAAAGCTGCTTGGTCCAGTTACCCAGTACCCGGATGTGCAAGTAGACCTCATCATTATGGGGTGACGAAGAAATACTGAAAGGATGCCACTCAAAGTACGACACCTTTGGGATGCAGATAAAAACGTACTGCCCTGCCATGTATCTAAAGTTCTTCTTTTGAAATGAAAGCCGTATAACATCAGCTGGAAGTCGAGTCATCATGACAGTGGCAGAGTTCGATCTGTTTCTCCACAAAATGATACATCTACACAATATATCAAAGGCCCAGATCCCGACGCCCACCATAACAACACCTGCATCATGGATCAAAGCAGCAACAGCAACACCGATGAAAAGAACCCAGTGAAGTTTTAAAAAGATCTCAAAAACCCAGCGTCTGAAAGGGAAGAATGAAAAAATAAGCAAACCACCCATCAAAGCAACTAACAAAATACCAGAACCATCGGCCTCCTTACTCACAACGCCGTGATAAACACCACTGATAACACTAAAAAGTGCCATCCATTTATGCCACTTTAACGCACGCTCAAATGGAACACCAAATATGAACGTAAATACGGAATTGCGGCTGGCCAGGGCAAAGGTCAACAAAAGAGGTATCGTTGCTGCACCACCCGTTGATTCGTCATCACAACAGGTAACCCCTGCGGGGACGGCAGCAACAGCGAGGGCTAATATGAACATAATAATTTCACCAACACATATATCAAATACAACTCTTTTCATGAATATTTGGACCCAGGCCCAGCGAAATTTGTAATACAGAGGCGGCATGAAGAAAGTAACAGGCATTTCTTTGGAAGCAGCTTCGTAAGGTTTCCAGTCCTTCAATGCACTTCCGCTCTCTGGGTCTCTTCTAACTTTTTCTTGTTCATCATTTTCAATGTAGGGGGGAGCCTCTTTGACAGTTGCCTCCGACCCCATCTTGACTACGACACGAAGTTCTTCGTCAACGCCTTTGTTTACAACAACGGACTCCGACATTTTAGATACCTCTTAACCTGAAACTGAAATAAGAAAACCATAAAAGAATAAAACTTTGATTCATGTCAAATATCCCTGGAATTTGAAACAATCGTTCAAAATATGCGTGCGCTTAGATGAGAGGGAATAGAATTCCCCAAATAATGGCATCACAAATGTTTTCTTAAGAAGTTTTTTAATTTGGACCCCACAACCATAAAGAGCATTATGAAACACCACTTATGTTCCAAATCAGTTACATATTTTAAATACATACATTGCATTAGTCTTATCAAGGTATCACAACATGAGCAGGAACTCTTTCCCTGTCAAATCATGGTTCAAAAAGCGTAAACTGTGATAACATATTTTTGCAACAGGTGGTACAGTTTCTTAAAAAGAGGAATAAATTTAAAAAAAAACTATTTTTAACAATAGGTTTCTTGTAAGATGAAGAAGATAGAAGCATCTGCCTGTAAAGTACTGACATCATACCGTTGGACTGAAAGTAATGAGTTTTTATAGAAGAATGTTTTGAAATAAATAGAGGCGGGAATTTGACATTTTTTGTGGGGTAGTGATAATGTCAATTTCAAATAGGTAATGAATGGCGCCAGAGGATGCAACAAACATTTCGTCGGAACTTATATATTTGGGTCAGAAGTTAAAGAGCGAAGCGGTGCCTGCCATCAAGTCACAGAATCCAAGTCTTGTTTTTCCAAGCCATATTACTTTTTACATTTACTTTAATTGCAAAGCTTTTGTTCTAAATAACCAATTATCAGAAACTGGAACAAGTCAGACTTAACAACAGGTATAAAACTTTGAAAAAGTAGGCCTAAAGCTGCTTAAAAGCGAGCTGTGAAAGGCGCAGTAAAGTATTATCAGAAGTCAAGAAATTAAACGATTCAGCTAACTTTTTTTGACTTATTTAATTGTGAATATTTGGAAACAACTTCAAAAATATAACGATGAATAACAAAACCGTAACTAAATCAAATTGAGTCACTGATTCCGATTTTCACCAATTCCAGGAAAGGGTTACACAAGTTTTTAAAGTGGATTATTTCTAAAGATTTTGCGATGTTAGCCACAACCAAAAAGGCAGTTTCAAATACAGGCACGACACCCCTGGGGGCCTGGGAGCTGAAGCCTTCCTCCGCTATTTCAAAAATAAAAATTTTTGACCCTCTTTTTCAACTTTTTTTGAAAAAGAGTATAAAAAAGAACAAACTGAATTATACCAATCTGTTATATTTCTATTATTTGTCTGTTATTTGCATCAATTCAGTAGATATCTTTCTGTATCATTGCAATGTCTGCATTTTGGATGTGTAAACATGGCCTAATGAAAATACTCGAGACAAAGTAGATGCACATTTCTGTCCAGGAAATAAATTATCTTAATCAATACAGCAGCTTCTTGTTATTTACATCGATGTGCACTTTGAACCAAAGGTCACGCCTTTTTTCTTTCCCGAACGTCGCCACTAGCGCTTTAGCATGACTCCTCCCCTCCCGAATTTTTCCTAAAAATCAATAATCAATGTTTTCTGGGAATCGTCGCATTGTCTTCTTTGAGCGGTATATTTGATTGTTAAATTTTAGTCTGGGAGATGCATTTTTAGCCATTCTAGAAGGCTGAATTTCAAAAAACCTTCTTTTGCGTTAGATCAAATTATGATGGCTCCTCATATGTCACAGAACATGATTCTCAGCCCCCCCCCAGGTTCAATTTTGTGGGGCCGTCTCTGAAATAGAAGGTTTGATACGATCTGCCTTTGGTATAATCTATGAACAAGATTTGCTACAATGCAATGTCTAATTAGGCAAGATGTACAAATGTCACGCTCAATCCCCAGTTTAATGCCATGGTGCCACCATGTTTGCTGGGGCTGCCTGCTCCCCTGATGAATTTTTCCTGATGACGTCCAGTCTACCTGATTATAAGGCCTTAGGCGCAAAAGAAATGGGGCCGAGGGACTGTGACCCCCTATCAGGCAAAATTTATTGAATTCAAACTCAGTTGGGCAATTTTATCTTAACGAAGCAACAATATCCAGGCAAGACCCATACCAACAGTGGTGGAAATACAGGCTTTCATTCTGCGGCGGCCCAGGCCCACCACCTTGAATAGTCCTTCGGCACGTTAAACGTTGTCAATTTCCTGACAAGCCCATATTCTCCGACGAGAACCCTGATTGGGGTGGGGGGCTAAGTTCCCTTATGCCCTCATAATTTCCACCATTGCATACCAAGCCCCCTAAATATTAAACCTCTGCTACGCTCACATTCATAAATAACAACTTGCTTCTTGCAGCCCCCTCCCCCCATACGAAGCTCAAGCCCCCGGACCAACTCGCCACCTCTCCATTTTTGCGGCAACCTTTGCCAACTTCTTCTTTTCATGACCAAATTGAGTGATGCATGCGTGACCTGTTGTTGCGCTGTCCTGCCTTTGTAAATTACACTGAGAAGTATTCTTGTGAACAATTTGAGATTAAAACCGCAAAACCATGTATATGTTTGTGTTTATGCAATGGCACCTTTTCCATACTAAAAACCATTCATCAAATTGCATTTCGATGACTAAGGGGCTCGATGACTAAGGGGGTGGGAAAAACCCTCGCAAAGCCTTGAAACAAAACAGCGGCGAAAGAAAGTTTTGACCCACTTATTCCATCCTATACTTCTCGAAGTTTGCAGAATTCTTGGATTTTGAGCACAGGCAGGGGGGGGGGGTTGTACCATTGTAAGGAAAAAATGAGATCCATCCTGGAATGATATGCAAATAATGAGACACATATCTTGATTTCTGAAAAAATAACTTGAATCAGGGGAGGATTGGCAAAAATGGGCCCTGGAAGCATTTTTGGAAAGTCGACACAATTCTTGTTTCACAAAAAAACAATCAATTCAATTTCAAATGCAAAGTAAACAACATTTTAATTGGCAGAACTAACTAAACTTAAAGTCCAACATCCAATTATATAATAATAACGGGGCACGCACAGCATAAAGTACTTAGATATAGCTGTGTAAATAAAGAAAAGGTCACGATAGCAGTCTGCTCGACGGACTCCAAGGAGTTCTTGCGGCGAAAAATCGATGAAAATGTAGCAAAAAAGAAACACCACAATACGACGAGAATAAACAACAATAAATACACGTAACTATTTCGCCCCATTGGTTGCCGCCCCAGGAAAATAATTTTTTTTAATTTTGGTGCATCTAGTTCGCTGGAAAATGCACGCTTTTAAGCAATTTTTACTAAAGCAATTCTCCCTATCGTCTCGAAAATACAATGTTTTTGCGTTACTACCAGCACTACACTAATTGTCAAACGCAACGCCCCTGACTGATTGCGATGCTTCTGATTGATTTCTGGGGTGCAGCGAATCTAGGATTTATATATAGGCCCATGCATGGTTGCAGGATATCGAGAGGCCACCGGGAAAATTTCCCGGTGTCGCGATGAGCCACGCCGCTGTTAGATGCTCGAAAAATATTACAAATAACATTTTGATCGCTATTATTTCTAAAACTAAAATCATACATCTATTATTCTAGATATTGAGACCCTCGAGCATATGATCACTATTTGGCGCTCGTCCCTTCGATATTATTGGTAGGACAATGTTACATTGTTGTTATTGCATGATTTAAAAAGTAAAGACATTTTCATTAAATTAATTTAATTTGTCAGTGTCGGGTAAAACCCTGTTTACTACGAGCTAGAATGAGGCTGACCAGAAAAACTCCGCAAATTATTCTAAACTTCAAGTTTCAGCCAGCTCACAAACATCAGCCTTAAATCCAACTGCATCACCTTCCTGCAGTAGGCGGCAACTAAGTTGCGAAGCACTTATCGTATCGGCGTTTGAACTGGAAAAAGGGCTGGAACCCTATCGATGCCGTAAAACCAAATTAAAATCCTACGATTAAGTACAAAAAGCTTAATTCATACAGACATGCATAATGAAAAATTCAAATACCTCAATCTTGCTGGAACCGCCTTACATTCAACGACAGTGATTTCTCTCAAGACTAGGCCTATTTCGGGATTGTTGACAATAGCCTTTTTCGGTTGATGAATGTCGATTCCTTTTGTTTCTTTGTGTATTTACGATTCAATAAACAAAAGATTCGAGCAGGTTTTGTTTGCCATTGCTTTGCTTATAATGTAACTAAGCAACAGGGCCTACCAATGTTCAGTGGCGTCGCTGGACCTTCCAGATTAGGGGGGTGGAGGGTCATCAATAGAAAAATTTACCGACGAAGACATAGATTGAGAAGAATTTAGGTACTTTTTCACCTACTTATAGCTGATTTTACCGACAAACGAAGGGTTTTGTAAACAAACTGAAGATTTACCGACGAATGCAGGAGGAATTGGGGGTGTTACACCCCCCTACACCCCCCCCACTAGCTACGCCCCTGCCAATGTTAATTTCCTGACGCACACAATGATCTTCTCTTGAAACTTCCTACTAAGCATTTCGTGTCTGTACTTCGTAATCTGTGAAGACAAAAATCTTCGTTCTTCCAAGACAAAAATCTGCCGGGTGCGCCAGGAACCTTTGTACTTCCAAAGATTTTTATGCTAGAATTTCTCAAATGTTCTCAGATACTACCTGGTAAGTATCTAAGATACAAAAATGCAACACATGATAACATTCTAAAAAACCTAATAAGTGATAAAGAGCTCTTCTTTTATTATCTAATTCAAATGAACAGAAATTAAATTCTTAATTTTTCATAAAAAAGCAATTACATCCCATTTTTAAAAGAATCTCTTTCGAGTACTAGGGGTAGTGTCTTAAAGTTGATTGTGATCAGCACCTTAGGCCAAATTCTTTTATAAACAGGTTCTTATAAAGAATCAGAGAAGTATTTTAGCATTGTGCTATTAGATCTTCAGACTTTGGGATGTAAAAGATAAGATATTTTGCTGACTTATCATTTTAGTCACTTCGATAATCGTTTTGGTTTTGGTCTACACCCTCGGAGGGCCTTGGCAAGGAAAATGACGGGGTGTGCAGAAAACCTTTTTGCACCAAACCTTGTCCGATAAAAAGTTACCAAAAGCATCTCCTGTTCCATAATGTAGTCAATGGTGTAGTCGAAAATTTATTAGAAATTATAACGCAAAGTCAAAAAACAAAAACAGCGTTTCATTGGCGATTTTTTGAAAAACATCATATTTTGTGCTCATCTGCATTGAATAATTAACTGTTTGCGTTTACCCTGGGTGCCAGAGCCTCAGGGAATCAAAGGATGAAGAACGGGGGAAGGAATTGCGAAGGAGAATGGAAGAGGATATTTTCGATGTTCTGTATGCAGGTCATCTTTTCGTCCCTTTTCATTCTTTCGCATCCTCTTTATTGAAATTGGTATCTTCTCTGTCCACTTTTTTGTGTCCATTTGGCTACATGACTTGCCCATTTGAGTTTTCTGCAACGTCAAACCATTAGGTTTGTTACCTTAAGCTTTCATTTGTCCACTTGCTCAGGCATGCGATGCTATGACTCCAACCATTAATCTTTTCTTCAAATTTAAAGCATTGATTTTTTCTCATGAATCAACGTATTCCCAAAATCGTTGCCCTCCTGTAGCTATTCTTCTGTCAATTTATTTCGTACTTTCATATTTATTCAAACCTTGGTTGAGACAAGTATTGAAAGCCTAACCAATTTATTCTCTATATTATTTAATCAAAAATTGTATATAGGTAATTATACCTAGTATGATACTGAAATTTGTGGAGCATAACGCTACTGTTTGCTTGGGTTAGTTAGTATGAGGGGCGTTGTGGATAGGCGAGACACCGGGAGATTGAGTTTATAAAACCCAGGAAAATATTTTATGTGAACAAAACCCTTGGTCAAAAAATACCTCACTTAAATGTAGACTCAAGTTCATGGTTTAGAATTAATTAGAAACTAGGGTCCCATGAAAGGGATGCATGCCTAAACTATGAACACAAGGCCGCTGAGGTGGGGGGGGGGGGCAAGGAGCGAGGAGGGGCAAACTGCCCAAGGGTCCGAAGTCTAGAGGGCAGTTTTAAGGTCAGGAATTCCATTTAAAGCACTGCATTTTAACAATAATGCAACCTTCCTCATCACCTTCCTCAATTTCGCTTTGTTTCTTCAACCTTCCTCCGGCCAGTAGCCGTTGGGCGGTGATGTTTTCCTTCCTGACAAATATAGCAGATGAACCTTTAAAAATGATGAAAACGGACATTTTTTTTATTTTCCAGATACGTACCATTTTTTTGGCGACCTGTGGATTGTGGTTGGAGATGTCATTCAAAAGAGCGGGCCACCTTCTGACACTACAAAAGGGGCTATTTGGGTCAAAATTTGATGGAATAATTTGGGTCTAAATTCCCTTTGACTGTAACCAGAAGCGTGACTTAAATAAGTGAGTCGACTATGTACGGTTTTTATATCTATTTTTCATGGATGATATAGGGTGTATTGTATAAATTCCTGTAGGTTTTCAAGCTTTTGTTTGCCAGATGAAGAGTATGTCATCGATAAATCTTTTCGAAAATATTTGACTACGCCCCATCGGGGCATTTCTCTAGATATGTTGTTCTATTTTTGTCATGATCTATTATGTTGGTATATTATATTATTATGTTGGCATAATCTGGGGCTTAAGGGAGGTAAAAAAAATTTACCGTTACACTCTTCTTTATAACAGCCAATAAATTGAAGCTCAGGCTGGTTGTTCTTAATTTTTTCGAAAATCTGAGGCTGAATTGTTCTTAATTTGTTTTTAAATTTATAGGGTGTAAGCAGTGCGATTGCTAGCTTTTTGCTCTAGTGAGGTGTCCAGGCCTCATTTGCCAACAAAATGCGTGAGAAAACCTTTAATATGCCGCCATGTTTTAATATTTACCGAAGAAGCATCCCAAGGTGGCAAAAAACTCCTCGTTTTTTAGATGAAACATTGTTCAAAGTTACATTTTATAGTAGCTCAGCCTCAGCTTGTTCTTAATTTGTTCTCAACTTTTTACCAATTTCGAAGCTCGCGTTCTTATAAAACGAGAGTGTAAATGCAATATAATTATGTTTCAGAATAAAAACACCATCTATTGTATTTTATTAACAGCAGGGTAGATTCCCAATTATGATTTCTGATGGCATTGAGGGAAGCTTCGACGTACCTAATTTTCGGCGTACCTAAACAAATGCCCCAAAGGACCTTCGGCGTACAGTTGACATGAAATGTACCCTGGATGCTCTTTGAATCCAGGATGGAGGGTTGCCTCACTCATTCAAAAACGTTCTCTTGCTCAACTCCCAAGGTTATGCAAGCACATCGGTGAACTTGTGGGCACACTGAGCAAGGACCTATTTTAGTGTTACGGGAACTGAGGGCCAGTTCCCAACATTTCCAACTTTTGCAGGGCAAATATGCAGCCACCCCCCAGTGCAAATATGCAGCCACCCCCCAGTGCAGCCACCCCCCAAAGTATAAAGTGATGCCCCTGGGTGCAGGGGCGCAAATGCAAATTTTTTTAGGGGGGTGTTATTTGAAGGGACCGAGTTTTCGCCACGACAGACCGATTTTTGAGATATAGATATTGTCGGGGCCGCTCTCGAGGGCCGTCGCGAGGCAGGCCTTGTTGAGGAGGGGAGTGGAGGGGGGGGGGGGGGGGTGGATAACAAATTTACCTGATTGAAATATGATTGCCTGAAATTATATAGTTGCTGTCACGAACCTCCGCAATATATTTTGTGAATCTAACTCTGTATATAATTCGCCACATATATTTTATATGATAATAACCGACTTTCCTGATAGTTTTGTCAAATCTCTATATCGGAACGGGTAAAGGATATAGTTACTACCCGAGGCGGCACCATGGTTGCCGCCGAAGGAGGAGGAAATTTTCGAGTTTTGATGCTTCCAGTTCCCTGGAAAATGCACTTTTTAAGCAAATTTAACCAAAGCAGTCCTCCTAACCCTATTGAAAATTCTTTCTTGCAAACAAATTGAACAGCAGTTAGAAACAACTGGTACAATTTCGCTATGGTCTTGAAAAAAACCATGTTGTCAGTTACTTTTACAGTAAACAAGGCTGGTTGTCAATTTGGATCACTCTTTTCATCTTAGCATGCCTTTTGAATGTTCAAAAAAACCCGGCTTTCATTGTGAATTGCAGTTCGAGAAACTTTGGGGGAAATGGAAATAAGGCATAATTTCACCTAAAGAGGGCCTGGATTTTTAGATTCAATGCCAACAAGAATATCATATTTAATTTAACCAACGGAGCAACTACCTTTGCTTGAACCTTCATTTATTTTATGACAGGCAGGTCTCTGAAATACCTAAAGCGTTTCTTCCACCGTGCGGATTTTACCTGAAATTTCCAATTGAGATACTATTGAGGGAATATGACTGCTGCTCTCGCATTCATTTTTAAATTTGCGCATCCAACGCCGCGCATAGCACGGAAACAAGATAAAGCTTGTACATATGGCGAAAAAGTTTTTGTTGTCGGTGGCAGCTAGAGTTTTTTTCCAAAGCAGCGCTGGTTGGGACCGGACTGGACCGATTCTGTCCCCTGTCATTTTTCGGTGATTAGCCCTTCCTAGAAAATGCGCCCACTATATGCCTTACTTTACTGCAATACAGCATGGTACCAGCAAAATTGGGACCAGCTTTGGGTGTGATAGACAGAAATACTAAGCAGATGGCTAGATCGGGACCGACTTTATTGCTATCAACTTTCAACTGGGACCGGCTAGTGAAATTATTGGGGGGTGTGACACCCCCCGACACCCCCCCTCTTCTCATTTGCGCCTCTGCCTGGGTGATTGGTCAGATCCCAGCTCCTGGTATACACCAGTGCAAAAAAAGCTTATTAAACAGAATGTGGATTTTTTACTTCTCAGGATACCTTTCCTAAACCTGCCCCATGATTTTCTTTATTATGAATTCCTTTCATCCATTTCCGATTTCACACAGATCTAGCATAATTTGACAACTGTGGCATTATTCCGAAATTTTGATCTGATCACGCTGTTCCCGGGTGTCATTCTAAAAATATTATAGTAATCTACAAGAATATTTTCAGAAGAGACCATTTGCACTAGAGGCTCGTGCAAGAGTGAGGCAGACTTCGACAAAATTCGAAAATACAGCATGTGAGAGTATGGTTTTGCCACAATAGTATGGTAAGAAATTTGAGTCTTTCTATAGATATGAAGCATTTTTATTTTTGTGAAATGTCTTACAACTTCCTTAGAATATGATTATTATAAATTATTTATTTAATAAGGGTAATGCAATTTAATTACAGGCTTGGAGGTTAGATTTTAGTTCAGGCCTCTAGCTAGAATTCAATGGCAGTTGCACGATAAATCTTTGTAAAATTACGAATGCACTCTTGCACACCCGAAAGATGGGAGTGGTTTTGGGTGTGTCTCAAATTATAAAGCTTTTTCAAATACGACAATATGACTTTCTAAATTTTTTCGCATCCAACTGATATTGGGAAAAAGTGTATCATTCTAAATTAAATGATCTTATTTTTATTTTATTTTTATTTATTCTATTTAGTCTTATTTAAACACAATACCCTATCGGCTATTTAACAAATTAGCTATAAGACAATAACTAAAGCTGCTCTTTCAAGGGGTCGTGTTTACGTCATTTCAAGAACTTCTTTAATCTTACTTTAACGGAGCTCAATGAGGCAGAATCTCGTATTTGTTTTAGGATCTCGTTCCAGGTACTTGCTCCCTGGTATCCAAACTTAGACTTTTTGCTGTATTCAAGACAAAGCCGAGAAATTTCGAAATCATCAATTTTTCTTGTGGTATATTTCAAAATATTTGACCTAGGAGTTAATTTATTTTTGAGGTTCTCAGTGCAGGTTCTTGGAGATCAGGGCTCCAGAGAAGTTTTAGTGGCCCTGGGGCAAAACTAAAAAACTTGGCCCCTTCCTAGCGAAGCAAGCAGAAAAGCTTTTGTGATCAGGTTCTTTAGATTAGTTTGAATGTACTTGGCTAACTTGAGAATAGTTTTTAAATTGTTTAAAATGTTCTTTTGTTTGATTAATTCTATTTCTAAAATTGGAATTTCTCCATGAAGCTCCCTAGGCCCTTGGGCAATTTGCCCCCTTGAACCCTTCTCAGCAGCTCTGCTTGTGAAAATCCTTAAAAGACGTTATTTCTAAAATTATTCATTTGCTTGCTAGACCTTTAGGAATTTGAATAACAGCCACTGATGGTAGTGGCAGGTAAGCATCATTTTCCTGAGATGTGAAATCTATGTAAACAGGATAAGTGCCTGAAAATATGCACACACTCAAGGATAACTGGGAATTTGGTGTACATTCAAATGTGCACACATATCACAATTGCACTCTTGCACTCCTGGGTAATATCTTGTGCACTCCTGAGATCTCATCAAAAACTGCCATGAAATCTAGAGTGGGCTAGGAGGCTTGCCTTGCACCTTGGCCATTTCTCTAGATCTCAGGTACCGCACGAAGCTGGATTCTTTTGCATGAAAGGGTAGAAGAAGGAATAGGAAAAGAAAAATGAATGCAAAAATAAGGTTAAAACAATGGATCACCTGTAATGAAATTACCAACGTCATCATCATTCAGCTGATATGATGGCAAGTCTACAGAGTATGGCATGTGCCCATTGTACAAATTTTGTCTTATAACTCCTACACACCAGTGGGATTTGGGTGTAAAGAACCAAAGGGGAGTTAGTGGGCATGGTCATATACACTATTTCTGGCCCAGTAAGAAGTATTTTTGAAATCTATATTACGATGCAGAATTTTCTTTTTTTGTTGCATTGCAGTCTCTGAATTGCATTGTACTGTATTCTATTGCATGTTGAGCAAATTTTAGTCGTATATCATCATGTGAGATAATGGTAATTTCAAACTTCTCAAGTAGCAGGACTTCTCAATTAGCAGCATTTGGATGATCCAGACGATGAAACAAAGTGACTGACATTTCACAGTTTATAAGGGGATGAAGGAAATTTGATCCTTGGGGGGGGGGCAGGTTTAATGGAAAGCAGTGTAGTGAATCGTGTGTTGGATTCCTTGAGTAGTGAATGGCTAGGGATGGTGTTCAGCAAGGATCAGTCCTTGGTCCAATATTTTGAATATCTTCATTTCAGAATCCAGAAAAGTGTGCATCATTCCTCTATCAAAGTCCCTTCAATTCTAAGAATTGTCCACAAATAAATTTTGAAAATAGGTGAAGTTTGGGTGTGGCACTTTATATTGGTTTGTTTTTTTTGTCTCCTTCACAGTCATTGATTGTGTGACCACCATGTTTTTCTGGGCTCTACTCCATTGATAATCTACTTCTTGTGGTTAAGCAATCTGAAGTTTGTAATTTGGAAGATGACCCAACAATTGACATGTTTGAAAAATATATTGAAAGTGTAGCACTGAGCTTTGAGGTTGACCAGTTCAAAGTGGCAGCCAATCTTGTAAAGGCCAAGTTTTAGAACATAAGGAGGAACTAAAAATTGTCCTTGAGATCAACAAGAAAACAATCCCACTAACACAGTCTTGTAATATGAAAATAGGCCAGGGGTATTTCGCGGGTCTTGATTACTTTTCGGGTTTATTTGTGCATGCAATGGTATGCAATACAAACTGAACAGCTTTTTATCTGGCTTTTTTCATTCCTGTTATCAAGAAATATAGGGTACTGCTATCAAGGAAATCTTGTGTGTTATATACTGAATAAACACCAAGGAAATTGATGGAAAAGCTGTTCTTGTTCTTCTATAATGAAAAAATATTTAATCATTGAATAACTGTTCCAGGAAGTAATTATAGAATTATTGTGCAATTATTTAAAGATATCTGAACAGAGAAAATTTTCAATTTTTCATAGAAAGCTACTGTGGATGATTTTTGCCATGCAATGTCACTGACTTCAGTATCATTGCAAAAGTAGTGGATATCATTGCAAATATTCATCAAAAAATATCTTACCATTTGATCAGGCTACCTTTCATAATAATATGGGCAATGATTTTTTTATTCAACAAAACAGAAAGAACTGCCTTTTAATCTGGTGACTTTGACTCTCCCCGCCTTAGAAAGTTATTTGAAACATATTTTAAAACTTTGAGGCTGTTGAATTTTTATGAAATTTGCCTCAGAACATTTTTGCTCTGCCAATGTGATACTTTAACCACCCTGGATAATTTGGGCATGTGTGAACGCATTCACATGCAATCCCATGTCTTATATAGCGAACTAGAAGTTTAACTCTAAGCTCAAATTTGATGCACCTGCCAATGCCCTTTGCAAAAAAGGAAACAGGAATGTAAGCACTTTCTTGTGAGTCGCCTCATATCTAAATCAAGGTCAGGGAAGATCCTCTTGAACACATTTGTCATGTTCAATTCCAACCTTTGTACCTTAATTCTTATGTGCCAAGGAAAGACATCCAGCAATCAAGTAAAAGTAGAATGTGTTCTGAAAAGAGCACTGAAAATTTTGCAAGACAAATTTAATATGCCATTTTAAGAATGTCTTGAAAGAACACAAAAATTCCAAGCAAAAAACCTTCAAAAATTGGTGCTTCAATTTTTTTAAGTGCCTCTCAGAACAAAATCCATCACTCATTTAAACATTTTATGTATGCAAGGAAATGAAATATAAATTGCAAAAAAGAATCTGATGCAAGTACCAAAAAGAAGTTCAAGCGCAAAAAGGGTCTTGACTGGTGATTCATTGGTTAATATTTTGCATTTTCTGCTGAAGTCCCCCCTCCCCCAAGCCCTCTGCTGCTCGTAGTGCTTTTAATATAGCACCAAGAAAACACATTGACGTTCCACATTTGCTATGATGGCTTAGGCTGTTATTTTTTCCAGTATCCAGGAAAAGCTCCATGTGTCTTTCAGATGCCTGTTGATAAAAAAATTTGTTTTGATAGGTTATAGAAGCAAAGTCATCAGCATTTGGCATGCTCTGCAAGTAGACTTTACTTTAAAGTAGTGTATTCTTTATTTTTTTGAACTTTTGATTAAACCCTTCAGTTTATTTCAAGTGGCTTTATTTGAATCTTGACTTTCAGGTCTCAAGAGAGTGCTATGGCTGAATCAAGTCTTATCAAAACAACATATGTGAAGAGAAAGAGCTCATTCTCATCTTTAATTGAATGTTTGTTTTGTCCAAAATCATTCATCTCTACTGAAAATGGTGCAAAGAATCCTGTTCTGGCTCACCTTCTTAAAGAACATAAATTTGTCATCGCAGAAGTCCAGAATATAACCAATTTCCCAAGGTTTGTTTTGATTTCCAGGGCAGTTGGTATTCCAATATTTAGCCTAATCCAGTAGTTAAATTTGAGCAGATAAAGAGCAGAAAAAAATCTCAGATGTGGTTTATGTTTTGGGTATATTTGTCCATAGCATAATTATGACACCAGGCAATAAGCAAAATGAGGGTTAAATGTATTTGTTGTTGTACTTTCTAGTTTTTTATCCAGTATCAGGCCTATGTAACAAAGTTCCATCTACAAAAAGCTTTAGTGAATTTATTCCAAATACAGCAAAGCTTTTAATCGTAAAATGATCTTGAGCAGATTGGTAATTTGTGTTGTATTACTAAACACTAAACTAGACGTTGGTTGCTAGTTTTTCCTGCTCTCATTTGCTAAAAAATCATTTTTTTGCTAGAAAACAATTGTGCACTTGAAATGCCTTGAAATGCCTTGATATGACTTCTAAAACAACTACTGTACCTAAATGCCTTGAAATGCCTTGATATGACTTCTAAAACGGATAGTTGAACATGATTCAAATGAATACTGCAGTTTTAGGTATGCCAGTTTGATTGCAAAATCAACCTGTTAAGCAGTGTATTATTTGGGGCTGGCCCAAGGCTTTGTGGTTTTTGGGAAAAAATCAGAGCTCTAGATTTATATAGCTTAAAGATATTACAAAAATACCACAGAACTTCAACTTCCATTACTTGTATGCCCATTTGGTTAATTGTCAAAGTGTGAATTTGTTGCTACCCTTTCGAAGGCAAAGCCATGTAAATTACACTGCATACCATAGTCAAATTTACATCAAAGTGGCAAAAAACTGAAAATTTATGTACTTGTTTATTTAGTTCAATTCAAAAGTTTAAAACGCTTGCAACTGAAAACAAACCTTTACGACTAGCAGGTTAGATTCCATTAGATTAGCCAATCAAAGAAGGTTTTCAGTTTTTTTCCATACCCGTTGCTCTGTGAAATGCAGTTTTAACTCGAACATCTTTTCCCTTATTTTACATAGCTACATGTACTACTGGAAGAAAAGGCTTGCAGAGGTGCCAATCACAGATGTTTGCGCTGTCATAAAAAGTAACACAAAGGATGGTGATTTAGGTATGATTCGAAATTGTTTAGTGATCAGTTAAGGGTAACAGGATAACTAAAACAGCTTTAAAAGTAACTACTTTTAAACTGCAATGCTTCCAATTTCTAATTTCATATGATTAAGAGTTGAGTTTCCTCAGTCTCTAACCGCCTTCGCAATGAACACAATGCTGTGCATGTTCCTGGAATAAACATTAAATTCCCTTCCCTTCTTGGTCCTGTTTGTAGGAATGTGTGGAAGCACTGAGACAGTCTTTTCGCTCGAAAAAAATACAGAGCAATTTAAATTATGCGCATTAAGTGGGTTTGTTGATGGGTTTGATGGTGATATGACCAATTCTAAAAGTTGTTTACGCTGATCCTTTCGGAGGAATCCCTTAGGACGAAGTTTGTTAAGAAGATATCCCAGGGTTATCAATCCTAATGATTCTGAAGAAGATGAGGGCATTATACTTAACTTATGTAAATAAACTTTCAAAGCTGCTAGGAAAGGTTTCTCTATAGAATTCAGAGAAAATGCATAAGAACATTTTTATATCATTTTATTTTTTGAATTATTGAACCCCCCCCCCCACCCACTCTAATAAGCCCCCTTTTAGGACTGGGAAAATAAATAAGCACCCCGGGGGCTTAATAAAGCTTCCACGGTAACCTAGATTTTACGATTATGACAAATAGACCGGAAAAGGTAGGCACAGGAAGATTGTCAGGTAATTCTGACACGTCTTAGGGGGTCAAAGATAATATCTATGGTTCCCTAACAGCAATCTCCATTAAAAAGTCTGTTATATTTGAATGGGTCAGCAACACAAGCCTGATTAGAAGGAGTCGATGAGACTTTGTAAGGCTTGAGTTGTTGATGGGGCGAATTAGTTTTGACTAGATTTTGTCAAGAAGACAGATAGAATGAAAAAGGGTCATTCTTATTATTAAAGCAATACTACAAGGAAGAAGAGTTTGAGATTTGTATAAACCAAAATATGTATGGGTAGCAAGTACCCACACGTCCTAGAAATAGACCCAAGTTTTATAGATGTACATTTAAGAATAGAAAAAAGTTTAGATTTCCTATTAAGATTGGATGATATAGAAAGGCCACGTTGTGAAAGGGCGGTAGAAAATCAAGATTATGCTTACTGTAAATGAAAACTTTGGTGGTTTCTCTTTGATTGAACCAATCCAGATTGTTTTTATTCCCTTTTCAATTATTGGCAAATTATCAGTAAGCATTGAGACTGAAATATTTATTTGAAAGGGAATGTTTAAAGCATGATTTTGTTGTGAATCAAAGGAGAAAAACGAGCTCAGAAAGGCATCATCAGCGAAAATAGAAAAAAGTAGAGTAGAAGAATGAACAAAACAACATAAGAGGATCAATAAAATGGAATAACATGACGGAACACTTAAATTTATTGAATAAGGATTTGAAAGGCAGCCATCAACTATAAAGGCAAAAGATCTATTAGAGATCAAATTCACTTGATAAGGGTGTGCAGGCCGTACATTAGGAGTTTGGAAATAATAACTTTGCACAAAAATGTGTTGAATAAGTGAGAAGGTCACCAGTAGAACTAAAAGAGTCCTCTTGCCAACAACGTTATATGGCATTTTCCATTTTGATTTTGGCAAAGTGGAAACACTACCCTTGTAAAGTGGAAACAATTTGCAAATTAGCGTAGCTTACATGCGGAAAATGGTTCAAGTTTTGACGAAATTAATTAAAAGTTTTGTTTTTAGGAGAAACAGAAGATTTTTATCTATTAACAAATTTTTTGCCAGAAGACAGTGCTTTGAGAGAGCAGTTGAAGGAAGATGAAATAGTAAGTACAAATCATATGCTTACTATCTTGCAAATATACTTTGGAGTCCAGTTGCTAGGGAGGGGGTGTTTGGGCCTTTAGCCTGAGGGTGCCTCTTCCAGTTGCAAATCAAAGAGAAAGATGCAGTGAAAAAGGTCTCAAATGCAAAAATCACCGTTATTGCACGCCATTAACCATTAACTAGAAGCTGTAAACATCTTAAAATCAATACAGTAGTCATAGTTGACTTTCTGAATTTTTAGAACGTAGTCTCAAAGGCTTTATTATAAACAAAGTTGCTGTTCTATCTATTTTTGCTACTGATTTTTCCAGCGAAGAAAATTTGTTCAATGAGCTTAGATTTATTCTGACGATAGGGGTTTTTTTCTATGAGAATGTGCTTACTCACGCTCAAATAGCTCTTGAACTGTTAACAAGAAACTCTAGCCCTAAGTTTCGGACAAGCCCCACTTTGTCAAGAAAACAAGTCGGGAGTCCTTTTCGCCTTGTTAAGACATAAAAGATACCTTTAAGGGCTATCCGATTCGATGCCTAATTACATTTGATATTGCAAAAAGTGATTTTCCAAATGACTAGTTTCCATGAATGGTTAAAAGTTGGTTAGACCTCCAGATCTACCAAATTTATTCATTTCGCATATTTTTGTAACTACACGTCTCGATGAATTGTTCAGAATGATCTAGCCAGGACCAGGAAGTATTGCTTGTTTGATGTCTTAAATGTAAGATGCTTTAAAATTTTTCTAGGCTTGTATTTTAGAAGAACAGCAGAAAGAAAGATCAGACAAATCTTTCAACCGAAGATGTTTGTTCTGCAAGCAGCAGTTTAAAGAAAATAGGTATTATACATAATTTTGGAGTATTTTTTATTTCATTTTAATATGTTCATTTTGACTTGAATTCAATAGAAGTGCAAGATCCTCATTAATTATCAGGATTATTCAAAAAATATTTCTGAAATCTCGAAAAACTACTAGAGAAGTTCAGAGAATATCAAATATTGAAGAGGGTATGCTATTTAGGAGTTTTTAAAGAATATCGACAAGTTTTTGATTTAGTTGAATACCATACACCTTTGATAAAATCATTTGGAGTTGACCATCTTATTTTTGATTGAGCCTCGTCGAATGGTGCTGTTGATGATGAGTGGCATTATTTCATTTGCACAAACTTTGATATTCTTTTACAAATTAAAATGAGCAAAATTTTCAATGAAATACAGCCTTGCACAATGTTGTTGTAAAAAACATTTTTGACTGCATAGATATCTCTCATATGAAAGGAATTAACAAACATGAAAATAACAACAAAATCTCATTTATGTCAGTAATGAGAGCTTTTTTCTTAAAATGGTACAAGTGTCTGTCAATGACCTTTAGCAATAGTAAGGTCAGGTATAGCCATAGCCACTCCCATTTTCAGCAAGGTATTTTAAAGCTGCTAAAGGAATATTTTACCACTTAAAAAGCAACTTTTCACGCTCAAATTCCAAAATATTTTTTTTTCATCAACATGTGTCATTTCTATGGAATGTTCATATATCTCAATGTATAAAGATATTGTTCCTAATATTGGTTATTGTATATAAGATATTGTGAGGTATCATCTAGGCTTTGTGTTCTAACTGTTTCGTTCTGGTTTATCAGAAGTATGAACTTCACTTTTGATATTCTCTACAGGAATGAACTCTTTGAGCATATGATCAAGAAACACGCATTCAATATCGGCAATCCAGATAATATCGGTTTGTTTATCATCCAGTTTTTTTGTGTCTAGACTTAAAACTCCAAATTTATCATCCAACTTCTTTATTTTCCTTCTTTTTCTGAAGGCTTGAGTTGTGCAGTGTCAGAACAAGACTTCTATCTTTAAAGTTGCTTATGGCCTAAAAGTCAAATATTAAATATTTTGCAACAAAGAATGCACCTTTTTGCTATGGCAGGCTGTTGCCGCTTTTAATTGATACTTCGCAACTCATGTTATCAATTTCAAACAAATCTATCTCCTTTTTTTTAGTCCATGTCAATGAACTTCTGGACTCTCTTGCCGATAAGCTAAAAAGGTTTGTAAATTTTTAATGTTTTATTCCTCCAATATTTTTGCGTACACAAGGCCGTGCATGTATTAAAAAATATTACGCATTTTCTTGCCATTAGTTGGTTAACTGATGAATGCTGTAATATATTTCTGTACTTTTCAACTATTTATTGATGTTCTCAACTTTAATGATTAAAGTATCTATATCTCGTTCTTTTTTTGGCATAATTTTAATTCCTGAACTATTGCATCTTTTTCAGTCTAACCTGCTTATTCTGTAACAAGCAATTTCAAGATTGGAACACGTTAAGAGAACACATGAGAAAGAAAAACCACAAAAGAATAGACCCAAAAGATAAATCATATGACAAATTCTATCTTATCAATTACTTGGTAAGTCCTTTTGTATTGCTTTTGTATAATCAATTAGTTTTGTATCTTTTTGTTAATTAGCTTGATGCTTATGGTTAAACTGTTTTGTGACGTGGTAAAGGTAATAAGTCATCTCGACCTGGGAATCTTGATAAAAAAATTATGATGCACAATTGGTTACCGCAAGAAAAAGGCGATTGTCATCTTATGTCTTATTTTCAAACAACCCAAGGCATCCTTTATTGTTTGTGATAATTTTTTGTTGCTTTTGTAGATTTTACTCTTTATAATTTAAAACTTTTCAATTGCGTTTTACCACCCCTCCTTTCCCTTAATTGCCCATCAAACCTACTCTGTATCTTACAGCACCAGGCACCGCGCAGTCATTGGGCTAGCAGGGGTTGTCGCCCTCCCACTTTTTCCAACTTTTTGTTGTTATATGGGAACCCAAATGGAAACATCTTCGCAAACAGAATCATCCTAGAAGCAACTTTTTCTTTCATTAAAACTACTGGACGTCTCAATTAAACTTTCTGGAAAAACAGCAGCCTAACCCCTCTTTTTTTCTCTTTTTCTCGCTACAAATGCCAAAGTATCATGCATTAACCTTGCTGTTTTTAAACTTTTGATTGATAAAAAAAAAACTTTTTCCAATAATATGTAAGAAAATTTTTTGGAAAGTTTACTCTAACGGATTCTAAGTAGTAGCAGTTCTTCTTGACTGAGACTTCTTTTTGTTCATTTCCTAGGAATTCAATCTTGTTTAATGATATGTTTTATTTTCTAATTTGGTTAGCTTTCTCTGTAATTATCCTCAGGCTACTTCTATCTATATTTCTATAATAATTGATATATTCTCTAAATCAGACTGTTTATAAGAGGAAATAAGCAAGGTCTTTCTAACAGGGGAGTTTTTTGGCGTTTTAGAAGGCGTACACACACAAGCCTGCGCATACAATATTCTTGCATTCATCCCTGCTTCTTTGATCACTACATCTGTGCCTTTAATACTTTATGGGAATAATTGCTTTTATATATAAATATTTTAAACATTTTATCCTCAAGTCTTTCATTAAAAGAAAAAACTATACTTAAATATTTCTTATTTCGTAGGAACCAGGGAAGGATTGGGAAGAACTGCAAGCTGAATCCGAGGAAGAAGTCGAGAAAGCAGAAGAGTAATGCTCCATTTATTCACGGCTTTTTAACATCATTAAGCGTCATATCATATTGAAAATGGAATGCATGAATCGAGGCAACATCGAAATACAATATAATTTTTAGAAAAGCTAATTTTGCTCTCTAAAAATGTTTGATGGTTCTGTTGTAAGCCAGCATCAATGCATTGGCACGTTGAAAATCTAAATTGTTTTTCCTTGTTTTCAGGGATTGGAGTGGATGGAACGAGCAAGTGGAAAGCACCTTTTCTTGCCTGTTTTGTGACTTGTGTTACAAAGACATGGGAAACATTTTGATTCATATGCAGGTATTTGGATATGCGGTTCATTCTTGTATTACGTAATGTGAATATGTATGATAAAGAAAGCTGCAAAAGTCTTCAGAGCCTAGGAACCAAGTTCCCAAAAAATCTTCATAGTTCGCCGAAAGTTTTTCATCAAAACAGCTAGATCATACTTGCATAATTCAAAATTGTGCCCAACCAAGGGGAGGTTTCTAATAATTTCTTTCCCAATAGCTTTGGCATTGTAAGCTTGTTACTGTCTCTTAAAAAGCTAAAAACCTTGCAGTCTTTGTTGCAGTATTGAAGCACAAATATGGGAAAACGAATAGTGTTGGATGTTGATAAGTTATCCCCTTTTGTGATAAGGGATTATGACGCCGGTAATTTGTTTGCTAAGGGCCTATAACATTAACAAAAATTTCAGAAAATTTTGTTTAGAGTATGTATGGTTAGGGAACTTTTGACAAGATCTAGGGTTACCCTTAAACTGAATTTGTAGAGAAACTGAAAAGCCTTCTTGTAGGTGTTACATAAAATTTTGATAATCATGCTTTTTATGCACTTTTACAAAGGTCAATTTCCGAAAGATGATTTGAGTTAACCGCACAAAATAAGCGGAAGATAACCGCACACTCTAGCATGGGCTATTGCCGCAGATGATAAAGGAATTGAAAACACTAATCACTTAAAGTTGCAAAACCAAACCAGACTGAAAATTACATACTCTGTTTTAAATGTTTGCAGAATTGTTCAATCCAGTGCCTTAAACCAGCACAATATTTTCTCCCATTAAACGTGTTTCCAGAAAGAGAATTACTTTATAGCCGTGATAAGGAACACAGTTTGAATGGAGCAAAACTGCAACGTTTGTTCAAAATGACGCATATCAGCGGTGCATTTTTCAGACATTGTTGATAATTTCAAAGTTTTCGTTGGGCGTTTGTTTTGAAGCGGCTACGGAAAGGACGGTCACACTCCTTCAAGCAGAATAATTTTGATTCAATATTAAGTCTGATAGCTCCTTATAGTATACGGTACTCTTTTAAAGTTTAGGATATTTCTCCAAATAAATTTATCTTGAAGTCTAAGAGAATTAAAATTGGTTATTCTCTAATTTGCAGGAAGAACATGACTTCGATCTCCAAAGTGTTAAAAGGCAGATGGGTAAGGTTTTTTGCTGCTTTAGTCTAGAAAGCGAAATATTTATTGCTTTTACTGAGATTTCTGTTGATTTTTGGATTTTATCGATCTTTCAAGAAAGATTCATCTAAAATCAAGGAAGCACTCCTCGCAGGAAGCGTGTCCCAGAAACGTAACAGTGAAGAACTTTCATTGCCCATATGGTTTAGGTTTCGTTCAAATTTTAAAAAAGTCTCGTTTTTAAGAATTATTGCATTATCTCAATATGTCGTTGCATTTTAGGCCTAGATTTCTACCTCCAAGTTAAAGCTGTCAATTACATCCGAAGACAGGTAGGCTCGTTGAGTCCATGAACTATCTTACAATATGCTGCCAAAACTGCCAGGCAGTTTGGCTACATTCTCACATTCCCCTTAATTAATTGTTCCTCGCATGTTTCCTACAACTTTTGCTATGCAGCAATCTTGATGATATTGTGTAGAACCACAATCTATCTCAACTCTAACCGAGGAATGGTGTCTCTTATTTTTAAAATTTCCCGGTCTTGTTCATACAATGGGGTACTTTCTATTTGCACATTATCCAAGACGTGAGAATCTTTTTAGGACATCCTGTGAAAAAAGGAGGAATCTGCGTTTGTGCGTTGCATTAATGAACTGTTTCTTTTTATTGATAGTTCTGTTATTGCCTTTACAAGTTTACAAGTGTCAGTACCAGTAAAAAAAGTTTCTTTGCAATAAATTGACGTTGCCGCAATTATCAGCTACCTGTTTTAAGCAACAGGTCAATTTAACGCTTCTTTTCGTTGTTTTTTTTATATTTTAGGTTGAGAAATTGAAGTGCCCATTTTGCCAGTTGCAATCTGGAAGTCAAAAAGAGCTGAATTTGCACATGGACAAAGAAACCCATTGTCGTCTGCCGGACGATAAAACGATCTGGGACCAGCCCGAGTAAGTCCAGTAACTGCAGCAATGATCAAGCAACTGCTGTACTTGAAGCTCAATTAAATTTTAGTTCAGATTCTTAAGTGACATGCCTGTCGACGAGAGGGGAAGGCAGGGGACGTATGGCCCAAGGTACCGTGCCGACAAGGCCCCCAAAAATATAACAAAGTTCCTAACATTAAAAACAACAATAACAATCACTGTTTTCATGATTTCATCGCGGGCCTAATCTTTCTCTTTGCCCCAGAAAAATTATTGGCCGGCCTGCAAAGTGACAATGAATTTCGTTTCATTTCATGCCTTGTTATTCAAGATTTTATGTGAAAATTAGATTCCCTGTAAGCTGTCATTAAATTTGATCCCGTTGCTTTAATCAAATATTCGCTACCTACGCATTACACTTCGGTGTGTGGGACAGGACATTTTTAAGTTGGCAATCCGAGTTCCACGCTTAAAACGACCGCCAGGCAACTTTTTTCTTTTACTTCTTCTTCTTTTACATCTTTACTTTCTTTTAAATCTTTCACGTCTTTTTTCAGATATTTTTTTCCCACTCTGGAAAATGATGGACTGCTTTGTTTTCTTGACGACGATAGCATAGAGGAGGATGAAATCACTGTTCTGGATAACGTCTTACCAGAAGATGTTCCTGACGTTCATTGACGTGGTTTTCGCGCGCTCATAGTGGATAATCCTGAGCTTGACAAAAAAATGGATTTGATTCAGGATTCAATGGATTTGATGCAGGATTCAATGGATTTGATGCAGGATTCAATGGATTTGATGCAGGATTCAATGGATTTTATGCAGGATTCAATGGATTTTATGCAGGATTCAATGGATTTTGGTGCTGGACAAAGATTTTGCTTAGAATTGCTTAGTTGTAGCTTGACATATTGCTTATTTGTGAAAGATAAGAAGCATGCATTAACGTAAGTATGAAAGGCATTTAGAATTTAACGTAAATCAAGATATTGGGGCAGTTATGCAGAAAATTATTATAATATTGAATGAATAGCAAGGAAATCGACTTTTCTGTCTTTTTTTATCACAATTTCAATCTTTCACCTTTTCTTTCCATATGTTGAATTGGAACAGGTTTTTGATAGAAGAGGCAAAACGCTGTGTAGTTTTGGTGCGAATCTTTCCACTTCAAACTTTATTAGCAGTTTTTTTATAATAACCTCGATAACTCCGGAAAAAATAAAGTAGGGGCAAAATTGTAGACTTTGAATTTTATTAAGAAAAAAGTTAATTTGAATTAACTGCACTTTCTTTATACCCAATCATATATACAATTCTTCACAAGATCTTCGACAAAAGGAGGAATGAAAAATATTCCAAATTTATAAACAAACGTCAGTAACATGATAATTAATTAATTTGATTCCATCCACATAATCGATGACTGTAAGCATTTTGGGACACCGAATTTCGTAAAAAATCCAAGCAAAAATAAAAACATAATGCTTAACTTTAAAAACTACTTGGTCGTTAATATTTAGTTTTATGAATATTTGCTGCGAATTTTACGAAGGTCATTGTTGCTCTTATCTGCCATAATCGACCCAAAAGTAAATTTCAGCAAAATATGTACTTAAATAAACTGTACACTGCTCTCGTCTATATATTTCACTGTATTTTTACCCTCTTGTGTTGAGAACTTTCCTCCTTCGTGGGCTGATTAAAGATGATTGATATTTTCGGTTTGCCTTGAGTAGAAACAGCATCCATATTGATCTTTTCATGGCTCCATTCTGCATGCATTTAGGACACATAACTGCTATGCAATGATGAGCCCGGATACGAGGCAAGCCTCGCATTCCGACAGCAATGTTGTTCAGTGAGGAATGGAAAACAGTCTCAGACGTCCTTGCCGAAACCTATCTACGGTAGATGTTAATGATGGCGATGACAAAACCCGTTTCCCTTTGAATCCACAGTCAACAGAGTCGATACCTTCAGAAAACGTGTCTGAATGGTTTCGTCGGCTCTCGTTATTATTGCATTCTACAAACATGCTGTCCTTATGCCATTCGTTCAGGCTACGTTGGTCCGTAAAGTTCTTCTGGGCCGTCCTTATTTGCTTCACCCAGTTGTCCTAGAAGGAAAAATAACGAAGATTTGATGAAATTCTTATGCATTAGAATATCAATGCAACATATCGAATGCAATGTCTTCGTTTAGTCCTTAAGCAATTTTATAAGAACATGGTTCATTAGAACTCATCAAAAAACCTTGTTTTTAATTTGTTCTAACCATACTACACTGGGGACACTTAGACCTCCTTTTTGTGTTCCGTGCCCTAACATAATCTACCGACGAACTCTGACAAATTCCAACAAGACGAAAAGAAAAGGCGGTCACATTTTCCCTTCTGCACAAATTATGACGTCATTACGATAATAAATACGATCATCTCTTAGAAATGATAGAGGATCTCCAGATAGATGGCAAAGATCTAAGAATCAAGGGACCTGTACTGGAAACAAAAAGCAGCTTCAAGACTTGGTACCCAGGTGGGAGAATATACATAAATAAAGCAAGGGGTGAGGCAAGGTTGCGTACTATCGCCTGACTTATCAAACCTCTACAGGGAAAGAATATTAAGAAAGGTAGAAGATCTGCCAGGGCTTGTTGTCGGAGGGATCTATATCAATAACCTCTGTAGTGCAGATGATCCTGTTCTTTAGCAACATCGGAAGAACAACTTCAAGGCTTAGTAGAAAAGATAATTCTAAAGACTGCAAAAAGGGTTCATGTATCAACGCTAAGAAGACAGCGTATGGTAGTAACCAAAGAGAAGGATGTTCCTACATGTAGCATCTGGGTTCGTAACGCTAAAATCAAGCAAGTGAACAACCAGTCTAGTTATTCGGGAAGCTTGATTAAATCAGATGCTAGATGTGAAAGGGAGCGGAGACCCTTTTTTCAAAAATATCCTAAAATTTGGAAGTGAGACATAGACTCTATCTAAAGAAATCGAAAAGAGAATCAGTGCAGCAGAGATGTGGTTCCGGCGGAGAATATTTAGAACTAAGCTGGACAAGTTATACAGCGAATGAAGAGGCTCTGGTTAAAGCAGACACTGAAAGAAAGCTGTTAAAATATTAAGAAACAACAGTTACAGTTCCTTGTACACTGCATTAGGAAGTAAAGAATAGAAAAGCTAATAATTACAGGAGAGATAGATTTGAAAAAGGGTAAGAGGAAGGCAGAGGATAACTTTTCTTAAAACGATTGCAGAATGGAGTGGGAAATCATCGTTCCAACTCATTAGCAGTACGGAAAGCAGGAATGAAGGACATAAACTGGTCGCCGATGTCACACGATAGGGCCTTGCAAAAAGAAGAAGTGGCAACTGAAACTTTTTACGAATTTCATGATTTCCCTATCTTAATGTTTTGCCACACTTTTTAGCAAACAATGCCTAATTTAACATGAAAAATGTCTTTGATAATAATTTGTTCAATTTATTACCTTCTCCTTTGATCCTGATGCTTGAAGGGTACAAACAGCCAAAGTCTGACAAAATCTGTTATGACTTTCCAAAACAAACGAATGTTTATAAGCAGATCCTAAAAAAGAAATTTGAAATATTATCAAGAGCCTTTTACGCCTTATGGTGATCAAATAAAGATTAACAGATACATATCAAAAATATTTTCTGGTAGTTTACATTCATTTTGAAAAATATTTTCTGGTAGAAGTACTTTGGTCAGCAAGATGTCTGAGAACTGACTATATCAACACAAAAAGATTGCACATAGGAAGGGTTGAAAGGCAGTAGTTGCTATTGTTTGGGGGGGGAGATCCCCAAAAATTGCTAGTGAAAAACCCCTTTTTCTTCTCTATCAATAGTGCCTCCAATAATTCCATCCTATCTATAGTAACGGGTCACCACCCAAAATAATATGAAGAAAGTTTCTAGGTGAGAATCCAGGAATGCGATCATTTACAATTTAAAAAACTTAATAAAATATTGTCGATTGCAATTTAAAAATTGTGGATAAAATGAAAGCATGAATATCGAAGGCAGTGCACTGGTTGTTTTGGGAATTTTATCGTAACAATCTCCATGCGCGGTATGAGTTTGGAAGCGCAGAATCACAACTATCAAGTAAAATCACTAATTATTTTTACTTCTTTTGATTCGATACTTTTTAACATCTTACCATAAATTTGGTGGGCTTACCTGAGTTAACGTATTCTTCACAGTCATATATTCTCATTCTGTCCAATGAGATAGGCTGAAAAAATGAAACGTTAAAGTACATTGGCCCAGTTTTCTATATAAATTCTAAATACTCCAGAAAGGAGACGAATTGTTTTACATGCCAAGAATAAGTCATCGTGATTTGTTCTTTTGACAAAAAATTTTCGTTTTGTCACTTTAAATCTTCAAACTTATTAAAAATTTCAAGCTGTTGATCAATGCAAAGCCAGTAAAGAGCCTCCTTTCTTGCAATCAGTGTTTCTTTGATTAAGTTTAGTATGAACTTTCAGTTACTATGAGCAAGTTCAACTACATTGGATTCAGTAGGTAGGAAAATGATATTGACGATAAATAAAATGCTACAAGTAGAAAAAATCACCATTTTTATGAATGGAACATGATTGTTAATTACATTGCGATCTCTAGTAAGATAAACAGAGTGCCATGAGCATTGATAAACAAGCTATACTTTCTACAGGATTTTGATGATACTTGATAAAAGTTTGGCTAGAAGGGCAAGGAATTGCACATCTTTCAGAAGACTTTTCATTTCATCTCCCTGATAATAAATCTGCATACCAAATAAGAAAATTTTCATTACCTGTCTAAAAACTAAATAACTTGGCGATTGAAGGTCGCTTCCAGTAGAGCCACTCCGCTTTACTGATGGTGACGTTTTTTCTTCAGGAATCGAGGAGGATTCCAAGAGGTGATGACTTGTGTTCCTTCGCTGCAAAGAGAGAATATAATAAAAAAGTAAGCAAATCTTCGTAATTGAATCTACAACTCAGTTTACTTGGATTGCAAGGTCTCTTCAACAAATGCGATAACTACATCCAGCATCCCAGTATATGCATCAGAAGCAAACTGCCAACAAAAACAGTAATTGGTAGAAACTCACTCATTGAAACCGTGCTAGTGATTTATGGCTTTGCGATACCTTACGCATTAAATTGACTTCAAATTCTTTGATTGTAGCTTACCTTTAACAATTTTCCATGAAAGGCTCGTCGATATTTTGTCAATAATATCATATCATCAAAAAGAAGAACAAACAGCTCACTCTTGCTGCCATCTATAAAGGATGTTTAACAATAAGCATGTTTTACTCTATTGCCATAGAAGTCTGGATACATTTAATTGATTCAAATTTTAATACAATTTAATATCAAGCATTGTGATGAAGCTTTGTCGTAAAAGTCTCTTAAATATGGCCTCCAAGTGCACCTCTCGATTTTAATCTCATTTAAGCTCTTAGTTCTTTCAAAAACTTTAAAAAATATATCTCTATCTAAATAATATCAAGGAATTATTATAACCATTATTAATAAAAGATTAAATTGACTGGTATTACATCTTGTACACGAATAAATTCTTCAAAAATTGTGAAAATTAAAAATCTAAGCTCACATTTCATCGACAATGCGACTTTCTCTCGATATGAATTCCTTAAGCCAACAAGACAAGTGCGATTTCACGCAAAACAATTCTAGGCTCGAAACAGTTTTAGAAAACTGCGGATTAGCAAAAATTGTAAATGGCATTCTTATAAAAAGTTTGTTTTTCGGGAATCTGCGTAAAAGGGAATTCAGAAATGCTACCTATTAATGTTAGGTATCCATCCAAAAGAAGCACCCTCCATGGGTTAGCAAAGATGCTGCTACAGTTTCTATTTGAAATCTCCGCCTTCATAAACTGCAAATAGAAACAAACACATTAAAAGCATTTCATTTAATCTTCATGTCATCTGAACCACATTTTACACAAGTTGATAAGCTTAAGCTTCAAATGTGGTTTTCACTGGCCTACCAAAGTTCCAAGTTACTTTATCGATTGTTCATTCAACTACATTATTATCAACCTGAATAAGCAGTCTAAGAAATAATCTGCCAAAATAGCACGAAAACGTGAAGGATTTTGTGCTGTTATACAATTTTAGAGTACATAGTGTAAGTTAATAAAAAAAAATTCATTCTGCATAGATGAAATGAAGAAGTACCTCAGGTATGAAGGTTTTAGGGTCATTCTCTATCAATGTAGGCCAAACAAGATTTTCACTTATTTCTTTTATCTTTTCTAGATTCGATAACACGTGTAATTCTCCTTCAATTTCACCTAAAATGAAAAATTGATTTCTCAACGAAAAGTTTAACATTGTATCTTACTTGGAAATCAATAAGCATAAAATGTCTGCAGTATTAAGGGTAAAAAATTTGTCAAATTGAAAATGGCTCAATCTGAATGCTTCAGGTTTCAAAATCACTTTGTGAAGTAAAAGCTGGTAAAAGAACAGGAAATTTACAAAAAAGTGCTTTGGCTTTTCAAGGTATCATCTGTTGACACGAAAAGTAATTTCAAGTAATGAATATCACAGCATCGTTGGAGTTTTTTCATCCACTTGTGTACGTGTGGTTATTAATATTTAAAGATATTAATTAACATCAATACACAAACGACTAGATCTGAATAGTGGACGAGACGGAGGGGGGGGGGGGCATGTCTCTATGCCCTTGCGTAAGATAAAGCAATATACTTAGGGGAAGCAAGAGATTTCTAGATTCCCAACATTGTACTCACGAATTGACTTTTGCACACTGTTTATTACTGCCATAAGAGGATCATATTCGCCACTCGATTTTGTCGTATTGGTTTTGATTGCCTGGAAAAATAGAGAAAGACCAGTGTAAATTATTTAAAATAGGAGATAATTCTCTTTTAATTATATCTTTGTAACATAAATCATATCCTAGCTAGGCTTCTTGGCTGATTATGTTTAAGGCTGCACAAAAGCTCCTGTTTAAAAGAGACTGCGTGTTTCGCGGCTCCGCAATGGACAATGCAAGATAGTATAGGCAGCTCAAAGAAAATAAAGAAATATAAACCTTAGAACATACGATGAGGAAAATGCACAAAGACATTTATAGACAAAGATAACTTTGAACAAAAATTAGAAATAATGTTAATTCATATCAATCATTGGAAAAAAAATTATAAAAGTACCTTGAGTAATAATGGGTATTTTGTCAAGTGCTGTACTGGTGCAACTAGCAAATCATTAAGGCGCAAACGATTGCATCTGAGGTCGGCTTCACTCCACTAGAAGACGAAAAAAGTACTAAAATTTGACCTTACAAAAAAGTCCTTAATGTTTAAAAGCTCGATTTGCACTATGGAAGACAGCTTTATTTTGTTGTTCATAAGGTACCCGTTGGGACAGGAAAATTGTAGGCCCCAACCCCAATCAACATGCACAAAGTAGAAAGATACCATGATACCAAGGATGATACCAAGAACTATGATTGAACGTCCCTCCTTAATGCCCTCGAACGATTTAAAAAAAAAAACATTTAGAAATCTGGAAGGCAGCATTCCTTAGCAAAATCACTATGACCTATATAACGCGTTGTCATGCGTATCCAAGGCTGGGCTGTGATCCATCATGGCGGCAATAAAATTGCTTCGTGGTGGATGGGAATAATATGCATCTCTATTTGTGTTCTTCACAAAAGTGTGAAAAATCCGGTGTTTAAGCGATTAACGACAACTTGAAATCACAATTGGCAACAGATTATTGACGGCTTTAGAAAAACCCTCTGAAGTAAACTTATATATTCTAACAGTGTCTAAAATATCGACGCTTTTGCTGTCATTTGCGAATATCTTGGTTCCAGGAATATGGCTGACGTGTTATTCTTATAGGGAAGTAGAGAGCATTGTGAAGACCTTTTACTATTTATTTTTCAAGATCTGCAATAATACAACTCCTAAAGAGGTGCTCTCAAACACAACACTACAATTTGAGACATACTTTCATAAACTCTTTGAATTCTGCGTCTTCACTGAGTGAATTAAGATGTCCTCTCGCTTTTGAGTAATTAACACAGTACTCGTGATACTCTGGATGCAGAGACAAGTTAAACTGGAAGAGAATGAAATGAAGTAAACAAAATGTGGCACATTATAGTGGATGCTGCCGGTATGATTGATTCGAAGCCTGAAATTCTAATCATCATTCCTACAATATCAACCATTTTTTAACTAACCATGATCTATCTTTGCCCAAGCCTCGTTAATATCCTGGCATATTATCTGAATGCGGTTAAATCATGAAATTATTGACTGAAAAGGATTTGGTGACTTTTGGTATCATATTTAACGCAAACGAATACTTGATGTGGCAACGTATGCCAATACCCTTTTGTTGTTGGCGGGTAAGGACACAATCTCATCCGTTTTCTGGACAGTTGCCAACATTTAGTGACAACAAAGACAGCTACTAAAATTCAATGAACGAAGACAATTAAGGAAGTGTCTTTCTTGATCTATCTTATTTGTTAATGACCACAAGAATCTCATGACGTGACTGCCTAAAAGAGTTATGACTAGATCTCTTAGCGTTCTTGCAAGCGATGTTCCAACATTCGCCCTTGTGAACTGTCATGGGAGGCAGATCGACTTTGAAAACTGTAAATGTTCAGGTTTTACATAGAAGCAGTCATTTACACTCCAGAAGATCTGTTGATAGACTAAGTACGAAATAGAGCAATTTCTTATTAAGTGGGAAAAATCAGACCTCAAAGTTAGGAATAAACTGTTGCCCTGGTTTCCAGAAAGCAATATATACAATAGTATACAGGAGCAGTACTCGAAAAGTCCATTACCATTTACACGTGACTAAGCTCATTATAAGTGTAAAGTTACTCAATTTCTTCGTATAGTAAAGTTATATTTAAGAAACACAGAAACATGCCAGATAGTTAACATGGAATAGAACATCTTATTAGTAGAAAAGAGTTCTTATTGATATATAAAAAATCACTTGAACAGGTATATAATTGTCAGTAGCTCCTTATCTCATATTATGTTTGTTTGTAGTAGGTACCTTACTGTCGATGCATCTCGTCTCTAAGAGATTGGATATTTTAGCATTTTTTAAGGAAAGGAATGACCAAGACTATGAGCTCTACATTTGATGGTCGAATTAAGGAAAAATTTATGAAGAATACAAAACGTTATTTTTGGTATTTGGTATTTTTGGTAAACGTTAGTTAGAGGTAATTTGAAACTGAAATTAGAAACGGAAACAGCTAATCTTTGTGGGCAACAATGTTTACTGTGTGTTGGTTCTGAATGCTTGGATTATCTCGGGGCCTGAAGTCTGATAGGCAGTTCATTATAAAACAGAATGCGTGTATTACGTATTAGAAGTTGGGTGAACCGAAGTAAATTATATTTTTTTAAGGAAGCTTGTAATTCCAACAACGTTTAGCGTAGTGATGGTTATACAAGCAAAGATTAGAGTGAATTTGAAACAAAGGATGCCGACCAAATTTTAAAGACGTTAGGTTTTATTTTATTTCAAATATCTCGCCCAGGCATCCAGGATTGCATCAGAGTAATAATGAGTATTATTCGTTTCCTACCTCTCTGAAAGCGCTGATGATTGTTTTCGAGTTGCCGAATTGGGCTTCGGTCTCGACCTCAAACATCCGCAACAGCTTTTCAGCAAATGAAGTCGAGGCCTGGATCGATTGGAAAAAAACTAATTACGATTATGAATAAACCAAAAGTCGCACAAACTACCATGTTTGCAAATAGTGCTGTGATCACATATATATTCAAAATGAATAAAAGCGTTTTAAAAAAAATAGAATTCAGAACAAAGTGAGGGGTCATCCATAAAGTACGTACGCACTCAGGGGGAGGAGGGGGGAGGTGATCACAAATCGTACGCTTGCATACAAGGGGGAGGGGATGTAATGGGTATTTAGTACGTACACATAAGAAATTCCTAAACGTGAAATTTGAGCCTTGCAAGCTTGCTCATTCATTGTTCATATGGCAGAGATTTTAATAGGGAGTTTGTTGCATATTTTCATCCTACCTAAAATCTGCTCTGTTTGATGAACTTCCGATAAAAACTATGTGAATGGCTTTGCCTTTTAGAAAGCTAAATACAATAAGTTCAATGTTAAAGAACCTGTTTCGATGTGCTTCACGTGATTACATAAATTAAACAACTGCATTAACATATATTATAACAAGGAAGGGTCAGTATGGACAATTCCCTGAATTCCCATGGAAACTCTCAATTATTTGTATTATACCTTGAAACGGGAGGGAGGGGGGGCAATAATAATAGAAATTGAAACTAAAAGCATAAAGACCTGTATTAAACTGTCGATGTTGCTAAACACAATGTCTGGATTCACTCTATCCAAAAATCCAAATTTCTTTGCCATGGCCATGGGTAGATGGAAGACCTAAACATAAACAAAAGAATAACAAGGTTGTAGAGTTAATAATTCTAGCCACGAGAAACGAAGCAATTCGAAAAATAAGAGCCTTGAAAACTGAATAAAAGGACACCTTTTGAAGAGGAATATTGAAACGTCAAGGGTTATTGGTAAATAAATCGAGTAATATGTCGAGCCTTTTAGGGGCATCATAGGGGATGTGGCTTTTATGGAAAAACATGTGCTACGTACTATTTACAATTCCATATCACCATTGGTCCTTTCTCTACAGTTTGACAGCTACCTGCTCCTTTTAAAGATTTAACTTCTTATCAAGGTATTGAAATTATAAAAAAGTTTGATCACCTCTTTCAAAACTAGAAGATGATCCGTAATGTAAGTAACTTCTGCATGGAAAAGCTCCCACACTGCTTCGAATCGTTTCCTCTCTTTTGTTGGCAATGCATTTACGGCAGCTTCGTCTAATATATTGCCTGATAAATCAGTCCAGTGCAAATGCTGAAAGATTTGAATGTGAAGAATTGAATAAGATTGAATAGTAGCTAGGTCATTCTACAAAGTAATTCTGGGACAATTAATTATTGGTAGGGCAAGAGTTTCATTTGTATTTTTACCCGCCTACTTCTTGAATGCACAGGTTTATGAAAGCACAAAATATACTAAGGTTAGAGTAGCAGGGTTACGTTGGAAATAAACAGTACCAACAAAATAACAGATGTTAAGCTGTTGTTTCTATAAATTGTATGCTTTTGAAATATTCGATATAGGAGTTACCTTGTACTTCACCAAGGCGTGTGTTGCTAAATCCTTTCCACATTCCCCCATTTCCTCCAACAGCACTCTCAAAGATTCTAGATTTGCTTTCTTCCCTCCCTATAGGCAGAAGCAGTTAAAAGTGAAAGGAATGCTTGATAACGAACAAAATGGAGAAAGATGGAGATGATAAGAAGATAATTTTGGATTATAGATTGAAGCGAAATGCACAACCCGTAAATGAACATCAAACTGAAAGTAAATCAATATAGGAGATGCATTGACAAAATAAGATGCATTATTATTCATCATAAACATTTCAACGAAGTGTTGTTTATATTTACCAGTTTGTTTTTCAGCATAGCCCAAGGAGTTTTTCCTTCCAAATTTCGTGAGTCTAGAGTAAGAGAGAAAGAAAATTGATGAAAATAAATGATGATAATAATAGGTCACTAGTGACAGACAATTGGAAACATGCTACTCTTAGGGAGAGATTTCTTATCTCTTTAAAGTTTATGAGAAACAGGTTAGAAGGCTGAGCATTTTTAACATTGTGACTGAAGAGATTTTTGTCTCAGAAGGCTCAAGGCTTGCGCGCGTGGTAGAGGGAAAATATCCCGTAGTTGTAGGTTTATCTTACCCCTTTGATATTTAAAATGGTTCCAGTTTCAGAGAGGCAAAAAATTTCGAATTAAGAAGAGAACAAGACTAATTGAAAAGTTTAATAGATAGATAAGGTTATCTCATATTGTTCGATACCGGAGAGACAACTTCTTTGTCATCTGTTCTGAATTAGGCCCTCTTCGAGAAATTGTCCCTGCTGTGAAAACTCCTTAGAAAAAACTTTGCTAGGAAGCTATGACACCTCAGACTAGCATTCATCAAATACAAAAAAAGGAATAACTGATATAGAATAGAATTTACCATTAACTTTGTGTCCCGTCGCTTCAAGATAAAGAGTATGTAAATCCATACGCAGGTTCGAATCAGGCTCCACTTCGGTGGCATTTGGCAGGCGCCTCCGTGACGACCGCGTGCATTGCAGAGCCGCTCGTCTGAAAGACAATTTTATCAAGCATAAGCACTGAGCGAAAACTCAAAGTCAAAATCTTTTTCGGCAAGCAAACAAATCAATTACAATATACTGATTTAAATGCAATTTTTAGAAGTTTCAAATTAGAGCAATAAGTAAGATCAGATAATCAATTGGTTTTTATTATGCTGAGGAACACATGAAAAAAACTCACGATGAGCTATCGAGTCATGTGCCTTGTTTGACGTACTTAATAACATTATGCATAGATTTTATTTGAATTGAACATAACAGAACAGTAAAGATAACTGATTAAAGAAGAATAATGAAAAGGTCATAAGAAACCAGTTAAGGGGGTAGGGAGGGTTTAGAAGTGTATTTAAGGTTTTAGGTGGTGAAAAGTTTTGTATCAAGTAAATTGTCATCATCCTTTTGAAGGCATTTTTGTTGCAAGAAATTTTAAGTTCGTCTGGCAAGGAGTTCCAGAGCTTAACTCCACTAAATGTTAACAAATTTTTTAAAGTTTGTAGAAACTGAAGGAAGAGAAAAACCAAGACTGGACTGCCTTGTATTGTTTTTGTATTATCTTTGCTAGCTATTAAATAATATCGCTGTCCGTTATGCAATATCCGAATGAAAACCTCGAAATATTTTCTTTGGAATGCAGATATTCTAGAAGAACGGTATGATCTCCTGAAGCATTGGATACTTCTCCTAAACAACGACTATGAAAGAATGAAGGGCCGAGAGAAGGGCGTGTGCATAAAAATGCCAAATACAAATGAAGCCAAGGAAGAGATACGGGTGAGGAACGGGGGTAGCTAACCAACTCAAGTACCAAGAGCAATCATTGAAACTTCCCAAAAGATTGATAATTAGTTAGAATGGGGGGGGGCTGTTATAGCCCTTTACGCTTCAACATTACAATCAAGCATATACAACACTACAAACCTCATAGCAGCGTCTTCCTCGCTTTCTCCCTGTAATCACAAACATAAGACATGAAATATGAAATTTATTTATAATTTAGGCAAGGGAGATGATTGGTAACAAATTGCAGTACCTTTTGAAAGATTATAATTAGAAGGTGAAGACACAAGGTATCAAAACGATTTGAAGAACGAGAGCTGGCAGCGAGAAGGTATTAAGAGAAAAGAAGCACTCGTAATATTATAGCGGGTAATATTACGCGCTATAAAATGTAAAGGTGACAGATGACCTCAGAGACGAGTTAAGATTTGCCTAGTGATAGAGCTCTTGTGAACTTGATACCAAATATCTATTCATATCTATTCATATCACCTTGAAAAGATTTCAAATGCTTTTAAATTTTCCGAAACTATTGACCCTAATCAAGAACTAGGGCTTTGCGCCAACAATGTTTAACCTTTAAACCAGAAAGGCATCTTATTTGCCATTTGTTAAATTTCTTAAGAACAAGGCTATTTTCACAGATTGTGTAACGGAGAAGATGTATGGTAAGATATAAGTCCAAAATGTCCCGCCTGATTCTGCCCAACCGTAAACAATTTCACCTCTAGGACAATAACTTAAATCGCAGTAATGTTTTACTAAGAATTTTATCCAAACTCTGGGTACAACGTTATCCACTTTCAAAACTAACAGCGTAATTCCCATGACACGAAGCTCATTTAGAATAAGCTAAAGATTACAAGGACCAATAGTTCGATCTCACTGGATTTGGCCAAGGCTTATAACGTAGAAAACCATTGTTTCAGGGCAGAAGCGGACAAAATAACAGCTTGTCAAGATTATGGTTATAATCAAAACCGTATTTTTAGTTAATTAAATTTGTTAACTAAAGTGTCAGATTGCTTTGATGCATCTCCTTCACAGAAGACAGAAGACTGTTCTTTCACAGAACAAGATGTTCAGTTAATTCAAAGCTAGTGCAGTATAATTCAAGAATGTTGCTTTTTGCATAATGAAATCCCAAACACTTACCGAGGTAAAGCCTAAAAGTTTGCTACGCTAGTTTCTGCATTCATTTAATCACATCATATGACATGTTAGACTACCTCTTGTGTAGTTTTCACTTAAGTTCGAGCTCTTGTTTCTTTGAGAATATAATAAAAATTGCGTAAAGCAGCACCAAGTTTCAAAAAATGGTACTAAGGCTAATCTTGAAATCAGAATAACACAATATTCTTACCAAACAGTGCGTGGGGCAGTAAAGAACACACAAACCGGGTCCTGTGACTGCATAGCTTCCAGAATGGAAAAGGGGCCAATTATTTACTTAAATAAACAACAGGTGACTTACACAAGTTAGAATTTACAAAAATCTTTGAGTATTATACACTTTTACTAAGCATTACAGTGGATAGCTTCAATCAATGTTCCGTCACGTTTTTTGCGCCTTGAAGGAGAGGCAGAGTGTTTGTACGTTGGTAACGCCAGTATAAAACTGGTACATAAACTGTTACGCTTTCAAACTGATATTTTCTATTATCTTTACAATGGTCACAATGTGATTCTTGCTCCAGAATTTAATTCCTATCTTTAATTCCTACCTTGCAGTTACGAAGGCGAATCATTGTGGGTGAAGAGACCAAATTGCAGGACTTGAACCCCCTCCACGACCCCCAATGAATGAAACTGATACTTCCAAACGAAGCTTGGATGGAGAAAACTCTGATCTGATAACTGTGAAATTACCCATCTTTGCTAGCACCGATATAAAAATTCGGTACAAATTCGTCAAAAGCTGGTTTCACCCAAGGTCACATTCCCAAATTTTTCATTTGCATTCCCATTTCCAGTATCACTTCAGTATCGGTATCAAATCAACAAATCAAGGAACGACATTGCGCAATGCCAAGAACTGCCTTTCGAAGACGAGGCACTGGTGAAACAGCATAAATATCGATACGTTATGAAGAAAGGAAAGAAAAACAATCTTACCACAAATTTATCGTCACTCATGTCTTCACCTGATCCCCAAGACTCACTATCTTCATTCTAAATGTAAGAGGCAGTATGTTAACAAGAACACAGAACAAGCCTTGATTCAAATGACTGAAAATGAAAGAGACCAAGTTTCGTAAAAAAACCCTGTAGCCCCCGTCTGTGTCCACATTTTCCAAATTCTTACATCTTAAGCATATTTGCAAGAGTATGCAAGAGTATATAAGCCATTGTCAATATTCTATTTCAGTAATTCTGATACAGGTCAAAAAAATTCGACTGCTGGAAGACAAGACGTGCTTTTAATATGATCTCTATTTCTATTTCAGTGTTCTGATTGGAAACACAATTTGGTAACTATGATCATAGGAGCTTCGATTAATGATAAAATTTGTGCATTTTTTAGCCTTTTTAAAAATTTTCAATAATTTTTAAGAACCGTATTAAGATGCGTGCTGACATTGCGTATCAAGCAACTCGTACATCCACTTAAGATTTTATTATCATAATCATAATGTACTTCTGGAGCTGGTTGATAGTGATAAAAGTACTTTGCCGAAGTTTCATTTGAATTAAATAAGCCATGCTCCTTACATATCAGTTATGTAGAGCAATAGAGATCTCAACAATCTGAACCCAATAACCAAATGCTAATTCCATCTCTTTTTGATTTTACTGACTGGTATGTCTTTTGTTCCCTACTCAAACACTTTATGACGTACATTGCCGTATTAACTGATACACTCTTTTCATAAGAACACTCAGTTTATAAGAACATAGAGGTTTGACTTGACAAAAAAATAAGAACAACGAAAAAGTATCGAGCCTTACATGAAAAATCGCAAGAAAAAACCAATGTGCCAATGTGTGCTTGAACGTTTACTCAGGGCCGGTTCCATGGGGGGGTGTGGGGGGGTGTGACACCCCCCCAAGAATTGAGTTTGGCGATTTACTCGGTAAAGTTCGATTTTTGGTCGGTAAAATTATGTTACGAAGTTTTATATTAAATGCTGTGTAGTGCATCACTGCGCAAAAAGCAATTAAATATGCATAACATTTTGAATATCTAGTTTTCTTCATTATTGCCCTGTGCCTACAAAGACCATGTGATATTTGCTGGTGTGGTCTCATTCGGTGAGAACCTGAGAAACCATTTGTGTTTCCTGCTTACTCTATTGTTCCCTATTGTTCGAATTCCACTGATCGATTTATTCAATAAAACTAAACATAGTGACTGACGCCACCTGTGAAGAAGGCGCGAAACCCGCGAAGCAACATTCTCTGGTAATCCTTTATCTGAATGAAGCTGAGCTGACGAACAAAAGTAGAATTGAAAAAAATAGTAACAGTAATAAGTATTACGCTACTTGAAAGGGAAACGGCAGCTTTTCAGGTAACTCAAAAACTTGCTTCAAATAATGATCTTTCTGTTTTTTGAATTTTATTTTCTGAAGACATATCCATATAATCATTTGTTTTGAATTTTGTAATTCTCGCGTAAGCCTGTGACAAAAAGTCTAGGCCTGTTTGAAAAGCAAGATTTTCCAAGATTTGACAAGGCCTGAGTTTGAGCTTTTGAGAATTTTTTCAAGTGGGTCTCTTCATCTGAAGTAAAACTGAGAACAATTATTTTTACCAGGCTATGTTTCACTGCTATGAAAAGAAGACAAGTAAAAATAAGATGCAAGGCAAAAGGGTGTAATTCCCAGTTCAACAGTGACTATCGCCTCCAACACAATAGAGAGAAACATGAAGGCAAAAATGTGCCATATGAAACCGCAGGTGCAGTTAAAAACCCTTTCGAAGCAGCTAAACGCAAGAAAGATAATCCAATTGAAGAAAAAGATTCATCTTCTTCATCTTCATCTGAGACCCCGTTTACACTGTCCCGTGCAAGTTTGGAACCGTGACAAAACTGTCGCGGTTCGCCCTTGCGTTTACACTAGCACTGTGGAACCGTGACGATTTTGCTCTGCTATCCGGAACAGTTTTTGACCCTGCTTTGAAAGCGAACGAATTTTGTACCGTCACGGTTCCGTTTTTGAACGGGACAGTGTAAACACCTATCCGAGACGATTTTGTCACGGATTCACAAAGAGGTCTTTTGTATGGCTGTTTCAGGTAATCGAGGCTTTGATTTTGGCGCAATTTTTTAAACGCGGGAATTGTTAAGATGGCTGCTGAAAATCAAAACAACATTGTAAAATTCCTTATTACCTTGTTAAATTCAGTGGTAGCGATCGCTGGGCTGAATATATATTTAGCAGCCATTTACGATGGTTACCATCGTCTTCGCCAACGCCATTTACGGTCTATTCTCGATGGCAGTACATCAAAACTTTCAAGGATAAAGAAAGTTCTGAAAAAAAGACGGCGACTTCGAAGATTCTGGACAAGACCTGGCAGGACTAGTGCGTGGTGGGACAACTTCGTAAAAGATCTTGTAGTTCCTGAAGAATGGAATGAGAATTTTCGAATGTCTAGAGAAAGTTTCTTGCTTTTATGCACAGAGCTGCATCCATTTCTTTCGAAGCAGACAACCCATTTACGAACACCAATATCTGTCGAGAAACGGGTTGCAGTGACATTGTATTACCTAGCAGACGAAGGTAGATACCGGAAAGTAGCCAATGCGTTTGGAATTTCAAAAGCTTCAGTTTCTCTTATAGTGAGAGAAGTTTGTACCTTGATTGCAACTATTCTAGGGCCTAAATACATCAAGGTACCAACCACTGAGGAAGAGGTTATCACAGCTGTAGACAAATTTGAGCAAAAATTTGGTTTCCCTCAATGTTTGGGGGCAATTGATGGGACACACATTTTCATTAAACAGCCCAAAGACAACTCAACTGATTATATGAATCGCAAAAACAGATACTCTTTAAATGTACAGGCTGTTTGCAACCACAACTACATGTTCACAGATGTTAATGTTAAATGGCCTGGAAGTGTCCATGATGGAAGGATATTTGCCAATTCCAGCATCAACGAGAAATTAAGGTCTGGTGTCATTCCTCCTTGTCCAAGAAGAATTCTAGATGATGAAGAACCAGTTCCTGTGTGTTTGCTTGCTGACCCTGCTTATCCTCTTCTTCCATATATCATGAAAGAGTTACCAGGAGGTGGTTGCACTGATGAAGAGAGATTCTTTGGCTGGCGACTTTCATCTGCCCGTATTGTCATAGAGTGTGCCTTTGGCCGCTTAAAGGCTAGGTTTAGAGCCCTCCAAAGAGATATGGATATCGAATTACCCTACCTACAATATGTTGTCTTCTCATGCTTTGTGCTCCATAACTTTTGTGAAGCCCAGAAAGATGTATTGGCAGATGAAGTCATTTTCTCAGCAGTGAGAGAAGAAAGGGAAGTGCAACCAACTATCCAAGGCAACAGATATTCCCTTGCTACAAATGATGAAGGGGGTGGCAAAAAAATTAGAAATATTTTTGTTAAATATTTTCAGTAGTTTAAGATCAATGTAAACTCTCAAAATCACCTACTGAGTTATATATGTTAAGAATTGCTGTTATATATTTCTGCTTAAGTTTGTTTTTATTGTAATTTCGCTACTCTTTTTTTTATTGTATGGCCCAGTTGTGTTCATTTTAAGTTATTTTTGTTCTGTTAAACCTATCATTTTCCTTTTCAATATTCTTGTATACAATTGCCTAGACCTAGCTTTTGAAGGGTTTAAAATTTTTTCAATGTTACAATTTTTCTAAGTTCTCAAGAGAATTTTATTAAGATTTTAAATTTTATCAAGTTTAGATGAAATCATGATACACATTACATACTCAACCTTTTTTGTTGGCAGAATTTCCTACTTTTATGTTACAATTACACTATTTTAAGCATCTTACATGTGAATAAATTTAGTTCTAACCTCAATTATTGTCTGTTCTCTCTTTAATGAGATGAAGTTAAAACTACTGCCAATTGTTCAGTTTAGCCTGTATTAAGAAAAGGACATATCAACCCACTGATATTCTGTAGCAATGCAACCAAAGTGGATATAATGTTCCACAAATGGAAATATCTCAGATTTTGCATACAAGTAATGTCAAGCATGCTTTTGGGAGATACCCAAGTATAGAGGCATCCCAAAATACTTTTCTAAAGACCTCATCTTAGACCCCTTATCTCTCTCCCCCCCCCACTTTGATTAAACTGGCCATATCCTTGCTTTTCAATTTTATATGAAAGAAATTTAAAAAGAAAAACAGCTATCATTTTTCAAACAAATATATGAATCAATGCTGGAAACAAACTTTGAACAAACTAACAAACAAACTTCAAACTATGATTGAAAAAAATAACAACTTTAACAATAGTTACAACTAATAGTTCAACTAAAACTGATCATCATTCAGAAACTCAGAGAATGACCCTTGATTTTGTCTTCTCTGATGTATCTGGGAATTGTATTGATTAAAGCTCATCCCACCAAATGCTCTCCCCTGCTGAACTTGTGTTTGATGGCTTGATGCACCTTGCAAAGCAGCAAATCCATTTGAAATAACTTGTGTTAGTGAAGCCATTGTTTCACTAAAGGTTTTCATATTTTCTTTATGGCTTTTCTCCTCTTCTTCAATCTTTTCCAGAGCTCTCTTTTTCAACTGAATTTCCTCTCTGGCTATATCAATCAACTGTGCCTCTAAAGAGTTTCTTTTTGAAAGCTTTCCTGTTCTTCTGTCTTTTAAAAAATCCACCATCATCTGCTTTCTCTCTTTAACGCTTATTTTACGTGAATCTGCATTTACCAAACTCTCGTCAGTGTCTTGACCTCCCGATTGTGTATTTATTTCCTCTGTAGATGATGTATCCCCGTACGTTTCTTCATCTGGCAGCCCAGACAAACATCTGAAAGAATCCTCAGAAACACCACTGCCAATTTCACTACTTTCTAAGCCATGAACGATACTATCTACTGATGGAGAGCCAGCCCAAATCTCGCTGCACTCTTCGTAAAATGTCGTTACTACTTTGCCCCCTCCACTTCGACGCCCAGTATCGACAGCTTTCTTGTAACCGCTTTTTATGCGTTTAACTTTGTTGACCACTCTCTCCTTCGTAAACACAGCAGGGTCGGCATAATTCGGGTACTCGTCGCTTGATACTCCCTCCTTTGGATAACGACTGTGCAACTTTTCAGTTATATTTTCATATTTATTTTTAATTGTTTCCCAGTCCAATCCTTGATTGGACTTGGCAGTTTTGTAGTCTAACATGACGCCTAGGAGTAAAGACACCTCTTCGTCTGTCCAAGTGAAGTTTTTATCCTTCTTTTCCATTTTCGCTTTCATAAAATTTCTAGTCGAGTGTTGATTTTGGCGGCAAAATAAAAGCCTCGGTTGACGAAATACAGCCTCCTTTAAACAATGTTCTACCATCGAATTAAGGTCGTACCGGTACAGTGTAAACGGAACGGCTAAACGGAACAATTTGGAACCGCGACAGTGTAAACACTCGCGAACCGTAACGGTACAAAATTGTCCCGGGACAGTGTAAACGGGGTCTGAGAAGATATTGGATGACAAAACCGAAGAGATTGGGTTAGCGAATTCTGCAAAAGAAGAATCAGTATCTAATATTAGTAATGTTGTCGGTGAGAATGTGGTTGATGAGGAGAGCGAGAGTGAGGCTGAAAACTCCGAAAACGATGACACCGATGATGAAAATGATGATTATTGGATTAGCTGTGCGGGAAAGCTCAAGCATCTGCTATCCACTTTGGAGCAAAGAGGTAATTTGACGTTAAACATTCTAACACAACCATGTACCCCAAATATCGAAGAGTTTGCGATATCTGCAAAAGAGTTTGCCAACGAGATTAAAACCCAGTGTAATGATTTAGAAAAATCTGCTGAACGACTTAAAGTCAAAATTGACAGGCAAAAAGGATCTGTACAACCTGGAGAAGCAGCAGCACTAATAGAACACGACCCTGGAAAAAGAAAAAAAGATTTGTCGGATAGCCAACGCCGTTTTGTGATAAACCTAGGTCCCTACCAGCCTCGCTTGACAGTTTATCCAAGTAATGCATTCATTGAATCTGGTAAGCAAAATAAGTTTTCAAGCACCTGGTTCAAAGATTTTCCACATCTTGAATATAGCGTTCAAAATGACGCAGCATTTTGCTATGTTTGTTCCTTATTTCCAAACGGCGCTGGAAGACCCTCTTCAGATGCTTCATGGACTATTAATGGCGTTAGACAGTGGCACAAAATGAAGAGTGTTGGAAAAGGAAAGAAGGGCAAGCTGACACAGCATTTCACCAGCCAAAGTCACAGAAAAGCATTACGAGATTTTGCAAGATTCACTAACCCACATCAGAACGTTGATGCACTTTTGGATTTGTCTCGTCGTCATGAAATGATTAAAGAAACTGACGACGCAATGTTTAACACCAAAATTATGTTAATATTATGTGATGCTGCTCGCACCATGGCTATGCAGGACCTTGCATTTCGTGGAAATACTGACGAATCCAGCAACTTTCATGAGATTGTGAAGTTAATCAGTCGACATTGCGGCATTTTGAAATACTGGCAGAACCAAACAAGGATGCGACCATACCATGTTACCTATATGAGCAAAGACACCCAAAATGAGTTGATAAAGTTGCTAGGTGACGCAGTGAGGCATCGTATGGTGAAGGAGCTAGAGGAAGTCTCAGCGTTCTCAGTAATGGCTGATACTACCCCGGACACAAGCAATAAAGATCAGATGGCAATTGTTGTAAGATACGTCGTCAATGCCAAGCCAGTTGAGCGTTTACTGTGTCTGAGGATTCTCAAAGACAAGTCCGGAGAAGGCCATGCTGCAGAAATTTTGAAAGCTCTCAATGAGTGTAGTGTGGACCCACAAAAACTCGTCTTTCAATCGTACGATTTTGCGTCATGTATGTCTGGAAAGTATAAAGGATGCCAACGAGTGCTAAGTGATAAAATTCAAGAAGATTTTCCACACAAAAAGGAAATCCTTTACATCCCATGCCAGGCTCACAGGCTGAGTACATATGTAGAACGAAGCTCCAAAGCAAGCAGTCTTGTATCATCGATGTTTGACATATTACAGTCATTGTACACATTCTTTTCTAGTAGCACCAAGCGATCTGAAGCACTTGAAAAAGCACAAGTTGAAATAGAAGGGGCCTTGAAGATGCGAAATCTTTCGCAAACTCGTTGGATTGCTAGATCTGAATCTATTGACAGTGTCTGGATCTCTTTGACAGTAATCGTCTCGCTGCTCGAGCAGATAATGGATAGACAACTTGACTGTGACAAAAACACACAGGATCAAGCCAAAGCAATTTTGAAGAAAATGAAAACATTTGATTTTGTTTTCAGCTTGGCTACTATGAGATTCATAATGCGGCGCTGTAAGGTTCTGGTTGTGCAACTTCAGGAAGAGGGTTTGAATTTACTCGACGCACTTGAGCTAGTGTCATCGACAACTAGGGCGTTAGAAAAGATTCGAAATGAAGATGACGTGCAAAAGCAGATTGAAGCTGCCACACAAATTGCAATGCACATGGGAATAAATCCAGAAGAGGAGTTTCAGCACCGCCACAGAAGAAGATTGATTCCAAGAAGAATTGATGAAAACCGAGACAACGAGGAGGCATTCTCCTTCCAGACGTTTTATTCGAAAGAGATTTATTCTGTACTTGATCAGATAATTACAGATTGTAAAGAAAACTTGGGTAGCATTTTGAAGAAAATAAAGCCGTTCACTGTTTTGTTGCCTCCTTGGGATAACTTAAGGGAAGAACAAGCAGAGGATCTGGAGCATTTGTTGTCGGGGAAAGTTTCAAGTGGCAGTCTTATTGCAGAGCTTACTGTTTTGAGAGAGGACTTCCAAGAGAAAAAGTTGGTGAAGAGCATGACAGTCCGTGAAATTGCAAAGTTCGTATATAGTCGAAGGCACATTTATCCGGCAAGCAACACAGCATATACATTCCTTCAAACAGCACCAATTACTGTGGCTTCAAATGAAAGATCTTTTAGCAAACTAAAGTTGGTGAAGACTAAGCTGCGGAGCACAATGCTCCAGGACCGCCTGGAATCTCTGATGCTGATATCATGCGAGAAGGATTTCTCTGAAAATGTCAATCTGGAAGATGTTGTCAAGAACTGGATACACTTAAAAAACAGAAGAGTTCGATTTGACACTACTTAAAGTTAATTTATTCATATATTGCGCTATAAGAACTGAAAAAGAGGCTGGGTCAAAAGCTCCTAATTAAATGACTCGCAAAAATCTGAGGGTTATTTTTTGACCCACCATTGACTCTGTATTTTTATTAGAACGTGCTGTATTTGGTTGAAACGCTTTTTTCAGATTGAAGTTAAAATTAAAGTTCTTTCGTTAAAGTTAAATTTCTTAAATTAAAGTTAGTGTAAGTCATTTAGTTGTTAGTTCTGATCACGATTAGTTGAGCTCAAAATTTTTGGTATTGTTTTTTCTAAAATTACTCGGTACATAAAAGCTTACACCCCCCCAAGAAAATTTCCTGGAACCGGCCCTGCGTTTACTATCGTATTAACAAAAAAGCAGATTTTGTCAGCTAATCAACCATGCTACTGAAAATGACATTCAGAGCTGTTATTTACTTAAACTACGGAACTTAAAAATTGTCTGGTTCTTATATAAAATGAGTGTAAGCCATCTTTTACATTCGTCTTCAAATTGTTCCCTCGACTTATCTCAAATTAAAATGAGTATCAAATTGCAGACACCATGGCAAATTCTATTTCGTAGCATTCGAATTGAAGATTTTCGAAGCATTTTATGAAAACTTGAATACTATTACTGATTATTGCAATAAAACATACAGTTTGCTATCTGAGGCTGGGCAGGTTCTTGCGTTGCATTCTACAAACGTGTTTATATAAAAATGATAGTAACTACCTTTCAATTCCATTCCTATCAACTTTCTGTACTTAGTTACTCCGCTTCTATATTCTAGTTGCATAAGAAGACATGCACTGATTGTATTACAAAAATCTTTGTATATGTCTTGTCTTATCATGCATATCACCTCTGTATTCCAATGTAACCAACGCGGACTAAACTATCTAAACTAAGTGACTCATTCACCCATATCCAATATTTCAACTTTCTTAATGTGCAGTTAAGGAAATTAACATTAATTGGCATTCCAGTAATCATTTCCTAACAATGCAGCCTTGATGTTGCAATTAATTAAAAAATAAGGCACTGTTCTGATTCATTAAATAATAAAACAGCAATTATTACAATTTTCCCACGTGGGGAAGCAGCAAAAGATATTCGATGAAAATATTAGTTCTAAATTGAGGCTGGATGTTAATCTATTTTCGTGAATCATCCTCTATTCAATAGGAAATACACTAATCGCTAATACATACTTCACTACAGTTAATAGCTATACGCACAGGGTCAACTGTTTAACGCAGCGTGGGTGCCTTAAGTCAACAAGAACATGTATTTCCCGATCATCAATTAACGGAAAGTAAGATTCAGCCATGCTTATGTTTCTCACGTAACCAGTTCCCTAGTTCTCAGTCCCCTTTAGAGTACCAAAGTGTCACCTCATCCAATATTTTAAATTTCTTAGTCCATTTTCAATTGACCATATAGTCCGACAGAACAGCATAGACTACCTCTAAATAAGAAAGGTCCGTTCAATATGTCCCAAATTGGGTGCGATTTGGCCATATGAGTACAGATTCTTCCCCATCAAATTAATGTACTTTTGTCTTGGCTCATGTCTTTATCAACCAGGCCAGGAGAGTAACATTAATCTGTTGGTAAACTTAAAATTGGCCATAACTTAGCCTGTTTGTAAAACATTCAACCGATTGTACATATTTAGAGCTTTTTCATAAGGCTCTTTCAGGTTACGTAGCCAAAATTGAAAAATTCCAAAATAAGATTTTCGTAACGTCATCACATTGGAACTCTCTTCTTGATAAAAAAGCCAAAGCTATATGCTAAACAAACAACCGCATCCTGCGTCATTTCTGCTGCTGTAAGCTATTGTCAACTTATCTTGCTCTTAAAAGAGTATATATTTTGTTGTTCCTTCGCTTCTACGTAAAATTAAGATTTCTTTCTATACATAAAGTTTGCTTATAAAATTCATATGTGACCTTAATTGCAATCATTTGTAAAATCATACCTCAACTGTTATAACAGGAACCTCAGGTAGGATACCATTGGTTTGTCCAATTGAATCTTTTTTCTCGAGCTGAAATTAGCAAATAAAGCATTCTCTCTTACTGTATTCAGAATCTCGTCAACGCCTCTAAGTATAACATGTGATGGGTAAAATAAGCAAAGTTCTTTCGTATCAGACTAGACAACACCCAGTTATGAATTCAATATCGTTTATGTCTACCTCCTTGGAATTCAGAATTGGGAGTTAAACTGGGGCAATTCAACAAGCGGTTTTTAAACATAGAGAATGTGTACATATCTAGGGTCTGGTCATGTTTGATTCTGGTTATTTGCCATCAAACCATTTAGGTCGTCAGACAACACATTGTCTGAAACTGAGCAATGTAATGGTTTTTGACGTCATAGACAGCGTTTACAGGGCTGTACGCCTCAAGTTGTGCAAATAATTTGAATTACATAAAGATGGTGGCAAATATCATCAAGAGTTTGGTTATCAGTGCCAGCGCAACAATTTTTAGGTCGCGCCCTTTTACTGCCAGCAAAAACACTTTTCCAGGAGGAAAAAGGAATTTTTACAATACGTATTTCTACCCCAAGTACCAGCGCTCTTTAAAACACTCTTGTGTTTAGTGGAGAGAGCCTGGAGCAAAGGGTAACGTATTGTAAGAATTGGCGATTTTCTTCATTACCTACTATTCATGATAATTTGTAATCGTTCGAAGAATTGAATTTAGCCAAACTTAAAAAATTAATATACGGTCTTAGGGTAGCCCACTTTTTTGAAATCTTTATTGCATATCTAATGTGCTCTAGCACTGGTGGTCTTACGCTCATTCTTTTCAAATGAGTTAAATTAAATATGAGATGAACTTAAAAGGTTTTATCTGAAAGCGAAATATTTCAGACCAGGCATACTTCCATACACAAATTTTCAAACGAGAAACTCTATTTACGCATGAATCTAAACAAAATGAAGTTGTAGTAATCGAAATTACAACTGTAAGTAAATGTACTTAAAAATGACAGCTGCCATGAAACTGTTTAAAAGCAAATAACCAAAGCATACCCCTACGTTATTGTCCACAAATGGTTTGTCCAAAGATGCAGCTTTCTGAAGTTTAGCGTCCTAGACATAAGCAAAATAACTAGTATAGTATCAGATCGACTTTTGCAGTAAATAACTAGTACAGTATTATATTATTACATAGCACATTCATCACGAGTATAGTATTAAATCGACTGAAAGGTCAAATATCAGTACAAAAGTTCCTCATGCAAATATCTCAAGGGCTTATCAAGCAAATTCATGAAAGATGGCAAAACATTGCAATTGAGTGACTAGTAGTGCACCTAGGGTGGTAAGATTGGGGGCAAAGGCAAGCTGAGTGAAGTGGGGGTCTTTATTCTTTAGAACGCCTAGAAACGCTCTTTTAAGAAGATTGTTTGCCATTAGTGGGCCTCTGCCCCTTTTGCTTCCCCCTTACTACGCCACTGAGAGCAATGTAGAGTTTAGAATTTCAATTGCTGCGGAAGAGACCACAGTCTTTTGGAAAGGAAATAAACTTCAGGGACAAGCCTTTGTTTATACAAAGACAATAGCCAATTGTTTAAAAAAACCAAAAGCCACTAGTTAGTATCTTAAAAAAAGGCCCTGGAAGAGAGCATCCAGGCGCGAAAGCTCTGCTTTTCAAAATTTCTTGACTCTAAGACATCTTTTGAAACTACTTTGAAATTATTTCCCAAGAATACCTTAATTATAGCTAATTTTTGATTTTCAAAATAATTATTCTGATATCATTCTTTGCGTGGAATCAATCAGACGACACATCGCGTGAATTTGGAAGGCATCCAGGAAGTCTTTGCTATGGTCTTTTTGCATGGTGAATACAAAACGAACCAGGACAAAACGAGAAAAGCACAACAAAAATGGCTTTGCTTTATCAAAATAACAACATATTTTGATAAATCGGTCAATTTCATTTGATAAATCAGCAAGCTTGCTTAGTGTATCCGCGTATCCCAAGCTCTTAGTGTGAAAATCACGCTTGTCTTGTTTGCAAAAAACTCATGTAGATACAAGCCAAGCTGAAGTATAGTTTGGTTAAGAACAATGATGGAGTATCGTAAAGCATTTGTATGCATTCTTCTCTCCTCGTGTATTTTTGAAATAGGAAACATAGAAATATTCAAACCCAGCTGTGCCTTGCTAACAGGGACGCACAAACTACCAGCTCTAACTGCACACACTGTGAGAATGAATGTTACCCTGGGGCGACTGCACTTTTTGTTGCCTCAAACATACCGACAGTGGCGCAGAGAGGGGGGGCAGGGGGGCAATTTGCCCCAGGGCCTCGGCCAGAAAGGGGCCCCAAAATTATTCTGAAAATTTTTTTAAAATGTCTTCTTTTGAGAAACTGAAAATGCGTTTAAAGATATATTTGTTAATATCGAAAATGATGGCAGTTATTTCATTGGGTCCGTACACTGAGTCTTGTTTGAATTTAAGGCCTATCAGCTTTATTTATTGAGTCTGGGGCCCCGAGAAAAGCTGAATAAACCTTAGATCACATATTTTACGGATTCATCTTTTAAGCTGAGTTTTCCTGAGTTTCGCAAAATCGTACTTATTGGGGGAAGAGAGCCCTGATAAAAAATTAGGTAACCATATAATCTTGTTTTTATCTATGGCCCGTTCAAGTGAGTTATGTTTGCATTTAGAATCGTTGCATAAAGCTATATTATATTTTTGGGGCCCCTTTCAGCAAACTAGCATTAATAAAGAACCGCTTACGTTCAACAATGACTCAAGACAGACTATCAAGCCTCGTGACTCTTTCGATCGAGCACGAACTAGCAAGACAAATTGATTACGACAATATCATTGATCAATTTGCAACTGAAAAAGCAAACGTGTGCAAACGTTTGGAAATAATGGGCGTTTCCCATTTTATAAAGGGCGTGGTCTCAAAAAATTTTTGTATCCGACTCTAGGGCCCCAACCGGGACTTTGCCCCAGGGCCCAGGCCGCCTCTCGGCGGCCCTGCATACCGATGCAGCAATCTATCAGGTATTTAATAGGTTTCTTGCTGAGTTAAATAAAAAAGGCAGGCTATTATCCATCAAAATGATAATAAAGAATCTAAATTCTAATTTCATTACTGCAAGAACTTTTGTATACACCTCCTGGTAGGCTTCAATTAAACATTCTTGATATCGTAAGCTAAACCAATTCGTGTATCACTAAATTCACTGAAAACTCAAACAAGCTCAGTAAATCAACAGCTTTTATAATGCTCGTGAAATTTTTATATCAATTTTGCCTTTCCTTACGTTTTTCTTCGCATAAAAAAACTTACAATTTTATCTGATTTGCGAACTTTTTCTTTCCTCGAGTTGCTTCTTCGAATAGAGCTCTGTTGAAAGAAGTTAATGAATAAGTATTGAAAAGTAATCATCAATGAACATACAAAGCATATACATACAGAAATGATTAAGGCTCCAATACCAATGAAAAGTGCATGCCCTGTAAGAACAGGAATTTATGACCCCAATAATGTTCTTGATGACCCAAACCAAGATTGCTAAAGCAAAATAACATTGAATACACAGGTTTGAGACACAGAAAGAATGAAAGACAAAGCTCCACTGAAGATACGTAAAATAACCGAGATTATGCCGTTGTTATGTGGAATCACCCAGCTTTGTTGACAAGAAAAATAAACCACGTGCTGCTGTTTGGAGCAAAAATAAACAGGTTATGTATGGTATTGGCAAAGTAATCCAGGCTATTGTCGCTAATGAGATTAATAGCCCGAATTTACCAACAAACAATATTTCTTACAGAAATAAGGGTCACACATAAATCTGCAACATTTACAATGCAACTATTTGTCAATCTAATAAATGGGCTCCGAAGCAGGTTGGAAAGTAAAGGGGCCAAGAGAAAACATAACAATCATAGCAAAATATTTAAAAAAAGCTCTATTGTTTTGCAAAAAAAAGAGGGGGCCATGGCCCCCCGGCCCCCTCCCCCTTCGTCAGAGGCCCTGTAATAAAGGTAAGCAGATATAAAAACCAATGTCGGTGATCATGAGCTGAATGAGTACGAAAACAAGTTATAGATGGCAATTATACGATAATTCATATCTTAGTAAAAGAGAATTTGTATTTTGCTTTCGTGTACCAATGTCACAAACTAGTACATTGTAAGCAATGTTTTGAGGCAAATTGATATCCTGGTCACACAAAGATGTTTTGTTTTAAACTGGTCGAAACATTTCAGTGATCAAAATTTCATGTTCTTATTAGAGATGTCAATCAAGGTTACGTAATGTCATGTTTATAAGGAAATATGGCAGAGAGTTGATAATTCTCACCCTGATACTAAAACGTCTAGTCCTCTTCTCCATTTTCATTTGTTCGACAACTATCATTTTGTTAATCTTCCCTTTGGTTCAACACGAAAAGAGTAACCTTTAAGCAGTCTACCTTCGTTAATGACAAGCAACGTTATAAAATATCTTTCGAAGGGATTGGAAGTTCTTTAGGAAAAGCGATGTCATGCTGGCATGTGCAGAGAAATCACACAGACATGCAGCAGACCCCTTAGAGACACCATACAGGTATAGTGGAGGTATTATAGTGTCATTTGAAAGCACTTATTCTATCTGGAAAAAGTAACTGCAATGTTTATAGATCAACTAGAAGCTGCATTTTGCTCGTCAAATTCTTTCCAGCGCGGGCGGGCGTAAATACACAATTGTACCAAGTAGACCTTTTTGAAATGCGTTACTCACTTCAAAAGAGGAGTTAATGTCATTGCAAGATTTATTTCATTTTTATCATAAAGCAGTCTAGAAATGTCTAGTAAACAAGATTGGGAGCTAAACCAACCTTCGAACAAATCTCTTTGTACAGGCTCCATAATATTAGGATGTTGGGTGTTACAACTCGGAAAAAAGAATGGTGAACTTATAAGTGTATGACCAAGACTAGATCAACATGACAGGTCAAAAAATTTGCAAAAAACTGGTGATACTATATAATTTGAGAAAGCAGTGAAGTTTTTTGTGTGCACTGCACTGCAAGATGCAATTCTGGTAAAGTGTTACCCATCCTACTCAAAGAACAAAGAATAAAGAGGTTGTTAGTAGATTTATTTTCTTGGTGGCACCAGAGCTTCACTTAGCAACCACACCAGCCCTTTTCCGAAACCGTGCTTGTAGTATCCCCCTTGAACAATGTTCAATAGCAACAGTCTCGAGGCTTAAAACTCATCTAATGTAAGCTGTCAGCTGGCTTGACAATTTTCAACCAACACTGTCTTGGGGATGAGATCGATATTTCTTTATCTTACGGCCACAAACATTGAATGACATGAATAAATAAAATAAAATAGTTTCCAAACAAAAACCCATCCAAAATAACTATATCAGCTAGTTTAAGTAATAGGCTTTTCAACCAACATTGTTTTGGGAGAGGGGGAATGCTTCTGTTCCCAATGACTTTTTGGAAGGATTGTACTTCACTTCAGCCCAACAGGGTGCTCTGGTATCAAAGGTAGAAGTTTGCAAACAAAATAAGTTTCTCACACTAAAAGGGCCTTAGAATCAATGGTCTGTTATTCTTCCATGAGTAAAATTTCGCGAAGAGAATTGACGCGCGTAAGCTGGTGTAATCTCGTTTTGTATATTTGATTTTCAATGTAAAGGGTAAACAAACAATGTTATATGAATTGAAATTATCACTTATGAATTACAAAACTCGGATTTTTTCTTTTTGTATAGAGATTTGTCTCTCGTTTTGAATTTCACCTATATAAGTATTTAAGGGGATGAAAGATGCAGAACAAATCTTGTTTAAATGAATTGAAATGGTCACAGTGGCGAGGTTTTTACTGTTTTACCTAAAACTGTTAATGTCCCTGATGTGGAGCCAATAACCAAAAGATTAATTATCCATTTGAAGAAAAATCTTTATACTGTGACTGGGTAATTCAAAATATCGTAATTTTGCCTCAGCGAAAGTTATTGGACTAAAATTCCATTTATCCTAACATCATTAAATAATTGCCTAAATTACAATTCCTATGTTGGAAGTCTAGGCGTAGTGGCCTATAATAACATATTATGAAATATATATCTGACTGCGTGTGATTCAATCTGTTGTATTAAAGAGACTAAAGGGCTAAAAGCTCCAGTTCTATAGGACGTCACAGGATGTCACGAAGGGTCAAGGCTACGAATCGTCAATGTTCTTTACGATTTTCTGCAAGATGTTGTGACTATACTGCGAACCAGGAAGCTGGGTGTGCGATGCGAGCACAGCATACATCCAGCGCTCATCTAAAGAAACGAAAAATAGCCAGTTTTTTTAGACATTCATTTCAAGACTTTTCTATCTTTAAGAACTGAGCAAATTTAATTGTTTTTCAATATCATTTTTTTCAAATGGCGTTTAGCCCTAAACATAAGATATTTATGAATCGATAATTAACAAAGTAATCTGGAAGAAGGGAAGTTGATTCACTTACTAGTTACTAGCTAAATAAATAAGAATATTTTTCATTTAAAGAACCATTTTTCTTTTAGTTCGCTACTTTATCTAAAATTTTTTGTTTATTTTCAACGTCACACAACCATTAGGAACTGCTACCAAAGATTGCATAAATATACTTGCTGGCATGTTGTGCAATATAATGTGACAATAGAACTTGAAATTGATGTAAAATTGCCTGAGAAAATGAGAGAATTTTGAAAACTATTACCAAAGACTGCGTTGTTTTTGCAACAGTCTGAATTCGTTCATCACTCGCACATCATGTATATGCCAAGCATTCTTCAAGCTTTTTGTTCCCTCTTCGTTATCACGCACTCTTTATTATCTAGCATTCTTTGTTTTCAAGCATTTCATTCTAAACTATCAAGCATTCTCTGTTGGATTAATTCCAAGTCTAGACAATAAATTGAGACTAAACGAAGATGCTCCACTACGTTCAACTACAAAGATGTTTTAACACAAGCAAACATGGCGAAAAAAGCACTCAAATTGGTCCATGTTTTCAAGTCTTGCTTGCTTTGGCCTAACGATTTTTGTTTTATAAACATTTGTAAACACAGTCTCAGTTTATCATTCTTTGTATTTTATGTAGCTGTTAACAGCAACTTAAAGGCACCTGCATAATTGCTGTTACTAGAACACCCTTGCTCATTACGGTCAAAAGGTGTAGAAGCTGTAAATTCTTTATGATGGAAAGTTTTCGTGTTCGCAAATCACATTCATACTGTACAAAAGGCATCTAGTCTGCTTTCAGAATGCCTCCAACTTGTCGTTAAAGCCTGAGTTCAATTATCAGCTACCATACAATGCTTAGAATAGGAGATCGTTCGAATATATACTTCGACTAACAAACGTGTTCAAAATCGGTATAATTTCTCATGACTGCAATCACAATCATCATAACATTTAACGCTTATTTCAACCAAGACTCAATTACAAATATACGACATAATTACGACATAATTACATTTTTGGCGATCCGGGCGCACTTCTGCCATATGTTTGGTTCGCTTTTTGACTTTTTCGAGAGCCCCACCGATAGAACTTCTAGCCTATCCATGGCTGCAAATTGAAAATCGCGATCCGAACAGCAACAGATGGATTCAATAACGATTTTCTGTATGCCAGCTGATTATTATCAACATGCAAACACGAGTTGCCAAAAGATCTCTGTGGCTTCTTCCTATTCTTTATTATTTTACCGTCATCAATAATTGCATCTTCTAAACAGACTCAACTATTTGCCAGGTAGGGGGTAGACAGAAGACAATAGGAACAATATATCCATAATTGTTCTCTGATCTCCATTCAATTAAAAGACTAAATTTATACGGGCTACAAAAGCTTCTAAAAGACTAGATTGCATGTTTGATATTCAATCATCTTAACAACAATACAAACGTCAGCGTAACAGACAGGAACGAACTTATCAGGAACGAACAAAAAGGATTGCTCTTTCCAGAAAACAAATATAGCAAACTCAGTTTACAGACCTGTTACATGCAGTATTGATGTAATCCTCAATCACAAAGTATGTATGACTCTGAATATTGAATTAGCAACTGTCTGAATTAGTTGGAATAAAAAGCTTACATTCTTCGAATTTAACCAACACAATGGCGTGTCCAAATATTGAACCAGAAGATCTTTATTCACATATGAAGCATATTTGAGATAAATTCAAGCAAGGCGTGGATAAAGCTCAATGTTAGCTTCACAGTATAAAAAAATCCATGCAGTTGATCAGCAGTGCCCGAACCTGCACCTAACCTAATAGAGCTTGTAGAATAGTCACAACACAAAAAATAAAGATCCCCATGATATAAAGAGCATCCTCTTTAAATATTTTTTATCAATCAATCAATCATTCAATCAAGATTTTTTTATCAATCAAAATAAGATTCAAGTTTTTCAAGTTTTGTTCTAAACATGTGTGAACCGGCGGATTTTCGGTATATAAACAGTGCCAAATGTTGAATCATTGATAAGGTAAAAAAAATCAATCAACCAATCAATCAATCAATCAATCAATCAATCAGTCATACCAATCAACCAATCAATCATTACAATCAGTCAATCAATCAATCAATCGATACCTGAGCAAACCTTAAAAATGACAGTAGCAGATGCCAGCAATTTTAAAGGGTGTTTTTAATAGAGTTCTTAATAGAGATGGCGTCACAAAAAAATTTTTTTAGAACTTTTTAAAATTGGATTCCATAACCTGGAGGTTTCTAAACCTGGAATCCAAGACGAGACAGCAAATACACTCCAAAAGGTTATGCAAAAAAGAGGTAAGAAAAAAGAATCAGTGCGAGACAGAATGGTAGGAACGGTTTCCAAAATTGCACTTACCACTGAAAATATTTCTGCTCTCCACATCTAGCTAGCTGGGTGAGTTGCAATAATGTTAAGGATTTCCAGCGCCATCCTACATTAAAACAGCTTTCATTCAGCATTTAGGGTTAATTGTTAGGTAAGAAATTTTTAAGAAGTAAATTTGAAGCGTGGTTAAAAGAAGTTTTCAGTTCAACATCTAAGCTTCTTGATATCCCTTGTTACAAATTTACGGAAAAGAGGCACATACTAAGGAAAAGTTACTTCGCTTTATATCTAAACGACTGGGAATGTTATAAGATCATAAGAAACAAAGATATTAATTGTATCTTCACTGAGTGCGGAAGTGAAACTATGATGCTTTGTAGCAGAACTGTAGCTACGTTGTAGCACCCATCCCCGTCCCGTGGCCGGCCCGTGGCCAGTGGGCCCCCTTTAAAATCTGGCAAAAAGGGTCCCATTTTTGCAGAAAAAGGGCCCCATTTTAGGAATATGGCAAGCAAAACCACCCGGCATTAACTGCAGAGTCCACTTAAATGTTTGCCAGTTAGCAAAAAAGTAAGGACTGATTGAGTAACAAACTCGGCGTTAACTTTTTCTTTGACTCAAGCCATCGCATTAAAATAATGCGATGTGAATGATACTTCAACGGGGGTTGCTGCATCGTCTTAAAGATTCGTTTACCGAATAATCTAGTCTTTTGCTTGCGCTGGACTGTCTAGTATAAAAAACACACAGGTAAGGTATTGCCTCATGGAATGAAAAAAATTACATAAAAAAGATGTCAATAAAATGGCAAGAATTGGCCAAATTGCACATAATGGACGAATAAACTTCGAATCGCAAATGGTTCTCAGAAAGGAAGGCAAAGTTGATGCAAAAAGGGGACAGGACTGATCACTGGTTTCTTGGAAAGCAAATTAAAGAAATGCAACTTCTGGTAGCATTTGATTGAAACGGTCTTCGAAATGACAAACCTAAAAGTTTTGTGAAAAATACAGACAGCAAACCAATTTAGCGGATGATTACACAAAAATTAAAGGGAACCTGAACCTTCTTGCTATGATTTAGCTGTAACATTACGATTAAGATATCAAATTTTCGTATATAGAAATAATTCGCTTTGGCTTTATTTGTCGCTAAGCAAGTTTTTTCATTTTGATTTTTTGATAGGAATTTGTAAAATCCGATAGACGTTCAATGTATTCCGCATGTGAGCCACAACTTCTAAAAATCGAATCAGTGTACCTTCCTTTCTTGTTTGCTATTTTTAGGTCTGTCATCTTTAGTTTAAGTTTCAGTAAAGATACGGCTTCCTCGCGCCTCAGATATTCTGTCATTTAAACTTACTATCCTTTATGTATCTCAGGTTAGTTTTCTTATAACTTTTAACTTTGTTTCTTCAAGAAAGTCGCTTGTGTAAAATTACTGAAATCCATATCAGACAGAATTTTTATTATTTAATGTTAAATTTCAATTAGTGCACTCAGCGCCCATTTGTAATCAACAGCTATTAGTGCTACATATGTTATGTTGCTTAGAAATTGATCGATTATGATGAAATGCTCGCTTGACCACGCCCTGATTTTCAGACCACACCCACCTGGGCCCCTCCAGGTATTTGTGGCCGGTTAAAAATTCTGAGCCAGTCCGCCACTGTATATTAATGCAAATTACCGACTTCTGATTCAATATATAGCGGGAATGAAACGCATACTTCATTTGATCTGATACCGTAACCTTGCTCATCAATCTGTCTAGACTGACCTTCCCGCATTTTACAGCACAAAGCAATGTACATTTTTTTATAAGAATACTACAAATCTTGTCCAGCGTCAATGCCCTTATAAAACGCCCGTCTTGAACTAGAACATATTCTTAAAGTGTTCTTGTTTAACCAAATCTGATATGGTTATGAACATTGCAAAACTGCTGAAAAATGAGACACGAATATGCGAACTGGGGCTGATCAAAATTTTATAGCATTCTTAAAAATCGGATGATCCTGAGCTTAATTATTCTTAAACAATATTCAAATAATAAAGAGTGCATGCAATATCAGATTCAGATGCAGATCCAGATTAATCGTCAGGTTTACGAGTAGGTTGAGGATTCGAAAAACAGCTGACTCGTCACAAATATAAATGGTAGCAGAATATACATAAGAGTTAGTGTAAAAAATAAAAACTAGCGTGGTAAAGTAGCGGCGCCAGCTACTGCAGAGAGGGAGGGTAAGGGGTGTGACCCATGGAACAACGCCCTTTTTGTCTCATTTTAGTGCTCTATTTCAGTTCTTAATTTAATGCATTTTATCAATATTTAGAATAATTATGTGGACTACGTTTTAATTTAAGTAAGGGATATGGTTATTACCCCTTACTAGCCTGTAGTAGGAATTAGATTCTGCTTCAAGGTATATTTGAAACAGGTACGCTGTTTTTAGAATCTTCGACCTACATGCAAACTTGAACCTGAATATATAGTCGGATTCTGAATCTGATTTTGCAGACATTAAAGAAGATTGACAGGACTTTAAATTGCCAATTGCCATGATCTGGACTATCACACTTGACATTAGGCTTGGTTAATGCTTAGAATGACGTTTTCCTATGAATTACCATTGATGTGGACAAGGGTCGTTTGATTGTGTTCTATCACAACACAATACTACTTGTAGCCATGATAGCGGTAGAATACAAACTTCCATAAGTCATTATTCTTTAAAGGAAGGTGAAGACATAAATTTTGGAATGAAATTATTTCTTTTCAATGGAAGCGTACTTGACTGAGATGTATCATCTATTGGCAATCGTCCATTAATGGAGATGTTATAATAGTCACATGACTATTGTTTCCCTGTAACAACGTCATCACATGCACAACATTAATAGTAAATTGTACTTCGTTGGATACTTTGCTTAAGTTTGTTTGATTTAGGCTGCTCATTGAACCCTATTCTTAAATTTGTTGAAAAAGGTCAATCAAATATTGGTCGTTGTCCTTCTTTGCAACCAAAACAATGATATTTGAAAAGCATTTGCTTGTCTAATGCTATCTGCTAGACACTAAACACTTCATAAAAGACAGGTAAAATGTTAAATAATTGACTTGAATTCTTATCAAGAATGCGATGCAACATGAGCGTGGTTCTAATTTCTTGAAAACCTCTCTCAAAAATAAAGCTCAAACCTCTTGACCAAATTGTACTGAGGTGTGACAAATAAAAGACTAATGTCAGTATTTCTGCTTTTAGCTCCTAAAGCCTGAATTTAGATTTGTCAACGAATGAACTGCAAATCTTTATACACCTTCCAATTTCATTTACCGGGAGGTTGGGAATAGAATTCAATGAATAAGCCATCGAATCTGTTTTTTGTATCCATCGAATCCCTATATGTTTTTGAATATGAAAAGAATTCGATATCGCGTGAATGCTCAAATCTGGATATATTTTAATCCGATTGCACAATACGTGCTCTCGAACTTGACAGTGCTTGCTCTGAAGATAATAATAACCGAGGAAATCTGGAATCTATGCTTCTGTGATTCGAATGCCTGCTCACTGCAGATTCAAGCAACAACAACAGTAAACACTGCAACCGCAACAACAGGATCAGTTACTGAAAGCGAGACAAAAAAACCCAAGTGCTGAATAGAGGCATCAGAAACTCATTGCATTCAAGCGTGAACAGGTCAGCAAAGAAAAGGAAATGCAATCTTGTTCACAGCGTGTTCAAACCACGCAAACAGCATCATAGCAAACTGTTTCAACGAATATTTTACAACTGTTGCACAAAAGATAGTCGACACAATGAAACCCGGGGTGGGGGGTTCAAGCCCCCTACAAAGGAATTAAAAGATTACTTTAAAACGCCAAACCCAAGAAGCTTTTTTATTCAACCAGTTACACTACAAGGAATCAATGAATTGGTTGCCAACTTAGACGAAACTAAAGACGAAACCAATACACAAGGGCAAATCAAAACTTGAGCTTACTACCAATCTTTAGTAAACTTCTAGAGAAGGCAATGCACTCTCGTTTGGTTAACTTGTTAGACAAGTACAGAATAATTTTCAAGCATCAATTTGGATTTCAAAACAATAAATCAACAACATTGGCAATCTTAGATCTCTGCACAAAGCTAGTTGAAAGCATTGAAGAAAAACGTTTTTCATGCTGTATCTTTCTAGACTTCTCTAAAGCCTTTGATACAGTTAATCATGCTATTCTGTTAGATAAGCGCAAACTCTATAAAATAAGATAAATTGCCCATTCTTGGTTCAAATCCTACCTTACAGAAAAAAAATTAACTGTCTCAGTCAATGGCGAATTGGCAAAAGATCTCTCGATTAACTGTGGAGTTCCACAAGGAATCATCTTAGGCCCACCTCTCTTTCTGCAATACATTAAAGACATCTATGTTTCCTCACAAAAGCTGGAATTCCACCTCCTTACAGATGATACAAGCTCTCCTTTTTCAAACAAAAACCAACAAAACTTAGAGAAAAAAGTTAACTCCGAATTAGCAAATATCTCCGATTGGCTACTGGCCAATAAACTTTCCCTAAATGTATAAAAATCAAATTTTCTGATTATAAATCCACATCAGAAAAACCTGATAAACCTATTGTCCTTAAAATTGATGACGAAAGGCTAGAACTTTCCCTAAAGGTTTTAACATAACCAATTTATATCTCTTATTACATTAACCCAATATTATTATTCTTTTCTTTCATTTTTCATTACAGTGTTCTTAGTCTTTATTTCGTCACCTATTACAAGATAGCCCGTTGTGAGTTCTTCTCAAATGTCCGACAGAAAACATTCGAACTACCTACTGTATGTAGCTTTCCTTTATTGTAAAACAATAATTGTTATTTGTGGTTCATGTATTAAATTTAAATGTATCTGTTAATTATTGCTGTTAGTGAAATATTTGAGTTTGAGTTTGAGTCAATTCAAACTTCCCACGTTGCATCTTCTGAATCAAATTTAAGAGTGGCACGAAACGTTGTTTACGACACTGGCTAATTGACTACCGTTTGCTCTATGTCCAAACTCATGTTTAGCTTTAATGACGTTATTGCAATTCAACAACAGGCCTAGTGCTGAGTCAGTCCATAAATATTTATGCCAGCACGGAATGAGGTCAAGGCAATATTCAACAAAATGAATTAATCTGAACTGTGCATCTGTCCCACCTCGATCGTTCTAGAAACCATGGGGGACATCCAAAATCGCTAGCTTTCTATATGTTATGATATAATTTAGTCAAAATATATCTTACGTCGGTCCACTCTCATTAATTTGTGCGTACAACGGCCCTCTCCCGTTTTTCAAGGTCACCAAAGGCGACACAACAGCGTTATATATTGTATCAAGGAAAAAGACAGTATTTTAGACCCAAACCTTCACATACCTTTTCAGCTAAACTATTCAATTAAATTCTATAGGCACGTTACATTTCTTATAATGAAGACTGTGATGCATCAGTGAAATCCTTACGTAAGAATACACTGTCATTGATTTTAGAATGGCAGAAACGAAACGACAGACATTAGTATTAAACTCCTAACCGCTCAAAATCTATAAACACGGCTTAAAATTTTTGTAAACTTTTGCTGGAGGTAGCCTGTACGCTCTGCACGCTCTGCACGCTCCACTTTTGGATTATAATCCGAAGCAGATTTTTAGTGCAGCCTTTGAAGTAGAAGGTTTGAACGTAAGTTTGCTTACCCCTGCACTGATCGGATGACCTGCTAAGATGAAAAATCTTCCTTCAGCGAAATTGGTTCCCATCCGTCAATTTGCAATCACATTTCTCTAGTATATCTAAGTAAGCATTCAAAGTTGCGTCATTCTCCGGTGCAAATTATTGCATAAATGAAATACCCCGGAGGTAGAAGCTTTCAAGACGCAGGTAATGTATTTCACGAAGCAAGCAGGTAACAGTGCAACCTTCAGTGCTTGTTGCGACTTCCTACATGCATGTTGTTTTGTACTAATCCTGGTTTTAAAATCTCAGTCCCTTGAGTAGCAACGAAAGACAACCATGCAATATATTCAATGTTAGATATCTTGACCTATGTCAAAGTTCAACAGCAGATGCTAAATCGTGTTAAGATGCTTTGTTGTGAAGTGTTTTAAAGAAAATCCTTCTGGGATATTGAAATATTCGCTGACGAGTTTTCTTTGCCATTTCCGTATCTAAATTTTTGAAATAAACAATAAAAGGGAGTGATATTCCACACGTGTAATTGTGTCTTCATAGAAATGCTAATTTTGCAGATCAATCCGATTGCAAACTACGTCTGGCGAGTGGCTTGGATCTGCAGCTGGGGCCACAGGGGTACCGTTAGGCCCCTCAAAGAACCATTGCTATACAAAAAACAAATTCCTCTCTTTTTACAAAGTCAATAGAGAAAATCATGTTTTATAAAAATTACAAAAATTAATAGAAAACCATAAATCATGCTTTTTGCCTCTGCTCTTTTCTCCTGTCTAGATCTTCAATCGGCAAAAAACACACAGTGGTAGAAATTTCCCAGAGGACGTGAAAATTTGTGTTCAAACAATGCTGCAGTCGTCCGAAAAACAGACAATGCTGCACCAAATGCTTTGTTGTGATAAAGTAGAAAATGGCCGTTTTGAATCAAAAGCTTTTTAGCCCATTTGAAAGGTAAAAGAACAAAGTTAATTACGCTATAATGTCGGAGAGTCTCTGCAAACTATAGACAGATTCCACTTTAGGTGGGGTTGGGAGCTGCTCGACATTAGCTAAGGTATTGAGTTCAATCAAAACAGGGTGTTCCAGCTTATCGTGTGATGTGGGTAAGAAAGCATCCTCTTTTCTTATTGATCGCTGTTCAAAAATGGCAAATGCAGAGAAACTATTCTTTTGGACAGAAGAAGAGACAGCATTATTGTTCAAGGTTGTTTTAAATGGCTCAAGATTAGGAAACAGTTCGTTCCGAATATGAGATATAACAAAACCAAAATGTGAAAAAATTTTTGGCGGTACAGAACTTGAAAATGGTATTAAAAATACAAACATTTTATGACATATCGGCTAAAAGCTTTTTCGCCTGACACTCCTCAGAGCATATAACGTCAGAATAAGGGTCCGAAAGAACACGATGAAAAATATATACCCAGTTGTGGATCGAAATAGGCCAATCAGAAAAATGCAAGCACAAGACCGGTATAGTTGACCAATAAGTGCCGCGTGCCTAAAGAAAAATTACCACTGGAGTCCAAGTGAGAAAACGAACTCCTTCTGTTTACACAATGGCGGCTTTTTCGTTTGTATGTAGATCGATTCCAAAATTGCTAGATAGAAGGACGACCGGGCTCTGCCAATTATCCGAAACATGTCGTCATTATAGAGTTTTGCACAATTTGGGTTGTCTAAAAGATGTTGACCGATGGCAGAATCACTTGTTTTAACAGTGTTTCTAGACCTACAAGAACAAGGAGGCTGTTCTCTTTGAGTAGCAGTTTTGTTTCTTATGTTGGAAGGATAATGCTGTTTTATCCTATCCCCCAATCTTCGGGTTGTGCGTCCCACGTAGCCAGAATCACACTAGCCTGAGTTCCAGACCCCAAACTAGAAGTATTGGAGTCTGGACTATTTGGAGTCTGGGGCTCAGGCTAGAATCACACTGGCACGTAAATTCATAAATAATGAAAATTTTGGTTGGTAAGAACGCAATCCTTTTGAATGGATGGATGGAAAGGCTCTCCTAGTGCTGTAAACAATACGATGATTGACAGCAAAGAAACATTTAGTTATGGCTTGCCCAATCTGACTCACGAATCGCAAGGAAGTGTTACAATCCATGGTAGTTTCAAATAAACTGGGCACTCTTGCGGACCAAACTTCTGAGCAGCCGAAAAACTTGCGATCTTCTCCTTGGTAAAATATAAAATGATGTCTTATGGATAGCCGTTGCCCAGAAAGATTGTTTTAAATTTTTTCCAATTCAGCGTACAGTTTAGACTCCGAGCAGATCATAAGTCCTATGTCCTAAAGAGGAGTGTCAGACGAAAAAGCTTTTAGCCAATATGTTGTAAAATTTTTGCTTTTCAAAGCCATTTTCAAAATCGAAATGAAGGAATACCACCCCCCACCCCCTCCCTCCCTACCCACCTCCAGTTCACGGCAGGATCAATTTTGGATTTAGTCTAAATTTTATGGAAAAGTGTTGAAGTAGAGTTTATACTTTGGCAATGTCCTTTTCATTTTGTTATCCCATTATTGTGAAACTGCCTTTACATAAACAAAAATTGGTCATTGGCGTTTCCTACAGGTAAGATTGATGTTCCTTGTCGGTAAAACAGCGTTTTTGGCGGTAAAAAGGATGTGGTCTAAGCTAGTTCTCCAGTGGAAAAAACAGTCTACCGATGCTTCTTTGTTGAGGGATACTCTTTTAAAGCGTCAACACAGAGATAAAACAGCGTTTTTGACTTATTCGTTCCAAGACATTGGTTGGAAAAAGTTAGAGGCTCTCAACATCTACCAGAAATTCAAAAGCGTTAATCGATATCTATAAATAGGATAGTAAGGAAAAGTGTAAGATTTTTTGATAAATTATACAATTTTAGAATGTAGTTAGAGATATATTTATGTAACACTATTTATAATGTACAATGTATAAAATACATTAGTTGTCACTATTCCACTAGCCTGTTCTTGTTTGTGTTTTATCTAATAAAGATTTGCTTTCTTTTTGAGCAGCTGTTGTTTCCAGCCAGGCAGAGACTCAAACTGAGCTCTTGAAACTCTGAAAACTGTTTGAAATTCATCGTCGTTGAGGTACCTCTGCAAAAGAATAGTTTAATGTTTTCATCATCCGAATTCAGTGTTAATATTGTCAGCGATCTCCTGTTGTGTTGAGTGACCAACACGGTGATATATAAGAGTCAGCTAAGTGCAGTTAAGAGCCCTGGAGGGTGCAGCTTTCTAAGAAGCCTTGCTTTTATGCACAATATAAAATCATCTTGATGCCAACCAGGGAGTAGCTAATATTGTTTTTTGAGAGCTCTTGCTCTTAAAAAAATCATAAAAATCCTTAAATTGACCATTCTTTTTGCTCCTACTTTTCTCCATTTTGTATTTGAATATACCGTTTCGTAATTTAATCCTTTTTTATATCTTCTTTATCTTATGATGGATATGCAAACATTTCAATCTAAGAAAATTTCCAAAACGACAAGTTTTGTTTCTTTTGCGTTTAGAAACAGTAAAATGTAGTATTAGATCTTAGATCATTATTGGGACACTGGCCCTCGTGGCCTTTTAACTTGAAATTCGCAATGCATGTCAAAAAATGTACTTTTACTTTTAAGGCAATGTTTTCATTATGTGAAAAGCTATTGTGTACGGTGAATCATGTAAAAAATGGTTATGGCAAAGCTGTACAAAATAAGTGCCTGGCTCTCGTATTAAGCGTGAAACTTTAAGTTGCTTCTTAGAACAGTCCTGCTCTATTCACCAAGATTTATATGCTATAATATATCTTTTGAGCTTTTGAGTATAGTAAGAACAGAATCGAGCCTAAATTTGAATCTAGTGTTTCAACTGAGTTTCCTGTCGCAACGCGGACACCTAGCGTCTCCAAACGAAAAAAATTTAACCAGATATGTTTAAAATTGATTAAAAGCAATATTGAAATACTGAAGTGCATCAAGCTCAGTAAAGAATTTTTGCTAAAAAGTTATTAAAATAGGTTTTAAAACACAAGTCATCATGTTTTTACAGTCGCTAGAATAATCGGCTTGTTAAAGTCACTCTACATCTAAAATTTAACCTTGGCTATCATAATACTCAGTGTTTCTAATAGACGCCAACCCCCCCCCCCCCCCCCCCCCCCCCCCCCGTGTTTTAATTTCAGAAGAATTCACTCTCCCCCCGTCGCTTATTAGCACCCCCTCTATTAAATTTTACAAATCAAGTTATTTGATTTTCATTAATCGTTGTTTTTCATAGTTTTTTGTAAAATCTCAACCGTACAAAGGAAACAGATGACTTTTGACTTGGAAGTTAAAAGCTGTAATTTTGATTTATCTTTATATGATTGCAATTTTCTCTAAAACTATGCAAAAAACTGAAACCAAATTTTGACAGTATATTCTAAAAGGTACTTCAATTTCAAAGAAGGATTGCCGACATGAACACCCCCTTCTATTAGCACCCCCTTCTATTGAAAATTGGTCGGAATGAACACCCCCCTCCTTCTATTACCTCCCCCCTTCTATTAGAGACACTAGAGTAAGTGCTACTCTCCTTTACCTCCTTTTGGCAGGGGTCAACTCCATCTGGCAAGAAGCGTGCCGTGAGCTCTTTGTAACTATATTTCTTGTTATACTTCTTCAGCTCCTAAAAATAAATCGAGTTTAGCAGATCACGAATATGATTTGTTTTCATTTTACTTAAAGATCTAGTGTTACTTCGAATCATCTAAACCATTACTTTTATTAATAAAAAAGTAATTGAATTGTACTTTAGATTCACCTGACTGCACGAAAATGTCAAGATATGGCATGACAAAACTAAAGGAAAGTCAAACTAAAGAAAGTAGAGTTGAAGGTGTTGAATTCTCTTATTCTTTTATGGTTTACTTATTCGAAATTGTTTACCAGGCCATGTAGTGTGTCAAACCATAGTCAATTAAAACTTTTTCAGATGTCTATGGTTCCACTAACTACTCTGGTTTCACTCAATTTTTTATTAAACCAATCTCAGCAAACTTCAGCATTGTTTTTTTACTACGCAGGCCCTTTTGTGTTGACCCTTGGCGGTTGTTGAAAGTAAAAATGGATGATGATGATGATGATGATGCAATCATTTACCTCTTGTACTGAAGTGATTCCTACTTCCTCACCACCGAGTTCAGCTTTGATTTCTTCGTAAGTTTTGCCAGACTAGAACAAGAAATTTTCATGGTCTGAAAATTGGAAAAATTGAAAACCCTGAGTCCTAAGCAAAATTATACAAAGAGACAACATAAAAAACAGTACGTTTTTTCAAAATGGATCAAAAATAGATAAAATTTTGCAGGGAGGTTACAATGACAGTCCTATGACAACAAAAGACTCAGTACCAGGGCAATATGGCATCTACTCACACTCCATTTCTCTGGATCCCATGCGAGAAAGTTTCCAGAGAAAGTTAGAGGCTCGAATCCTTGCTTAACTTGAAGAATGTTGGTGTTCTCAATAGTCCTTCCAGTTTTATCTGACTTGATGTAGTTCTGAAATACAAATGTCAAGACAGCAGTTAAATCGTGATTTATTAATGAAAATACTTAGTAAAATACATATAGCATTATCACAAATGTTGGGGACAAATGACTCGAGATGAGTCGATTCAGAATAAAACTATTTATGTGGTGGTGTTTTCTAAGTCATACTCGTCCCCCTCTCGTGAGTCAGTAAAAATAAGATGAAGAATAGTACAGTAAGTGCTTTCCTTGTTCGTAAGCCCTTTTATGTAAAAAAGAAATTTTTTATACAGCATACGAATTTAAGTTTCTTGTGTCATTAAACCTTTGAGACAGGTTTTTGCGATGAATCCTTTTCCAGCATGCTTAAAAAATGAAAGTTTTTCCAATGATTTCTTCTTACCATCGCAGCATTTAAGGCCTCCTTCTTTTCAATTGCATTTGCACCCTTTCCAATCCAAACAAAAACCTTAAAACAAAATTTAAAGATATGTCAAGTTTTAGATCATTTTGAAAAAATAGAAGCAGTAGCTGAAGTTGTCATGATGATGACGTCACAATGGTGGCTAGAACCCAGGACACTGGCTTGTTCATTAAGATTAGAACATGTCCATATCAATTTGACAATATTTTTAATACTTCTAAATACAGCAAACTACGTTGCGGTAAATATGGGTCGTTCATGTCTCGTAGAGTAAGTGAGGAATATAAATCCTTGATGAATATCTATAGTGGTGCAAGTGACAATTGTTCAAGATGCCGTTGTTTATAATCTACATTACTGCTGTGAAAGCTTCACAAAATTGTACAGACAAAAATCAGATTGTACCATATAGGATGGTGCTTGGGCATACATCCCACATAAGGATATCTATGACAGAATATTGCCAGACGTATGATTTTATCTATTTTTTTAGGAAGCCCCTGACCAGGACCATTATACCCCTATACCGCCATTCCTATCACTATCAACGATATAGATTTTCCGAATTCAAATTAAACATGTATTATCTCCTGAAAAAATATATTTTCTCTAAAAAAGAGAGCTTTTTCCTCCCGCTGTATAAATATGGTGAAAGTTACTTGCTTGATGTTCTATCTTAAACGGGTAGCTAATAAAATTAGAAACTTACGTCATCGTATGTGTCTAGCAACATGACGTCATCTTCGCAAAGGTCCTTTAAAGAAAAACAAGCATTGTGTATCAAATAACAACACACTTACTAAATATAAAAGCTAATGCGAAAATCTGAGTTTCAAATTTCATGGAGCATTTCAGATGTAGGTTTTCAAATTAGGGAAATCTCTTTTAAGTAATTAAGGTTTCAGCATGGTAATCTACCTCTTGATCAAAGTCAGGAATCTCTTCAACAGAAAATCTTCCCGATGCATTAGAGCATTGGAAGAGTCTTGGTGGATAGTTAGTTGCTTCTTCCTAGAGTAAGAAATCAAAGGATTTTAAAAGCATGTTTCCCATTATAATGATACTTTCCATGAAGATATATTCTTAAGTTACACTGTAAAACTGACGTTAAAAGGACATGAAAAAGACATAAACGATAGCATTCGTGGTGCGAATTTTTACTCTAGAGAGCTGCTTGATGAGCACAAGACATATCAGAGAAATTGATCCAAAGCAGTCATTATGAATAACTGACTAGCTGTCAAATCATTGCTTCCCTATCAATCCTTTTATTCTTATCAAGGAACAAATTTAATAAAATAATTGCTTTTAACATTACCCGCAAATTAACCGAGTTTTCTAAGTTAATTCTGCTAAAGAGTCAGGAAAAGCAATACAACCAAAATTGAAGTAATGGTTTTAATTAATTGAATAATAATACAAACTGTATTCTTTGTTGCTTACTTTCAATCGCTCAGTTGTCGCATAAGTCTCTATGCCCCCAAGAAGGTCCCAGAATTCACGAGTTTCTTTGCCTTCCTTGAGGACGACAAGATCCCTAAAAACCACCAATGATGAGCTTTCAGACAGTAAATAAACTTGCTCATGTTATCATAAAGGGATGTTAATTATTGCTAAAAAGATTGCTTTTTTAGAGCATAACGGCGTGCTAAAGTGAAAAGTACAGTTCTGTTTCGCTTTTGAGCTTTTAGAACAAAAGATGCGTGCAGAAAGGTTATTTGAAAATTTTCTCGAGTTAAAGGAATTATGATTAAATCTTTTTTCGTTAAAAGGCGGGAAATAGGCCAACAATGTCAGCACAGTTTTCAAACAGGTGCTGCTGGAAATTAATACACTTACCCATCTGGAGCAACATTGTCGGATACAACTTCAGCAAACTTCTTCTCATCTTCACTGGCACCCTAAAATTATCATCAGGTTATTTTCAGGTGCGGGTAGAATCCGTTCCGTTAAAAATGTATTTGTAGTTAAACTTTGCAATAAATATCACAGAAACTCACCAGCCCTTCCCAAACGAAAGCTTTCTGCGGCGCTTTTAGAAGAAATACGTCATTCGAGTTCAAAGACGCTGCCCTCGCAGTCACCTGCAAAAGTGAAAAGAGGCTATAGGTAGCTGAGCATTAATCAAAAGGACCATTCTTGCTCTTGGCAGAAGACTTCAAATGTTTGTAAGTATCGCATTCTTTGAGAGGCCTCATTAGCTTAGATATCTATTGTAAAATGGCTTTCCTACAAAGATTCTACTCAAGGTACCAGAGCCTCAAGAAACTGGGGATCCAGTATTAAAGACCGATTCACTTCGCCTTTCTTCATTCTTCATATATGTTAGATCATCCCTTATTATGTGTTAGATCGGTGAACACTATGTTTTGTAGGGCCATGCCTCGTAATTCTTATTATTGATATTTTTGGTAGTCTTTTTGTCACTATAGGTATTGAGTTTGTTTAACTATTCTTGTACTATTTATTTAGCCTTCCTGGTATTTTTGGTGCCACGGTGCTTTGTTGACATTCATTGTACGCGACAATTTAACCATTAGATAAAACAGCTTTGAGATGTTGTTGTTGAAACACTTTCTCTATGAAACCGACACTCACAGACCCCTGTTATAGATTCTTTAAAGGTAGCTAGAATATTTCTTACTTCATTGAATATCAAAAAATGATTATATAAAGCTGGCGATTTCTTGGTGAGGCTGAATTTTTCTTTACCATCAGCGAAACGAGCAAATATGTACAATGCCTGCCAAAAGTCTTGGAACACTGACATCAATTTCCAAGGTCAAAACCAATCATCCCCCTCTCCTCCACGGAACAATGTTGGTTTACTATCAAACGGGTTAGGATTTTAGGAAGCACTTTCTTTTGCGCTTCTTTTATGATATTTCTCTAAATCATTGTTCTCTAAATCAATCACTGTCTAAATCATCATCTCAACATTGTTTGAGGGGGAAGGGGGCGGAAGTAGCAATTTTTTTTCATGAATGGAATGAAAGATATCAAATGCAGCGTAAATTGGTGGGTGTTCCAAGTACTTTTGGCAGGCATTGTACATTGCTAATGACTGGTGAAGATTTCCAGGGTCGGTGTATAAGACATGATCAATGTGAATGTTTTCTCAAAGAAATCATAGATGGATCCTTATCGATTCAGCTCTACCTTCATCCAGTAGAAATTGGTTTTTAAACAAAAATTTATTCCATAAAGGCAGATTAGGTGCTGTGAATCAAGAATCACCTCAACTGCTCTTGTATTCAGCTCGGAAGTTCCTTTGATTTGAAAGAGGTTCACATTCTCTTTGGCTCTTGAGTTTTCGCTTGCTTTGCGGGATTTGAACCCACTATCCATACCACCCTGACAAAACAAAAAATGTATCTTTTTGTGCTTAATTTAATAAATCTCTAAGCATTAGGGAAAAGGCTCGAAGGTCACATGACAAGAAACACCTATAGGATACATTCTGCAAAATCAACAAGAACTGACTCTATGAGAGACTCTTTGCGCAGATAAGTGTTGACCTTAGGAAAATGTTTGATCATTTTCTTTGGCATACTTTATAGACCTTTGTTAAAATTAAGAAAAACCTACGAAAAAAGTATTTTTCTAGATGCTCTGATAACTCGTTCAGTATTATAAATTTTAGCTAATCAATACTAGCGATAGTATCCAGACTCATCTTGATTGGCCAATATTTGATTGACAGGCTAAAGCCACTTCAGTATCTTTCGATTGATTTCCTTTGAAGTGTCAATCAAAACCTCTAATTTTTCCCAATACCGGGAATACAATTCAAACTACTTTTCCTCCACTTCAGAAATAATTTTTATAAGGTCTTTGATTTAAACTCGAGTATATTGAGTTGTCGATAACTTGCTTCTAACTAAGGGGAGAGTTAAGAAAAGATTAAACGTTTGCGATACATGGCCAAAGCGTAAAAAAGGAAACTTAACCATCTCTAATTCAAACATCAGAACCTTTTTTAGGAGCTAGATCTTAGAGCAAACATAAACAGTGTGATGTGGAAGGCCATCTCACAGCAAAGTAGCAAGTGGAATGTACGACTACATAGGCTCTGTAACATAATTGCAATTTGAATCTCACCTTCAGAATGATCATTTTGCCTTTGAAAATTCGAAGAAAATGTTCTGGCTCTTTGTTTTGGACGACACGCACCTGCAAAGATTGGAAACGGCATTTACTTTTTAAAAGTCATAATACCTGGGAATTTTAAAGAATGAAAAAACATTTGCAAATGAAAAAACAGTGTTTAATGCTTGACATTATCTAAATATACCATATTCTAAAAATGGCAACAATAGCAGCAACAATCTTTGAGCTTTCAAAAAGTAAATGATAGCAACATAGTTTACTTGAACTGGTCCTCCACCAAGTTTTTCATCGAGCTGTTGCGCAAACATAGCGGATGAACCTTTCTCGTCAACACTGCTTTTTGCTCCCTAGAAATCGATCGAGAATTATAAAAGAATCATTTTCCATCAACATAAAATATATTTTGCTTAGTCAAGACAGGCAAGTTAGATAAACTAGATTTCCGCTATGCTGCTATGATTCATTCAAGACAGTATTCTAAATACTAATTCAGTTAATCGAAAAATGTTTGGAATAAATTGAGCAAAGCAAAACAAATCTGAAACTAATGCAGCAGCACATTTTGAGGTGGGGGGTGAGGGGGGGGGGGTTGCTCCGGACAAATTGACAAGTCTTTATGGTAGTTTTTTCACCATTATCTCTGATGTTACAACATCATTATTGTACTTCAACTGAAAAGTGAGGGGGCTACAACCCCCAGCCCCCTCGGCTCTGGCGTGCCTAGTGTTAGAAATGGACATGAATATTTGAAATTATGTTACCAAAAAATTTTTTTTCATAAACAGTAAAACTGAAGCATTTTTTTAAAATATTTGGTACCCTGTGCTTCCATAATCTAGAACACATCTCTGGCTCTCTTGCTATTCAAATGCCACAAAACATGTTCCCTTGGTTAATTTCCTCCGTAAAAGCCCTTTCTTTTGATACAAGGCTCTCAAGTTTTAGGTCATCATGCCAGTTTGGTGATGTTTTCTTCAAAATAGAGCTTGTAGTGGCAGATATGAAATTCGTCACACTTCTTTTTTCTTTTATAATGTATGTCCACAAGAGAGCAACTTTGGTACTTGCAATCAACTGTTCTGCTTCATTTTCTTCTTTTCCTCTCCGCTATTTGGCATATAAATCTTGAGTTTCATACTAAACTTTGCCTTTTCCTCGCTCTAACCTTTCTTTCAACAAAAAATACTTCACTAGGGAATTGATTCTACAAAAAACATACCTGCCAAAAGTATATGATATGTTGCTCTCTGCCTCTTGGTCTGTACGTATAGAGAAGCACGTAACAGTCTCCTTCGTGAAATGTACCATAACTAGTTTCTGGAACATCAACTTGCTTGAACTTTTCGACGCGCCATATCTGGAAAGTGGTTTGGAAAACATACTGTATTTGGTATGGTATGATATAAGGAAAATTTATTACCCTATTAATGCCAATATAAACCTCAATTAAGGTTTATTAATCAATATATAAGACATCAAAGTTTTCATTTACGTATCCAAAGGAAGCAAACTTTCTTTGGGTATTATCAATTACCCAGATATGATGAGGCAAAGACTACGAAGGAAAAGAATTAGGTATTATTTCATACAGCTATGTGATAAAACTTATGATGCTAGATTTTTTCTGAGTGTAAAACCAGTGTAAAGCGTCCAATAGTCTCAAAAGTAACATCAAAGAAATCTGTTTTTTGAAATTCTGAGCTTAACGTTAAAGACATTATCTCCAATAATAGCAAGATGTCAAGGCTCCTTGCAAGAATAGAATTAGAAAGGAAAGGCTGCTTGCTATTTTGGCCCAACTTTATTGTGCAAATGCAAGCCTAAATAATAAAGCAAGTATTGCCATGTCACTGACAAACCTTAACATCACCACTTCCATCATCGGGCAACTGCATTTTTGCTTTCTTTGATCTTTCATGCAGCGATGAAGCGTCAAATTGTTTTGCTTCTACAACAGCTGCAAAAGTAATAAATACCACTAGAAATCAACTTCTCTATCGAAAATGATTATTTAATGAAAGTCCTTTGCAGGCTTCGTCTGCAGCCTTACAATTACATTTTTTAAAAGTCGTTTATCTAATTCAATCTGCTTTTCAGGCAAGTTAGGCTAATATATACCAAATCGATTTTTAAAAAATGTATATAAACCATGCAATCTATTGGGAATTCATCGTGCCCCCTCTTAGTTTCCTGTAGCGGAGGCAGCGGCTTTGATTTGCTACAGATAGCAATGTTTGCGGAATGTTATCAAAGGTGGAACGTGGAATAAGGTGGAATAAGTGCAAAAGGTTCAAAAATGGAAGATAAGGACTAAAAGCAAGATTTTCTCACCAACATTTCCACGCTTCGCCTGTCCAAGACCTTGCTGAACTCCAGCTTCTGGCCAGTCCTTAAAAAACTGCTTGAAAATGGGCGTCTCCGCTCCTTCCACTACCCTGGTGACTTGAGTCCAGTTTGGGTAGCCCTTCTGGTTGATGAATTCCTATCAAAAGATCAAATTTTCTTAACAACATTAATTCGGAAGAAAAAGAACAAAGAACAAGGAATGGAGCACTCTAATGTCAATTTCACTGTACCTATGAAAGAGGTTTTCTTAAAAACAATTTGGTCTGCAACCTACTAATTAAAAATTTCAAAAAGTACCATTCTTTTTGTTTTTGTTTTGGTTTATTATTCAAAGTTTCAAAGTTTCAATCAAGATTGTTTGAAAAATACTGTTTTCCTTTTTAGTTTTTCAAATATCTGTGGATTTGAACTAAGTATAGTTTATCTTTTCTTTATTTTCTATTTACTAACAAATCAGCGTAGTATCTAGTTTTTTTCAAAGGAAGAAAAATATGTGCCTAACTCCTCTCCAATAGCCCACTTCTTCTATTGAAGGCAAAGCGTATTGGCTGTAAGTGATAGTGTGAACTCACCATGGCGTTGTTCATGGCTTCCTTCTTCTCTTGTGTCGTGCAGCCTTTCCCGATCCAAGCAAAAACACCACTCGAGCCAGCATCAACAATGAAGCAGTCCTATTGAAAAGCAAACCTCTTTAAAATCGTCTAATTTTTTTACAAGAAACGCACGGTTTAGGTTAAAAATTGTTTTCTCTTAATGTTTAGGCCATTTCGACCTCAAATGTTTTTACTTGTTTCATAAGCACTGGGACAGTTTACTAGCACAACAAAGTCAGTAAATCACGGGTTCTAATGTCTGTTTACATTATATCAAGTCTGCATGAATATTTGACATCAGTTTTCAAGTAAATTTACGTTCAATTGTTTTTGCTTCTACCTTTGTTTAAGTTTTATTTAACATTTTTGCTAAACAAAATTTATTTCTTCTCTTTTTGTGCTTGCCAGTGTTCATTCAAAGCCTCTTAGTCTTTCATTTATTTGGACCAATTAGATTAAAAATAAACAAAAATTATAAGATTAACATAAACATGCCTCAGTTTCATACTTACACTGGGATCGAGGTCATCTTTTGTAAACGGGAATTTTCCTGTTTCCTTGATTTCTAGTTTTCCACTTGCGTCTGAAACTCTGGAAGCAATAATTGAAATTTCTTGACATTAAGCTGTCTTTTAAATGCAATGATTCTAAATTAAAGAATGCTCTCTCGGAACTTATGAAAATGCTACCTTATGAAATTCTTTGTAATGGCGTCTTTACGGAACCTGCATTTCAAAGGCTTTATGCAACATATTCTGAGCATTATTCACATTCATCCCGCAATCATTTAGGGCCTAAACTAAATTTCCAATGTTGTTTCAAGCCGTGCTAGAAAAAAGTTTTCATGTGTTCAAATTGATGACTGTTTTAACCTCAAAACACCTGTGAGGCAAGAGGATGTAATTGGGTAGTGATGTTGAATGTCAATGGCATACGAAAGGAAGGCTGGAAATTAAGAGTAAACTTTCATTAAGGCATGGAAACCTGGATTTGCACGATTTTCTAATAAGGAAATTAATTTTTCAAATAAGCCCCTACGCAATGCTGGGAATTAGGTTTTTGGCTTGATCTGTAATCCCGATCTCATTTCAAAACCATTAATTATATATTTCAATTTATCCTAAATGTACACAATCTTTGTTAAGGAAGTTTTGTATGTCCAACATAAATTTAAGCGGATGCATCTACTTTCACTGAGAAATTGAAAGAAGCAGCCGATAAATGGTCTGAGGAACAGGTTGTAAGGATTTGCAGATTGTCATTGCTCAGTAAGTTGAAATAAGGTCTTCACAGTTGCGGTCAACAATTAGTAACCAGGAAAGACCGATCTGCCGCTCAGGTAAACTTTTAGCCTTATTTTTTCTTACTTAGATAAACTGAATCCGAAAAAATGAACAATCGTATTCAAGACAGTATTTGTTTATATGTTGACGATTTGTTAATGGGGGTTCCTCTGTTCTTGAGAGCAATATGATTGCAGGGGCGTACCGGGGCAGGCTGTAACTTTTGTAGAAAACAGATAGAAGCTCGTTTTCATAGACAGACGTAGGTGGATATTTTTGTTGCTCTACTATCCGATTTTCATTCCTGACTGTCCTGGGGTCAGCTGCTCTGATCCACACCCCTCAATACTCAACTTTCTTCATCAAAATCCATTTATGATCTGGTCTCTGGAGATGCCATCGAACAACGTCTGCTTAGGTCTACCTCTACAGGCGCGGATCTAGCCTGAATTCTGACCTATGCAAAGGTTGTCAGAAAGAGAAGCAACGCCCTTTCGAGTTGGAAACGCCCAGATTTGTCTGTATAAAAATTCAGTATCACTTATAATGAATAAGGGGTTCCAAAAAGGAATTCTGAGGAAACGACTCGCAAAGAGAAGACTAAATTTACCTGCAATTCGAAGGAAAAGGTTTTTGAATTTCCCGACTCCGATAGGATTGGAACCTGGGCAACCCGCATTCCGAACGCACCACTACACTACAGAACAGAACGGGTGACTGACTGGCTAGAATAAGTTTCTTAGCAGGGGTGAAGCGGTGATTGTCAATTTCCATTTTATTGGTTGCAACAAACAATTGCATAGGTCAACTGTAAGCAATTGCATAGGTCAACTCTGATTCCGATTGGTTGGCTGAACCGCTGCAGAGGCAAGCTCAACTTCTGATTTGATAAATCAAATCTCACCTATGCTAGCGCCAAAGATTGCAGAGGTGAAGTACACTCCGACTGGCTTACAAGGAGTTTGCATAGGTCAAACAAGAGGTGATTGACTCTCGAGGGACAAACAAGTTTCTGGATTCAGAAAATACGGACCAGATAAATGCCTAGAATCGTCACCCTGCTATTTTGTGCAAAGGCTGAAAGATAGTCAGCAAACAATATGCCCTGTCTTCTGCATGTTGTTGGTATCAACGGGGGCAGATCTAGGACGGACGTTGCTGAAGAATTTTCCAAAGAAACTCTTGATTAAGAATTTTTAAAGTTTCCATTTTATTCTGCTGTTGTAAACATCTGACTTATGCTTGTGCATAGGTCGCTGTTGTTTGGATTCGCCTCTGCTCTATACCCGTTCCTTTCAACCTCAGTATCCATCAAAACCCAGACTGCGTCTTCATTTCTCTGACACGTCACATGTTCAAACAACTCCCCACATAAAGGACCTTCGACAAGCCATTTTCTATGAGAACAAGAGGTGGGGATGTTCTTGCAGCCCTATCTTCACTTGTCATCTTTCTTCAGTTGGTTTTCGCTTAATTTATGATAATTAATCAATTTATGACGTTATTTTTCAATATTTAAGGTGTACAAAGCCCGAAAATTGCCAATAGGGATTAAATAGGGTTGCGAAATAGAAGAGTATGAATAGGCGGTCTTAGATTAATTTGATTGAAATCTAGACAGATTTTAGAAGTTTTGTCTTGAAATTCATTTGTATCATCAAATCTATCATATCAATGCTGCAAATTTGTTGGCAAAACAATTCATTTGAAGCTGTGCCTGCTATATCGTTTATATTGTTTCACAAACGAATACTGCTTTCTGATCTACCTAAATGATTTCATCAAAATTTTTGTCGACAGGTGGGGAAAATGGGAATAGAGTGTGCCTATTCCATCTACCAGTCAGCACTCGAGTTGCATTCGAGCTTCTTACTTGTTCTTCAGTCGCTGAACACCATAATTGCAATATTGAACGTAGCGTCCAATAGCGCCCTTTTGTACGGTCTCTTCAAAACGAGGCAAACAAGAAGAATTTCGACGAGATTGATCTTCATAATGTCGTTAGAAGATTTCATATTCGGCCTTTTGTCTCAACCATTAGTGACTATGGCTTTATCTGAACAGTTTCAAAGGGCGTGCATTGTGCACATCATTGCACAGATCACAACAACGGCCTGGGCCTATTCCTCTTTTTGTATGGTCTCTCTTGTGGCATTCGACAGATATATACACATGAGATATTTAGAGCGTTACCCAGTAATCATGACAAAGAAAAAAGCACTTAAACTTGTAATCATCTGCCTAGCAGTCCCACAAGCTGCTGCAACTGGAACAACTATAGCATTAGTAAATCATCAAATTGTTGTAGCTAAATGGATCTACATGGTAATGTGGACCTCGTGTCTTCTTCTTACGTCCATGTTTTACATAAAAGCTACTTTAGCTGTCAGGAATCGTGTTTCGCCTTCGGGTGACTTTTCAAGAAGAAATATGCTAGGCCCATGCAGAATATTTTCTCGTGTGGCTAAGAAGATAATTATTTGCTTTTTTGTAGTTCTGTCCCCATTTATAGTCTTAACTGTTATTCGACTAGCTTTGAATTGGTTCCATACCGAAAAACAAGTTTACATCGAGTTTCTTTTTTGGATAAGTTACATGTTAGGATTTAGCTATGCATTCTTAAATACAATCATAGTCATTTCGTGCAACAAAGCAGTCCAAAAAGTGTTATTTAAGTACGTACCTTGTATGGAGATTAATAATGTTGAGAGCTAGAGATACAAGAAGGGAGCCAGAGATGCAATAAATCTTTATTACCAAATAAAGCAAAGAGCGTAGTGAAGAGCGGGTCCTAAATCGAGGTCAGAATTGAGATCGAAGATGAAGTCAATCGGAAGCAGATGAAAAGGTGAGAAAGGTCAGTCATATGCTATGGCAAGATTTTAGATAGAGCAGACAGAAACCAGATGATGTAGCATTTCTTTAAGCTCCGTACCTGTATAATTTGACTTGAACTTGAGTCTTCTTCTCGAATTCTGCGTCATCCCCGGCCTCGTCAGCAGATGCAATAGGACCTTTGGAGCCAAGAACATCAAAGAACTTTCCTTCTGGGTCACGTCCGGAGTCTGGAAGAAGAAAAAAGCAGACTATTTCAAAAGTCTTGATCTTCAAACATTTCAAAGGAACGAGATAAGTAAAATCAAAACTGTGCATCTTTAATGATTATTTCTGCGGTTTTTCATTCCAATAACTTTATTATATTTATCCTAAAAATAAATACCTATCATACAACCCTTTCAAAAAGGCATCTTGTGCTGAGCTGCAACTTCAATAACGCAAGAAGCAGCTTCTAGTTCTACATACCGATAACAACAATTTTCGCTTTCCCTCCTCGTTCCTCATCACGAATCTTTCTTGCTACCTCAGTTCCCTGTAATATTAAAAAAGATGAACAACGCTAGATAACAGAAGCATGTCCTTTCGTTCTTACTTGTGCTGTAGCTAGCTCTTGTTTAATAAATTGATTAAATCTACTTGCAAAATCGTACGACAGATGTAAGATTGGCACCAGGCATGTAAAATAAGTATGTAAAATTTCTTAGTACCAAAGTAAACAAGATCTTTATTTGATCTAATCCCTTATGTATTTGTACCAATTGAGGCTACTTTGAAATCTGACAAAGCATGATTTGGTTTTGGCAATACTATATTTTTGGGCGTGAGGTGACCCTTTCGTAGCTGACGGTTCATCTCAGTCTTCTGACATTATCTTGAACTAAACCTAAAATATTTTCAAGCATGCAACTCATTGGTATTTAGGTTTAAAGAATAACTTTACACCACGAGCCCACCACGAGCCCACCACGAGCCCACCTTGATCCGTTCCTTTTTGCTGCTTTCTTTTCCGTTCCAGCAATAAATAGTTTTGCCATCATCAAGAACAAATACATCCCCATGATTAAGTGACTTATAACTCAATTCAACCTTGAATAAAGAAAGCAAGCAAAATCGACATTAATCGAAATTAATCATGAATATTTCATTCTACAATATCGATATTTCTGACATTTTTTGAAGAATTGTGGAATCTTTTGTCGTGAATATTTGAAAGCAATTTCATCGCAAACGTTATTCGTGATTTCACATCCTTTAACAAGCTCACAGTGTAACTCAAAATACTAAATACAATCTTGATGGACCTTGGCGGTTAACTATTTGACAAGAAAACAATGAAAATTTCATTTTGAATAGGTAGTCAAGATACGACCAGACGACAACCAGACACAGGAAACCATCTGTGTAAACGGTTAGAAGAGAAAAAGAAAGCATTTATTCAGACATAAAAATCATTGTTTACCATGCCATTTTACTGTGATTAATCCCATATAGACAGAGCTGGGATATGTTCCAGTTACAGCCTATTCATAATCTAGAACACAGACATCATAGGCCAGATATTAAGGTATCGTGTCCACATTAAGATGACTAGTTGTCCATGTCGAAAAGGCTACATTGTCTTCAATGCAGCATACGTATTATAATATGTAGTGCTACAATGTAGCTGAAATTAGTTTAAGTTAGTAGTTTTTATTAGAACTTTTGAATGTCCTCTAAGATTTTTAAAGTACGATATCTGGTGTGTGTTTTGGAACGACATATGTGTCTGCCCTTACCTATTTTGCGTTATGAGAAACTCTAGTAACCAATTGCTAGGCTATAGGTTACGAGAGCAAATAAAATTACAGAGTAGTGTCCGGAAACCATGAACCAGCTAATTTTCTAAAAAATGCTGACAAAAAGGAAGAAAATTAACTATACATGACGTAAGCTGCAAGAACAAGCAAGGCTTACCTGCTGTACACGAACATTTCGCTTCCCTTTTACATGAAGTAGCTTCTTCACATAGGCATCTCTGTCTACCTTTTTAAAGCCTGAATCAATTCCTCCTTCAAGGTACCTAATATCCGTTAAAAGAGAGAAAAAAGCATGAATAATAGAATTAATGATATATATATATATTTATAGAGAAATAGCCAGAATTTGAATATATCCAAGAGCCACCTCATAGAGAAGTTCTTTTCTTAGCTATGTTCTTAAGAGACATATTGAACCTGAAACACATAGGGTAGAAAAGATAAAAGATAAAGTTGTTGGTTTTCGTTATAAGTAAAAAATGGAACGCTTTGTTGAAATCCTAAAATGCTGGGTTACAATATGTTGGCAAAAGCCTAAATTGCTTCAGGATATGTAAAAAAGTACATATTTTACGTTATATATTTAAATTATTTTTTTTTTTTGAAATTGGACTTTTCTTGTTTCCCTCTGAATACTCCTCGTTCACAATGAGAGTTCAGCATTTTGAACTGATGATGTTAATCAGACTCGTATTTTTCGCAATTTATACTTATATCTAAATACTGATCATCTTTGCGATTCAGAGCTATCAGTTTCTTAAAATCTACTCACTGGACTCCCTGTGGGAAAAGCGACAGGAATTTTCTAGATTCGTGGTTTTGAGTTTCTCTGTACTGCACAGGGTATCCACCCAAATAGTCATCTAACTCGACAGTCTTGTAGGCAGCAATGCCACATTCATCCTAGACAACAAAAATAGGTGAAAATATAGATAAAAGTGAAATATGCTGTGGGTGACAACATGAGCACGTAGCCATTAATTTAACAATAAATTTGGCTTCAAAGAATCCTTAATGAGCAGTTGGTTCATTTAAGTAATCTCTAATTTATTGCACACTTGAGGGCACTTTAAATGATCAATGAAATTTAACATTCAGAAAGGGCACGAGCACCCATCCTTGAAGGAACTTCTGCATACAATTCTGGAATATCTCAATGTTTACAAAACCGCAGAAAGCATTAACGTTTGCGATGTTTAAAAGTTTTTCCCCTTTTTAGCAAAACAACTGAAGCAGGAAAAATACATCACAAAGTGGCCCTATGAACCCTGCTAGAATGTCTTCCAATGTATTCTAAATTTGTTCGTAATCAATATACCTGTGTGGTTTTTTCTCCAAGCCAAAAATGAATATCCCACTCGATTTTGTCTTTGTTTTTCTTCGTCTAAAACAATCAACGATGAATAAAATTTTATCTTATCTGGAAAAATGCTGCATATATTTTATCAAACAACGTAGCTGAGGTCACATTGAGCATCTGGATAAGAAATTATCTATTCATTAATAACAATGATGATGACAATACTCCGTCTCGAGAGTGAAAAAACAAAACAAGCTAGTTGCAGCAAATGTTATAAGACTAAAGAAAAAAGTTTTAAGTACATGTAATGATAAGAATGAAAATATTAAGGGAATTCAAATTGCTTCGGTATCCACATTTACGCAAGCTGCAATTTATGCGCGTTTTTAAACTTCTCAAAATTACGACGTGGATATCTAGAAAAAACTTTACTAACAGTGCAATAATATGAGGTGTTTTAACGACTTTCAAGGAAATAAATGAGAAAATGGCTCAAAACATATACGGCAAAACCGGTCAATTATCTGAAAAATAGGTCATAGAATTTTATGTTTTTTTATTTCAACCATTTAGCCAAAATAAAATACTTCTAAAGATACACGATCAGCTGAATATGTCAAAAATCGGGTGAGATATGCCAAATGAAAGATTTGAAGTTTTCCAACAGATTTGAAGAATAAGAGCCTGTGCTCATTTAGCCATATACTGGCCAATTCGTAACACAATTAACTGATTTTGTACATTTAGTCGTACTTCAGGAGCTTTTCCAGGTTATAGGATTCAAATTCAAAAATACAAAAAAATATTTTTTGACGTCAACACTGAAGAATTTTTTCACCCTATTCAACCCGTGAAAAAACACTCCTATCACAAGAAACTGTTAGCAAATCTAAAAACTGGAAAGAGCTCCAAGAATGCAAAGCTACTAAGATGAAAAACACTCTTCATCTTGGCTAAATTTCTAAGGGGTACATACCACAAGGACTATGTAGGAATCACCAGAGTAAAATTTCCCGTGCGACTTTGGATCTTGTGCAACAACCTTCAGGTTCTGCAGAGAGAAGCAAATTATCACGATGATTCAATGCCAAAATAGTTACAACAAGCTCTGTGATTTCGACTAGTCTTCCATTGCAACATTGGACTCTGTTCTAGAGAAATTTCTCTAGAGATATTTGTAGCAAGTATAGCTGGTCACAATATGGACTTCTTGCATACGTAGCCCCGTTGAGAAGATTTTGACATGACCGCCTTTGCGCATTGGAAAACCTTAAACGAAATGTTTCTTTTATGAAGCAGATTCGCAGCTATTATTGTTCATAGGAGGCTTTGAGCCTCTCCAGAATTTATAAAAATCCTTTGTTTCCAATGATATTTTTCTTCTGTTCCTTTTGTGGTACCTCTCCAATAATCCTATCCTTCCTAAAATACTAGTATAAAGTACACACTTTCATAATGTTCGTTGAAGACTTTGTTAGACACGAGAACGTGCTTCATTTTTCAGTATGCAGTAGAGAGAAGACGGTAAACGTGCTCTTCTTCCTGCCCCCAGACGCTCATACTGTTGTGACTCTTAGCGTGATTCTCTATGAACAGGATTAAACAAAATAATTGTTTGAAATTTTCCTCTATTTCTAAGTCAATTCCTTACTACATTTTATTGGTCGTAAACATATGTAGATGTCTTCGGGGAACCGAATAAATCTAATGGAAAAAGAGATGCCGTCAGTTGCTCGAAACATATAATGTGTTCTAGAGATCACGCTCTTTTCAAGAACAGCCACTTTTTACATAACGTCCTTTAACACCAATGTTCGGCATCAGCTCTCTTTATGAATGATTGGGGTTACTCATTGCCAATAAATAAATAGACCATACAGGCCGATCCATCCTTAGTAGCTTCTGTGGCAGATAGAAAAATGAATATTTTGTGGATCTGTTGGTAAATGTATAAATTTAATGGCTGCAAAACAAAGTCTGCTTAAGGCAATTAAAAAAACCTAGCCATACCCCTATTTCCACTCAATCATCAATTTCAACATCGAAAGAAAGTGTACGAACATCGAAGATCATGTCTCTGAAAATGTAGGAGGAGACTAGTCCCCATACCCCCTACAACGCTGCTCATTAACAAAGAAGAACGTTCGCATTCCAGAACAGTTTCTAGCAAGAGCGATTGCATGTCAGCAATAATTTCTGTCAATTTTTGCAGCCCAAAAACATCGAAGCAATTAGGATTTAACGGGAAATAACTCATTTTAAGGAGTATTGTGCGGACAAAGAGTGACTGTGGCTTAAACTGAGGTTTTGGTGGTCATAACATGTTTGTACAAATTCAAATAGAAATAAGTAGGCCCGTCGAAACCAGGGGGGTTGGGGGCTGCCCCCCAAGTATTGTCAAACAGTAGCATGGATCCTTTATAACAGTGTACTGAATGAGAAGGAAAACAATGGACAGCCCCCCCCCCCCCCAATATGAATTTCGTTCCGTTGGCACTGATAAGGGACGTTAAGGTGCATTTACAACTAGAGTTTCTTAAATTTGATTCTTTCGGTGAATAAAATGAATAAAAAATGCAAAATTAGAATGCCGAAAACTTTTACATCCTTGCCTAAGAGCGAACAATGCTTTGGTAAAAAAAAGCGACATGACAGTAATTTGCGTTCGAAGTGGTTCTTCAATGTCATGCTGTTGACGCACATTAACGTGTTTTGTGAAATATGGCAAATCAAGCCGGATGAAATTTACTCAAAATTATAAATAAATTTATCTCCCAGAGGTGGGACGCACACGATTGCTCCCCCCTCTACCATCGACCCAACTTTCAGCTGTCTCGCTGTATTAAAAAAGTAAACTTCCGCATATGTCTGTGACATGACATCTTTGATAGTTGTACCAAATAAGCAAAGATCACAACAAAAAAGATTTCACACCAACCTCAATTCTCCAAATTTCGATTCCAGGAACTTTGCCACTGTCTATAAAAGCTGGATCTGCGGCTGTGCTCGGCATTTTTAGCTGATATCAATTCTAAAATATCACTGCAATAAAAATAGCAAACTATGCAAAACCTTAGAAATATAAGAATAAATGCTTCTACAGGTGTCACTATTTACCCAACGGAATCGAATAATGAAAACTGTCACCGAATAACATTATACAGTAGTTCACCATTCAACATGTCCAAGCAGCATTAGCAAAGTGTCCACCTAGACAACCCATGTGATAAGCATGCACATTTGGTGGTAAAGAACTTTAACCGAGCGGAAGAGAGAAACGTCATGACTCGATTAAATCATCCAAAAAGCGCATTACTTGGTAGAAAAAAATAGATGTTTTGGGAACCTTCTAGGTCAACAATTTTGACTGAATTCAAGCATGTCTATCTTGCTGGAAAATTATTTCTGTTTTTCAAGCTAAAAGATGGGTTTCGCAGACATTTTGTTTCAAACCACATCGACGTTTAGATTTTAAGTGCTTTGAATTTTAATTCATTGCCAACACAAAAATATAGGTGCCAACAAGAAACTGGCGAGAAGGCAGTTTTTCAAAAATCAAAACAGGAGAAGATACAATTCTTAAGGTTAAAAATTACGTATATGCATATTAAGACTCAAAATTTCCATTCATTTCCCTTTTATTATATGAGTCAACTTTGTATGATAAATTCTGACTATATTGGCCCCAGGTAAGAAAAAGTTGTCCCGGGGCCAGAATATATTACTGGGTTTGCTAAATTCAGTAGGAGAATGGGTCCAACGTAAAGGAAGAGGATCAAGGCAAAAATAGGTGAAATTAAAGTCAACTTTGTAAAAAAAAACTCCCATTCGTTGTTAATTCCAGCCTAATAAATGCTGTCCCGGGGCCAGAATACGTTGCGAAAAGATACTTACTGAAACGCAAAGGAAGATATTCTGTATTGATTCACCTTTGGTCGTGCATGTTAAAAACCATGTGAGTCTTTAAGGTGCGATGAAAATACAACTTGATAAATTTGGTTGCTATTTTAATCTTGGTGAAAACCATACTGATAAAAGCGGAAAAAGACAAAGCAGAAATCTGACAAATAAGGATTCCGAGATCTTGAAATTAATCCATTCTTCGAGGTTTTATATACATGGATACACGGCAATCTTCTGAAATGGAGGTTATGCTGGAAATTTCTTGCTGCAAATTGGCAGAGGATTAACACAAAATCGAGATAATGCAACCAACATAAAAGAACATGAAACAACGAGCTTGACTGCCGAAATTTAGTATAAATAGACAGCCCCTGATGACTGCCGGAAAGAATTTGACACAATAAACAATTATATACTGTGTAATAAAATTTCTCAATATGTTTTTAAACATGTATACCAATGTTTCAATTCTTTTCTAGGCAGGAGAAGGGGTTAAGAAAAGTTACAGCAGAGAGTACCTTTTTGGTAAGCAAGTAGTGGCAATCGATGTGAATATAAAACAGTCTGAAATGAGAGCAATTGTCGTTGGTCCAATATAAACGAGGCAAAACTTTACCCCCCTGAGTTTTATATTCATCTGGGTATATAGGCATATAGCATTTATTTTGATATTGTTATGAATACCAAACAAAGTATTCTTGAAATCAGGGTGTAGTTGACATATTGCCTGCTGCTCGGCTGCCGTATTGCTGGTTGCTAAGCTGCTGGTCAGGCTCTCGTCTGCAACCACTTGTTAACTTTTATCTAATGTATTTTCTATAGAATCCTTTCAAAACAACCAAAAATAAAAAAGTAGCTTATTAGCATAAGCGCAAGTTGCTAGGTGCAAGTTCGATCCTTTCAGATGCAGCTCTATCAACAGGTTGAACAAAATCTTAGTGAATCCAGGTGCGAAAAGTAAAGTCTATTAATAGAAGCTTTGAAAATAGTCAAAATTTAACAATACGAAATTTCTGAATTAGGATTCTCCCAATTATGTGCCCGTTTCGGACTGCAATTTTTGCTAACAGACAATAATCCCATTTTGCAAGACAAAGTACATGTTTTGTGAAACTTATGAATAAAGACAGCTTTAAATACTTTATGTGTTAAATTGCAACCTCATTTCGCTTACGATGAATTCCCTACTGCATTTTATGGAGAATGAATTTGCTTCTGATAATACCATGGAAACTCACCACTTGCAGCCTTTACCCCCAACAAACCAGCGCAAAATTCCCAGGACATGAATTTAAGCAACGTTTGCTTTCAGTAAATTGTACCTGAACGTATTTTAAATGTTGATAAATGGTTTGTTCACAGCAAAGGTTTGAACAAAATGCCACCTGTACGTTGACAATCGGATCATCGGACACTTTAAGGCGCTTGAATTTTGACAAACTTTTCTAAAAGTAAGTATGCTTGAAAATGTCTAATTTATGATTTCCCATGACCAGTGATGGCAAAAGGTCCATCGTTTCGATTCAAGTTATTCTTCGAGCATTCGGTAAAACGCAAAACACACTGTAGCACGGTGCTTTGATGCTTGAGTAGATTTTCCAAACCACAGAAAACCTAACGAACCGGTGGCAGAGCCACGGGGGGGGGGGGGGGAATTTAGGGGACTAGTCCCCCCACTTCTCCAGAAAGTTGGTCCTTGAGATTCTTGCAAACCTGATGAGAAACTTCAAGGGGGGGGGTATGTACGTTATCTAGATCGTCACATGTAAATGACATTTCTTGGGAGACAACAGATGTTTCCTCCGGAAAAAAAAGGTTCAAACATGGGAAAAGGGCGTGGTCCAAAAGGGCGTTGTCCCTGACACACCTTCTGTCCCCCCCCCCCCACTTATCCCAGGCTGGAGCCGCCACTGGAACCCAAAGATCAAGTGGAATTGTGGCCTAAAACTAGTGTGTCATATTAATCTTAACTTTCCCTTCTCTATGACCTTTAAATTTTGCGATTCTTAAGAATGTATTTCCCAGATGTTCATATAAAGTATTCGCTGTGCCCCATATCAAGTGGTGCAAGCTAGAATCACGCCACTCAGTTAAGAGATCAAACATATGAAGGGTGCTTTAAATTAGTTGAGAGCTTTTAGCGATCTCAGCCACATATAACAACACCTCTCAGCACAAGATTGTAGTTATAAGCAATTTTATGTTTATGAAAGAGATGTATTAAGACAGAAATGAGTTTAATGAGGTGTTAGCTCATTTTAATTGCGGCAGGATTGAACGGCCTGTTGGCAGTAACCTGTTAAAATGGACAACTTTAAATGCTCTGATACTAGACAAATATTTGAAATGTCAGGGTCTTTTATTATACTGCTTGGCTTAATAGCAGTGTGCAAGAAGCAGGTGAAGAAAGAGAAGGTTCAATTAATGACCGGTTTGGAAGAAAAACAAACCAAAATTCTGCAAAAGTTAATGACTGAGGAGCTTTCCGTTAAGGTGTTGTCAACTGTTGGTTTCAGTTGCAGAAGCACCAGTCAATTATGCAATTCACACAAACAATAATAATATTCTAATTTCAAAATTTGTGCAAATCGCAAATGACATTGTTTTAGACGGATCGTACTGGGAATCTTTTTCTACAACCATATATTTCAGAAAAGAAAATTCGTCTATATCGGATGGAAATTTTTAAATTCGTCTGTACAAAAACGCTCAAACCTCTCTTCGTATTAATTTTCTATCCGTTCTTCTTTTAGCTTGTCTCAGACCAAAGTGATGTCAAACTAAATCAAAATGCTCTCGAACCAAGCTAAAGCAATTGATTTAATTTTTGAGGATGCATCCTCAATCCATTATTTCGTCCGAATCAGCATGCTTATGCCGACAGATTTCCCTTTGGTAGTTTGCAAATCAAACCTTGGAATATTTGGGAAACAGAATAGCAAGTTGCGCTTGCCCCTTAAGAAGTTATAACCATGCAATACATGTGTTCACGATTTTGATTTCTAGGTGTCGGTGTTTTGCGGTTGGGTGGATTGGAGTTGATGTTTCAAATAAATGTTGTATAGAGGCTTGTTAAACAGCTTCTCAAAACCAGGAAAAGAATGTGCAGAGAAAAGCTTGCATTGTTGAGAAGAGAAATAAATAATCAAAAGAGCTGATGTTTTAAGAGGTTGGTGGAATTTAGAGCTGATTGTTCTTCATTCCAAATATTCTGGGGCTGGCCTGGCAATGGCTCTGAATGCAGAGAGAGAAATATGTTCGCAAATCTATAGTTAGTTTGTATACAGAAATTATCTAGAAATAGAGCGGTTATTTGTCAAATACACTAAAATGCCCAAAACCCAATGAGGCACCGCTTGGCAAACAAATGGTATTTGGTAAGGTATTAATTATCATAAGCATCAACAGCAGCAGATTGAGAGGCCTGCAAAAATACGCGGTCAATCGAGGGTCCTTTTAGGGCCAAAACGTCAACTGAATTACTAGTTAATTGTTAATAGTCAATTGTACACCCTATGCATAGTTGGTTTCATCAACCCACTAAATAAAACAGATCATTTCTAAGCGACGAGATGTGAAGAAGGAAAATGAAAAAAATTTCAGTAACAAAAAGAAAAACTGTAGGCGATCTTAACTTTGCTTATAAATTTTTTTGCTGAAATTTTGATGAATTGGCAATGCAACGAGAAAGGAAGAAAATGGGAAATTTTGAAGTTGATAGGAATTTGATTTTTCTGAGAATAATTAGGTTTTTGAAAAAAGCAAAAATAAACACAAATTTGTCTACAAAATATAAAGATCTTCCTTAAAAACTAAGATTTTGCTCATGCAAATTTAATGCAAAATTCAATGCAAAAATTTATACAAATCATATCAAGCTGGTGGCAAAATATAGATAAAAAAGGCGCTGCTAGAATTCTAGAGCCTTTGCAAAGCGTGAAAATTGGAAATTCCAGGGTGAATAGAGGCATAAATAGATTACAAATATTCAACATAGGCATGAAAAATGAATTCTAACGTAACTTCTCACCTTGAAATGAAGTGCAGCCAGATTCTTTCTCTTCAAAATTGTTTGCAGCAAGTCTAAAGCCTCGCCCGAGTCCCTTGATTTCCTCACCAAAAAACACCAGTCAAGCTGAAAAGACAATTACAAGCAGCGCATTATTGAACCGGCCATCGCATCCTCTTATGGAAAGTAAACAAACACGGCCAATGCGAGGGAAATCGTTGCGAGGGATAAGCAGTAGAGAAACTAGCCAAGCCTACCGTTGAGCAGCACCTTCACGCTGAACTGAGCTTGGCCTCTTGGTTTGTCTGTTGATTTTTATCAACATGTTTGTAACAATTGAAACAGCGTAACTGAGAGAATAAACATTTTACATAATTCAATTTGGATATTAAACAGTTGTTTAATAATTACAAGGAAGGGCATTTTAAAAGATACTAATTAATTATCTGGAATTTGCAAACTTTAATCAATTATAAAAACAATTATACTTGATATTCCCAAGTTATGAACATATATTTATAAATTGCTAGCTATATCTCGTTGAGGAAACTTCATGAGAAAATTTGTGCTGGTAGACAAAATTGCTTTCTGCTAATTGCTAGATAATGAAAAACACTAAAAAACAAATATTTTTATCTATATATGATTAACATGAATTATGCACTGATATTGTTAAATGAAATGAAAACAGTTTGAAACGTGTTTCCCAAGGATGCCGCCATGGAATAACCCTGTCAATAAAATCACCCGTAGCCTTATCGATGAAAACATTTGGAAAGTTAGTCCGACAAAAGGTGTTACTTGTTACAATCTAAGGTATGGCGTCATGCTTTGGCAGGTATATTTCAAACTAAAGAAATAACTAACAGCTAGTTAACGAAAAACTAACTTCGACTTGGCTGGAATAGAATTGAGATGTTTGTGCTGAAGTTGTTCTGCGCTATTGACGAACTAAAATAGCGCTGTTAGCTTTCACCCCAAAAAAGCGAACTCACATTTTATGTTAAGTCGAGCTACGCTTTTATAGATCTTAGGGTCTATAATTGTGTTCTTAATTTCAAAACAAGTACATGCAGATGATCATTTTACGTGACAACAGATTCACGTAAAGCATCAAAAAAGGCCTAAAATATGCTTTATAGCTGCACTCATAGGATGCCGAGCCCCTAATAACTTTCTCACGGGAGACTAAGCCCTACGAAATTTTCCCACGGGGGGTTAGGCCAAAAAGCACCCAAGTCCACACCCAGTAGCCTTATGAATCTGAAAGATTTACCAGGGGTCCGTTGGTCAGAGCCTTGAAGAGCAAATACACACTGTACAACCTTCACAAACATTATAAACAGTGTCTTACAACAGTAACTTGTAACGTGGGAATACATTTCACGTTATGATAAAACACCCAATACTCTTTAACAAGAATTTTAAACAGAAAACAAATATCGCAAGATATTTTTTATCATAGACGATCTTCAATTTCAAACATTTCCTAAATCATTGAAAACAGCTAACAAATTTGTATTTAAATTATTTTTACCCAAATCATCCCGATTTCATCTAAACTCTAAATATCAACTTTAACTTCACTCAACAACGCGCTGTCTAAGAAAATGTAGGGGTTTGATTAAATGGAGTTGTGCGTACAAAGGGGAAGTGAATATTATATACAAATCTTGATAGACAGAAGTGGCGTATACAGTGGATCAAAGGGGCGAGGGGGGCTTGGGCTATGCAGGTCCATTGCAATTGGACGAAACGAAAAGTCATTCGGCTGCAATTTCAACGAAACCTTCTCAAATAGTGCCTTTTCAAATAAATTCAATTTCAATTTAAATAAATTCAAAGAGGCATTGCTCTGTTTCCCGTGAATCAATGTGGCGTGACAGCGAAGACGATTCCAGAGAGCCACGCCCTGAAAACATCCCCAGAATTCCCCACTTTCCATGAGCTGTGTACGCCACAGGCAGAAAGCGCTAAATACTAATTCATCGCTACATATATTCTACCTACTTAAATTTCACGTATTGAAAAAACACGCTTCCGATAATTCGAACAAAACGTACTTTAGTTTTCGGACACCAATTTTGTCAATCGTGATTTTTACCAGTATTTCTAAAACCACATCACAAAAATGGTTTTGCTTATGTTATCTCGAATCATTAAACGCCAAGATTTTTATATCTTGACAACTAATCAAATAAATTAAACTCACAGCAAATTTATAAACAATATATGAATCATCTTCTAAAACTAGAAGTTCGGGGCATGACATTTCTTAAATGACGAAAACTAGCATGGTGATAAAAGGAGATGATATGAAAAATTCTGTTATTGAGATTTTTTTGATTCTAGCCTTAATTTGCACAAAAGAAATAACAGAGTCAGCGGAAGCCAATCAATCAAGCAACTCCACACTAAGATTTGCAACACACAAGTGTTTTTACATTACAGCATACTTTAAAATTATACGATTTCTATATAACAATGACTGCATGATAATAGAATTTTGTCTAGCGAGCTAAAAATGGCAAATGACAAAACAGATAATCAAAAGATAGCGAAAACGTTTAGCTTTCCCCGCATGGTCGATGCGTCTTTAGTATCGGCTAACTTCGTTTAACTTACAAAATCCCGCGAAGAGTGACCAGGTAAATTAAAAAATACAACCTAAAGTAGGTAGGATGAATTAAAGAATTAAAGTAACAATATAAATTAAAAAATAGGAAGATGACTAGAAAGCGAAATCATAAGAGAAAATTGAAAAGACTGAAATAGTTTTACGAAAGGTGAATATATGCTTAACATATACGATATGACCGGCCTAACTTCCTGGGAGTAGTCATCTTATAGCAAATCTAATAATCATTTGTGATTTAATGGAGAAACACAATTTATGTAATTTACAAGCAATATACCAATATGGAATAAATATAAATCAATTTATTTTAAGTCTATAAAATTCAACTTTATGACCCCATCCATCAAGCAACATCATCACGCACTGCCGTTTGTGGTTCGTTCGAAAATGTTTCACTTCCAAATCGTCGCAAAGAATGCTGACTGTTCTTTGATGATACCAAAGCCTCGAGTCTGGACAAAGATGCCTCGCTTGGAAACAAAATCGCTTGGATGCATCGAATCATATATCTGAAATAAATGATCATGGAATACACTGTAGAAGAGCGCTTAATACTGTAACTATAAGGACACGCAAGAATCATGTAAAAACACTTTTTCAATGCATAAATTAACTTGAATTGGAGCAGATTAATACAAATTGACGGAATTGTATCAGGCAATCGAAGGACGGCGAAAAAAGCCAAACTTACCTTGGTAGCAATGCTGCGGCGGGGGAGATTATAGTAAGCAACCAAAATTCTGACGTAGTTGCAGCATGGTATATTATCCAATAAGTTCGAAATGACCAAATGACAGCACATATACCAAGGAACCAAGCATATGACAGGATGATACTTCCCCAGAGAAATATGTGATGGATAAAGGTCTGGAAAACGAAAACAAAGCCAAGTATTATTTCTTTGGAATTAAATGGGAAGTTGACAGGCCATGGGAATTACAGAAGGAAGTTTTAGTGTAGTAAGAATTAAAAAAGCACTGTGGAAATGATGTCAACTGGCTTAAAACGTTTTGACTTATATTATGATAAAGATGGCCTACCGGCAAACGAAAGCTGGATTCAACAGTGACCTACTGTTTATATATAAATAATTCTATCATTTTTTAGAGGTCCCCCTCCCCCATTTTCTCCAAATACTCATTCAAACGATTGGAATAATCTTGATCCTGCCAATTTTGACATAGGGCAAAAGAAGCCTGAAAATTATCACTTCCTCTCATATTAATTGTTGTATGAAAGGCTTTATACAATGGTTGCACGGGTGGCAATCTGTTTGAGGGATGATCAAAATATTGTCCACATTTCCAGCCCCCGTAAAGAGGTGATATAAAGGTGATTTAAATGCGATCTAAAAAATCTTTATCATGGGCAAAATCACTAACAGTGAAAGAGACATAGCTATTTCAAAACTTCTTTGGTATACGTGACTTATAAAGACTTTCTTGGTAGAAAAACAGACGATTCTCATAACTTAGAATGTCATGGTACACATGTTCTCTGTTAGATAGAAGAACATCAAAAAGTGAAATTCTAACGGAACTTTATCAAATAAAACTTAGGGGTAACAATATGCTTCTGACGATTTCACGTCGATCCACAAATAGATATTGCCTCTTAAAAAGTGTCTCCAAATACCCTTTCTTTTTTAAAAAAATAGGCAATTACGATTTAACAGAAGTTAGAAGACAGAACTTCCTTTGTTACTAACCCAGCTTGGTATTTCAATTGCTAAGTGAAGCGATGAAGTGATTACAGCTGTTTGGTGAAATAACACTCCGATAGTTGTCATATCCATATCTGTGTCTCTGTATGTCTGAAAACAAAGATAAAATCATTTCTTGAAGAATTGATAGCACCGACACCTGGGTTTTCTTCTTCAATTGCAAAGCACAGAATGTTCACAGAATTTTATCAAGATGATAAAGATGACAGGGCGATTGCTTCTTTTATTCAACAGGACAATCGTCTTGCTAAGGAAGCTTTTTCAGTTCTACCAAAACAATGTACTTACGAAATAGGGCAGTGCAAATAGCACCACACTTTGATATAAAGCATCCAACATGTTTGCCCAAAACAGCTTCCTCGTGTAAGCCTAGAAAAGAAGAGAAGCAATAAAATCACAGCAAAAAGTACACTGGAAGAGCAGTATTAGTGAGGATAATTTACACAAAAATTTAAAAGAAGATGGCTGCTGCAAACAGGAACAGGGAAACGAGAAGAACATATTCATAAGATTATCAGTTAACAAATGATGTGGCGTTAGTTAAAATGTTATAACTTTCTAATGTGTAATATAAATGTGTAATATAAATGTGTAACCTAAGACACAGAGTGGGGCAATGGATACACTACAAAGCAAAATTTGACAACTGACTCGGTGGTTTTACAAATGTGTGTCTTTTTACCTTGCTCTCTTGTCCTCGCTTATAGAGGTGCGGTCTGGTGAGGAGCTGCTCGACAGATGTACACTGGTCAAGGATACCGATCACGATTGAAGGTGATGAAGTAAAAATTAAGGTGAACAGAATTAAGGATAAGTCATCTATTGCGTTTGACCCAGAAAACCCGTTGAAAAGTTGATACCAAAATAGCAAGAACACGAAAAACTGAAAATGAACAAAAAAACAAGTTCAATAAAACTTAACACATGTTTGATGACACAAAATATCAGCATCTCGATAAAAATGAAAATAAACATAAATATTTGATTATTTGATCTTCCAGCTTCGTTAAACAGCTGTATAATGCTCTACTCATCTCGGATTTTATTTAGGTCATTAAGCCAGACCGGTAAGGTATCCAAAACAATAGCTTAGCTCTGTTCATCATGATTATAATTATCATTAAAAGTATAACAAGTTAGCTAGACTAGAAGTGCATGCTCTACTATCATGCCAAGAGCCTTTTCTCAGACTTAGATCTTTAATGACTCAAAGTCTGGTTAGCAATTAAAAATGCATAAAAAAGAAATAGGAATTCGACAAAAACTTACTGCATTTTTATAGAAAAAGTATACAATCATTCTTGAGAGCCGGTCGTAGCACCAATGACCATGCAAAAGAAGAAGCCGCTTGAGAAATTTGAACCTGCCAAGGACAAAGTCGCTCGCCATCACTGCCTGCATCCCTTCTTTGCCAACAATACCAACGCCAACGTCCGCCATTTGCAACATGCTGACGTCATTCGCGCCATCACCAATCGCAAGAGACATTGCTTTCAGGTTTTCACGTACCAGCTTCACAACGCTGGCCTAAAATCCAAACAAATTTGCGTAATAAAATGCCACCTATTAGACGTTGTTTAATGATATATGGAAAACGAATGTAGGAATTGTCATATGTGCAATAATATCGTTACGTTTTCAATTGTTTTGAGGCATTGCTTCGGATTAACCAAAACGAAATCCTACAGTTAAGAAGCTTTCTGTGTATATTTTTTAAAATGGGCGGGGACTGATTGACTTTGTTTTGAAAATGTTAAGAAATATATAATGCAGCTTACATATACTATTTGTTAAAATGCTACTTGCATATGATATCTGAAATTGTACTGAATAAGTTGAAAGATCAAATCTACCTTAATCGTTGGTTTCAAAAGTTTCAGTTGAATCGTTAAAATTAAAAATCATACGTTACACATTGTCAACTGCCTACACATTGTAGAATATTAAACCAGATAACAAGTCATACAAGCAGTTTTTTCAGATAAAGATGCAATGGGTAACAATACATACTTTCTGAATTGGGGCTGTCCTGCAACACAACACAGCACTGCAACACTCTGCCAAGTCGATAAACTTCTGGCGAAGGGAATTCTTTAACGCAAGCGCCAATGTCGATCCATCAATCACTAATGCCATTGAAACAGACTTATTTGCATGTGTGGGAGAAAAAGTGTAAGTCGGAAGCAAAGACGCGAGCCGTTCAAGGCCAGAGTCGAGTTGCTCATCACATTCGTCCTGGAATAAAATAATCGTTTTTTGTGACTCTAGGCATGAAAGAGCTTTAACCCTATTGGAAGGGTGCTTCTGTGATTGGTAAATGGGTGTATTTTTGCAAAATCAATTAATTACCAAAAGATGGGTAAAAAGCCTGAAAGATTCGTACAAATGAACTTGACAGAAAATATTTCTACAAAGAAGATTTTAGCACAAAGAAGAAACATTAAAAAAATTTCACAATAACTTTAAATATACTTATGGCTTTTGTCCAAAATGAATCGATCTTTTTGAAAATCTTTATAGTCTAAATTAAAATGCTAATAAAAAAACTCAGAGGATTGGAGGCAGTATTATTATTTTGTCTCAAAATATTGAAAATCTAGTGGAATTCATTACCATGGTTTTCGCATTCATTTCGATAATTTCCATTTCTTCATCCAGCAGTTTGCTTGAAAATGCAATATTAACCGCAGTTTCCTAGAAAGAGGAATATAGTTTAACTTTAAAGGACAAAGGTAGCTGAGAATGAAATATCATATGAAGACTCAAAGACCGTCAATTAACACTAAAACTGATGTTGATAAAAACTTACACGTTTGTCTCCTGTTAAAACCCAAACTTTGATGCCAGCTTCACGCAAGCTTGCTATTGTATCAGACACGCCATCTTGCAGTTTGTCTTCTACAGCTAAGAAGAAAGGAAACTAACATGATACAATCAACTCTTCATAAAAACATCATCCACTGCTTAATTAATGCAATACATCAGAGATATTGGCTTGTTCTGGTTCACTTCTAAGAAAAAACCCTTTTATTTCATTTGTTGACGTTTCCTTCTCAGACATATCCAGGCAATATAGCAAGCAAATAAGGAACACCGTGACCTAACAATAGACACACGTAAACAAACTGTGGCTAATATTTCACTCCGGCAGACGGGGCTTCATCAGCGCAAAATGAATTCATACCTTGCTATATTTTTATCAAATTTTCGCCACAAGAATTCCATTGATCGGAGTCCTTTGTGCAGCCTGCTATTTTGACTTTGCCTTTACTTACACATATCCAGGCAAACTTGACTTAGCGTGCATTACCACCTCAAATTCACATTTTGGTACATTCTGTTGCATTTGAATATACATAAGCATCTAAAAATCCATGTTGCAACTTACCGGTCGCTCCAAGTAATGTCAGATCACTTTCAACAAAGTCGAACAGTTCTGTCATCACCTCTTCTCTGTTTCCTGACAAAAACGCAGCTTCGCTGTACCTTTCAGCCCATTCGGCGTATTCTTCGTCACTTAGATCCTGTTTCAAATTGCAAAAGAAGGAATAAGCCTTTGTGTAGAGCAGCGTCTTGATATGATGATGATTTTTTCATAGTTATTATTCACGCTCTCAATGTTTGCATCAAAATAAATAAATGTTGATTTATTCACGTAATATAATGATTAAATGACTAAAGGGATGAGTTTTTAATCAATAATGTAAGGGAAAGAGAACCCAAGTAGGATAAATCGAGCAAGAAATAATGGCTAACAACAAAACTAATCAAAGATGGTGGATTATTTACCCGCTTTGCAATACACAAAGTTCGGAGTCCCTCGTGTGCATATTCTTCGATCTGAGACTCGATTCTCTCGATTAAAGGATCTAAAGAAAGAATTTAAAAAATGGCATCACCTCGCATCAGCAATAGAGAAGCAGGTAGCAAGAAATATATAGCTTCTCTAGATGAAAAATTGATTAAATAGTTTGCACAGGACCAAGGCTTGGATAAATTGCGGGTCACTGCCTATTCAAAAAATCATGAAATGATAACAAAATATTTATTAAAAGGTTTTTGAACAATTGAAAACATCAAAATTGCTCCTGTTCGTCAAATGTCACCTCCAAGTAATATACCTCTATCATATACTTCTATCAGTTAAATTTCACCTCTAAAATAGAAAGACACGACCACTTAAAAACCATTATCAATTGTCAATTCGTAATCATCTCCACCGCTGTGTCAGTGTCATTTATATACACCTCACAATCGTTGCGTCCCATTGTGTAGGCTCTGTATTGTGATTAAGTCAGTGAACACGTCAGAATGTAGCCTGCGTCGTAGATCATATTCAGAATACGATCTGTGACACAGGCTAATCAAAACGCAACGGTCACACAACAACGTAACTTGCAAGCAGCCTCGTTTAAAAACGTAGAAAACCTCGCATAAATAATAGTTCCCAATTACCTGAGCGATTTGCAAGTCGATTCATAATAGCCGTATCAGCACCTTTACAAAACACTTGAATCAATCCGTCTGGAGTCCTAACAATAATAGACATTCTTTTTCTTGAAGATTCAAACTCTAGGGTATGGAGTAGCTCAAAATCAGAAATACTGCTGTCAGGAAATTCGAGCCTAATGCACCCTGGCAGACGGGCCTTTAATACGTAACCAAAATGAGCGGATGCTTTAACTAGAGCCTCTTCATCAGGTGACTCAGCCTCGTACTTCAGGCTATTATACATTTTGCTAAGTTTAGGTGTTTTTGAGGTACTTTTATATCGCAAGCTACTGTTTGAGCCAGTATCTTGTGAAGATAAAGGTCCAGTTTCTGATTTGCATTTTTCTATGAATGTTTCGCCGTTCTCATAGAAATGTCGATTTTTATAAACTACAATTGGTTCTGACGAGCTACCATTGCTAAATGAATTATTTGCGACACAAAATTCTTGGGTTCCATTCGGGACCGAGTTGCTTTGCTTGACCTTTTGATGCACTGATTTGGCAGTTCGCAAGGTATTATCATCAAAGGCATCATTGTCTCGAGAGCCAGTACTGTCCAAGCTTTTAGAAGAGTCAACAACAATGACACTATTGCATATTGAAACTGCAACGAAAAAATCGGTCCAGCTCTTTTTGAAACCAAATTTGCGGTCACTCAGAGTATTTATTTCGAGTGCTCGACAATGCTCTTCTAACGCTTGATTGCACATGCCTGCAAGAAATACAATATTTCATAAAAAACACGTAGATGCAGCAATTTTTCAAAACTATTTATTAAAGCTTCTATTCAAATGGCAGCAGGGAGCAATTACGGTGGCTTTAGGGTACGGATTGGTAAAAATGGACTAGAAGCAAAATGGGGAAAGAAAAGGACATGTTAGGTAAAGATATATAACTGCTTGTGCATAAGCAAGGTGTTCTAGCCATCAAAAAGGGTGGAATCGCTGTTTTAATTTCCCTCATGTTTCCAAAAATCATCTTCGCTCTCCCACTTACTGCATTAAGAATTACTCAAAGAGTTATCCAAGACAAAATTACATGCATGTATAAAGAAAACATACACAAATTCTGTGAATTCTGTCATGACAGACAAAATCTTCAAAATTGAAAATAATTAACTAATGATTTTTTTTGCATAAAAGCTTTAATTCTGGCCAATTTAAACATAAACTTTGAAAATAAAATTAAAAATATCATCATTACTCTTAAAAGCCGAAGTTGAAAATCAATAAATATTTAATTATTGAAACCGCAAAAAGCAAAAAACATTTTCTATACGACATCCTTAAGAAAAGAGTTTTTTCTTGTTTATCCAATGTCTATCCAGAATTTAATTGGCTTCAAAATAAAGACGGATAATTTTTTACCAAACAAGCTGAAAGAATGGCGACCTGGAAATTTGTCCGAAACATCTGCTAGGATTTTAAATGGCAATGAATTGTTAACATCTAAATTCAGGTACAATCACTGCCAAAAGTCTTTAAACACTAACGTCAGTCTCCAAAGGCAAATTCAGCCACCCCCTTCCCCCTAGGAGCAACAGTATCTTGGGGAGGGCTGGAAGTAGTAGATTCGGGGAAACAATAACAAAGCACAGCGCAAAGTGTTGGGTGCTCCAAGAAATTTCAGTAGAACTTTCAGGAGGCATTTCGAAAGCAGCGAAATTTTTTGAAAGTATATGAATTAGGGTACCTTCGGCAATGGAACATTCTGTGCCAAGAACGGTGAACCTCTTCAAGATCATTTTGTTCTCTGTTAAAGTTCCTGTCTTATCTGAAAAGACATATCTTATCTGGCCTAAGTCTTCGTTGATTGTTGTTGCCCGGCATATAGAGAAGTTCTCAGCTGGCTCATAATACAATTCAATATCTTGGTTTATGAAATAAACCTGTCCAAGTTTCACAAGTTCCACTGATACATAGAGAGAGACAGGGATTATAACCTGAAAGACAGCAAAGATGAATTCATTGACTGTACGTGTGTTTTATATACTTACCTCTAAACTAACTTCTTCACATAATCATTAATGTTTATAACTGAAGCCAAAAGGTACAAGGAACAATACCCTTTTAAATCATTATCTCATGTTACCGTCACTAAGGGACAAACAGTTTGTCTTTTTGCCACAATTATTTTCTTCCTCTTTGGCATTTAGAATTGAGCATTTGAAAATGATAGAGGAAGACAGCTTAACAGTTTTTCAAAACTCATGCTAATGAAAATCTCAATGGCAGTATTCTTCATTAAAATTTGTCAATGCTGTAAATCTGCTAAAAAAGTTATCACTTAAAGCATACCAACGTCAAAAGTGATTATGAAAAATATCAAATAATAGATAAAAAAGCAAAAAATTCTTCTTGCATGCTTATAACATGTGCGTTGAAAGAAATGAAATCAAATCAAAGGTATTCACCTGGAGAATGATGATGAAAGTCCAAAATCTGACAAAACCTTCCATAGCAGGCTCACGTGAAGTAAGGCCTAAGTCTTCGTTCAATTGTACATTGAACTTTGTCCATAAACCACAGCCTTGAAACAGAAATATAATAAATATGGTTGAAAGTGCTCTGGTTTGTGATACAGTGTATTCTACAATAGTTGTGAAAAATGAGATCCCAACTTTGAATTAGAACGCTTTTCGCTTTTAAAGGCGCGACACAGTAAATACAGCAACCTCTCTCAAATTTGCAGCAACGTTTCTGTATTCAAAGCAATATGATTATTGTACTTCCAGCTATTTTCATTTGAGTTTACAGCAGTATTCAACTGCACTTACAGCAATATTCACTTGCTATTGCAGCAATATTCGCTTCCGTTCACAGCAATATTAATTTGCCTTTACAGCAATATTCATTTGCGTTTGCAGCAATACTAATATGCCTTTACAGTAATATTTATTTGCGTTTACAGCAATATTCATTTGTGTTTGCAGCAATATTCATTTGCCTTCAGAGCAATATTCGCTTCCGTTTACAGCAATATTAATTTGCCTTTAGAGCAATATTCGCTTCCGTTTACAGCAATATTCATTTGCCTTTACAGCAATATTCATTTGCCTTTACAGCAATATTCATTTGCGTTTACAGCAATATTCATTTGTGTTTGCAGCAATATTCATTTGCCTTTAGAGCAATATTCGCTTCCGTTTACAGCAATATTCATTTGCCTTTACAGCAATATTCATTTGCCTTTACAGCAATATTCATTTGCGTTTACAGCAATATTCATTTGTGTTTGCAGCAATATTCATTTGCCTTTAGAGCAATATTCGCTTCCGTTTACAGCAATATTCATTTGCCTTTACAGCAATATTCATTTGCCTTTACAGCAATATTCATTTGCGTTTACAGCAATATTCATTTGTGTTTGCAGCAATATTCATTTGCCTTTAGAGCAATATTCGCTTCCGTTTACAGCAATATTCATTTGCCTTTACAGCAATATTCATTTGCCTTTACAGCAATATTCATTTGCGTTTACAGCAATATTCATTTGTGTTTGCAGCAATATTCATTTGCCTTTAGAGCAATATTCGCTTCCGTTTACAGCAATATTCATTTGCCTTTACAGCAATATTCATTTGCGTTTACAGCAATATTCATTTGCGTTTGCAGCAATATTAATATGCCTTTACAGCAATATTCATTTGCGTTTACAGCAATATTCTTTTGTGTTTGCAGCAATATTCATTTGCCTTTAGAGCAATATTCGCTTCCGTTTACAGCAATATTAATTTGCCTTTACAGCAATATTCATTTGCGTTTACAGCAGTATTCATTTACGTTTATAGCAATATTCATTTGCCTTTACAAAAATATTCATTTGCGTTTGAAATGCCTTTTTTATGCGTTTTAAGCAATTTTCATTTGCGTTTAAAGCTCTTTTATTTGCACTTGCAGCAGTTTTGATTTGTTCTTGTAGCAAATTTATGGTAGTTGTGTGACCCTTATGGGTCACCCAAATGACCAAATATGGCAAAAAAAATTTCAATGGAGACATTTGGACTAACCTACAATTGAATGACATTTTCAAAATTATTTAGCAACATTTTGAACAATTAAACGTAGCTGTCTGCCAAAGAAGACCATTTTCGCAGGATTATACAGCTGTTTCTATGCATCTTATAGCTTTGTTCTGAAAGCAGGCATAGAAGGTTAAACAGCTGCTCACCTATTATGAATTTCAAAAGAATTATGTTATTTGCTACAAATCCTCCTGCAAACAGACAAGAAATTACCTATTCCACCAGCTGTGCACAAAATGAAAAGAATGAATACACAGGCCAGCACGTCTTTATTAATGTCTCTCTCTAGCTTGCTACGTTTATATCTTGGTCCACTGCTATTTAACATTGCTTTGGTCTCATGCCCTGAAAGTTAATCAGAAATGAAAGAAGATAAGAAATAGAAAACAAATGTTCTCTACTGTGAAGAAATCATATACAGGCTTAAAAATATATAGCTAAGATAAATGAATAAGTATTAACCATTATAATATGCTCATTGTGATCTATTTCTTCAAAGCTTAAAGTGGCATGATTTGTTATTCAAAAATCAATAAAAACGAATACGAAACTCAATAATCAGCATTTAATATTGTAGACCTATGCCTATGTTCAATCCTATTGGATTATACTTCAACCTGTGAAGCAAAATGCATGGAAAATTATTTATAAATATACAGTCATCTGCAAAGCAATATCACATTAGCTCACATTTTGAAAGTAAGATGAAAAAAATCAGATCGAAACTTAATCATCAATTTTTGGAATAATTAAATGGAGCAACCAAATCTAAACTTCAAGCATTTTTCATATTCGCAAGGGTGTAATACTATCAAAATAACTTGCACAAAATGTTTCAAAAACAATAACAGTAGAAATCAGCTTCTTTTGGCATTAACTGGGGGTGCTAAGCCCTCTGAACCCCTTGTGCCCAATGAGCCCGCGGCACTACAGCCCTTATTTCAATGCATTTCAATTGATGTCGGGTTAATCCAAGCGGCAGCAAATATAAGGAATTGGAGTTTATTTGGATCAGCATCTCTGTTTAAACACATCAAGGTTGGTCTGCTTTAATGCGTTATAAGAGAAGCTGTAGCTGTAATTTAGGTATGCCTCAATGAAGAAGACAAATTTACCTGCATAGATGACAAGACCTTCAACAACATCTGTATTTCTTATCACTGACCCACGAAGAAGAAGGTTATTCTGATCAACATGTATTCCTTTCCCATCAAGAAGTTTACTGCAAAAAGCAAACATAATCTTTTGAATGTACATATTCTGTTTAAAGTTGGCAGCTACAGATCAAGTTTAAATTGATGAAACATTATCTACAGACAATACTTTGACTGCTATGTAGAATTCAATTGAATCTAGACAGATTTTGAGGCTAGATGAGGGTCTGTGCAAATTTTGACTCAAGAAGGCATTTTTGTATAAGGAAATATTCTTTGGCAAAGTTGTGAAAAGAAAGCACTACCTGAGTGATTCAAATAATACAATCAGGTCCACGAACCGAAGTAATAATAAAGAAAGAAAGTATACAAGAAATACTTACATCCCTCCTTTGAAATTGTGAATTTGATTGTTTGGCTGTTCACATTCAACAACAAATTTGACATCAGAGGGTAGAAAGTCTTTCTGAGACTGTTGAAAAAGTAAAAGAAAAACTGAATTACAAAAGATCAGATCTTTTTACTTGACAAAACTGAATTTATGGGTGTTGTTAATTGTGACTCAAGATCATAAAGTGGTAGAAAGCTGTGTGTTTTTACAGTTTATTGAGCAAAACATTTATTGTTGGATTCTGATCTTGTTGTTAACATATACATTTTGATTTGAATTGAAAACTGGAAATAAAATGTGTTATATATAATCTCTCAATAGTTAATTTTAGAAAGCCATTCATGTCCATGCTTCAGCTTTGGCAAGTACAACATTATAGCATTCTGAAAAAAGTGTAGTTGCAGTCACAAAAAAACAGGAGAAAACTTGGGATATCCATGAAGGCATATAAACATCCAAGTAAATTTACATAACAAAAAAATTTACACATCCAGATATTCATAGTAAGCTACCCTCTCAATAAGATACCAACTGAGACATGCCTGAATGTTCATTATTCATCTTATTCCACATATATTATATTTCATAATATACCTTTTTATCTTTCAGGAAATTAACAGGCTGTTTTTGCTTGAGATTTGTTTCTCCATCCAAACTGGCTGTTGACACATAGCATATACCACCTTCCTCAGTTGAATTTAGAAGTAATATATCTGCAGGTACAGCATCATCTGATGATAATTTCACAATATCTCCAACAACAATATTTTTCCATGTTTCATTGATATAAGCATTGCTTGCCCTTGGGATGAGATATTAAGCCCATAATTGCATGAACTGATCCAACAGTGAATAGTCAGACATTACAATAAAATGAGGACATCAATCAGTAAATTGAATATCTACACATGAAGCGTGATAAAATAATGAGAAATTTACAAAAACAAAATGTAAAATATAAACCGAATTAAACAGGCTAGGTAAGGTCAGACTCATCTAAAGGCTGTAAAGTGTTTGAGCTTTAAACTGAAGTGAAGGCAGCCATAAAAAAAGATAAGTATTGTTCTTAATAATTAAAAAGTCAGTGGGGCAATTTAGCTCCATTCCTTCTTAATGGTGCAGCCACTGCTCTATAATATCCACCTGAAGGCTACAAAAAACAACTATATGTTTACCAAGCCCTAATAAAAATATTGTAGGGGTTTTTTACTGTATGCACAACATTAAATTTTTTTACAAACAATAAACAATATTTTCAAGCAAAAACAAGTACCTAGTGAATGGGAATTAATTGATCATACCTTGAATAAACTTTGCATGACATATTATTAACATATTTATCAGATCTGTGTCTTCTCCTATCTTCAAACAAGTCTTTGACTGCAGTAACAGATAACACAAATAAAAGCGGGATCATTGCAACTTCTTTTCCAAAGGCATTTATTGCTGGTACCCAGTTCAGAATTATGATTGTTAAAAAATATATATTTGCGAATCGGTGGAATTGTTCAAATATGTTTTTGGGTAGGAATGTCAGCCAAGTGTACTTTGATGTAGTAATTGCATTCTTTTTATGTTCTTGAAATTGAATTTGTTTTTGTTCTTCAAAAGAACCATCTTCATTGTTTGGGAAATAGCCATGAAATGTTTTAGGGATAACTTTCCAAGGTTTTTGTTGCCTTCTTTCGTCCATCTCCAAGTTGTATAGTATCAGCCTTTCTTGATAAATGTGTTGTCAAATGGATCAATAGTTCTATGAAAAATAAGAAGAACTTTGTGATAAAATATACAGAACAATAGTTCTGGAAATCTAACATAGCTTCTCTCTAACCAAAACAAAATCACCAAATTGAAAAGAGAAGCATGATGTTTTTAAATTTCAGCAAATTTATAAAATATGATTTAGCCTGTGCTGAATATTTGATAGCAGCTGACAGGCTGTCCTACTCATCAAGGAGTGTTGATAAATGCTATTCAATCATGCTATTGTGATTACAGTTTGTTACTTGGATCACCAGGTTCTTTAAGAGGTTTGCAGAGTAATCACCTAAACAAGGAATATCATTATTTACTATCCCATTGCAAGCTGATGACATTGCAATACCAATCCTTTGGGAACTAATAGTAGTTGAGAAACACAGCTGTTATATGCAGAGTCATTGCCATTTAAGGTGAAAATGCCAAGAGTTGAAGCGATGGCCTGATAGCGATATACATGAAAAGCAATCCTGCTAAAAATCGTGGGCTGAAAGCTCGATATAAAACCTGACGTATTTAAATTGATACTCAATTATGTGTTTATTATGCTCACGCTTTACACAGTGTCGATTTAAATCTAAAATATGAAATTCTTTGGGCAGAGAAATATCCATCTTCAGGAGAGCGCCTCAGCTATACCGAAAACACAACTCTTGTAAGTAGAAATTTAAATATAGCAATAATGAAATTGAAAGTAGGAAAGTTTGCTTAGGCCATCACATTTGCAAATCTCGACAACTTACTATGCCCGGTAGTTTCATGACGAATTTCTTCATTTTATGTGTTGAAAGAGCTGACCAAACGGAGTTTCTTCCATATAAATCAAACCAAACGCCTCAAACACTGCCGATTTCTTGGGCTAATGAATAAATAAAAACTTACTGAGTCCTAAACACTTGTTCCGTCTAGGAACACCACATTAGTTCCCATTCCCCTTCCATTTTTCCGCCTACTACCACCAGCCTACGTAAACAAAACTCTTCCGAGATGTCATTTGTTTGTAACCAAGGGGAAAATACTGATGTTCGCTAATTAGAGCACTTGGGATAAAGACGTGGGATTCGAAAGAAAGAATACTGATGACAACAAAATATTATTTTTAATAAAACTAATTGTTTTAAAGTCACCATCCCCAATAACCCTCAAGTTCCCGCTATAATGGCAAACCCTCGCGGAGGTAGGCAGGGCTGAATCGTGAATTATTGGATTTCAATTTAAGCTGCAAAAACTTTTTGCAAAAAACATCTGCCAACATCTGCAAACTCATTTCAAAGGAAAATCCCCTGAAGAGACCAAACGAGAAAAATCAGTGAATCCTAAACCTGAAGTATGGAAATTGTGACCACAAGAAGAGAAACAGGTTTATCTGAAGTCAGCAGGGCTTAGGACATGAAGGCCCATCACAAAAATACACTATAGTAGAGGATCCACCGACAACTTCGCCACTGCTCACAGTGACTGATTAGTTATTCTTTATGCATCTGCATTTTTCCAAGTCATAGAACTACACCACAACGTACCTATATAGCCCAAAATATCACCCCTCTCCAACCATTTTCTTGTCCGATTTAGAGGAATAACAAAGGGCTGGGGCACATAATCTATTCTGTGACTGGAGGGGGGGGGGGGGGTCATGATACAGCGATGTCGGAAGTAGAAGTTTGAAAGTTTGAGTTTGTATGTCAAAAGCTCCCTAGAAAACTTGATGGCACTCTCACAGACGTTAAAAGGCAGGATGTCCCGTTCAACTGTGACGCTATTTAAATGTACTCGGCAGCATTCTCGATCTTTTTTTATAATTTTTAGAGATTCTAATGTTTGCCAATCTATACTTTCTGTTTGAAATTGTTCAGAGAACGTACGCTGGAACAATCTTGTCGAGTCCTGTTCCTAATACAGCTAATAAGTCTGAGGCAGTGCCGATAAAACAGTTATGTTAAAACTGCAAAAACTTGACATCTTAACAACAGTTAGAAGAGCCTCATTCAGTGGTGCTGCCAGCTACTACACAATGACACGGCGGTAGGAGTCCATTAGAGCATAGCCCTTTGCTTCTTTTCAGTGTTAAATGCTAGTTGTAATTTTTCCGGCATATCTTAAAAAATCACGAGGTAAAGTTTCCTCAATGAAATTCTATTAAGTTTTTGAAGAAATACCAGAACCATGTTCTCGAGGCAAACAGGACATAAAAATTGGTTAACTAACAAAGAATCGAACAATTTTTCGGCGGCACCAAAATTGAAAATGTATTTTAAAAAGTAAACATTCAAATATACGCTGAAGCTTTTCATCTGATACTTTTATAACAAGTCAGAAATTGATCGAAACGCTATTATAGGAACTGAGATTAGATAAAAAACTGTAAGATAAGATGTTATAAGATAAGATAAGATAAGATAAGATAAGATATCATAAAGTTCTATGTATGCAATCAAATAATAAGAATAAGAGATACTTTAATAATAAGATACTTTAAAGTCATAGATATTCTTATTTTGTGATAATATTTAGAAGTAATACCTGTTTTGTCCTTAAGTGTTGTTCTTTGAGTTTAATATTGCTTGCCAGTAAACAGGATATTAAAAGGGAAGTAGAAAGAGGAGGCTGTTGCTACTACCATTCATATATTGCTTGCAAAAAGTGCTTATGGATTTCTTTGGTAAATCATGGATTCACCAAATATGAATTTAAAAATCGTTTATAATTACGTGAGTGATTATTTGGTTATTTGATTATCATAAGAAGAATTATTTGAAGTAGCGAGAATATTACATTCATGTGCAGAGTTGTTGGAAAGATGCATATATACTTTATCAAAAGTTCAAAGCATTTTGTCTGTATCAATTATTTTGCAAGCTGAATTTCGAATGAACTTGAAACAACATTAGTGAGAACATCTGCAAAACAGCGAGGAAATTCTTCTTTGATTACGCAAGTGGTAAATTGATGAAGTCCTAGAACCCCATTTTAATTGTTTTTATTCAGACTAGCAGAAAGAACAAACAATATGTAAAACCAGTCAAATCTGTTGCGATTGTCTGAGATATGTCCAACGAAAGAATTGAAGGTTGCGAACGGATTACTGTAATTTTGGCTTGGTCATACGTTTTGAACCAGCGGCAAAATTGCAATGGTTTGGTGGGGAAAACCTGCATTCATGTGAACATTATTCCAAGCGATCTGTGACAGATCTAAGTGATTTCTTAAAGTAAGATGTATTTTGTAGTTTTCTTTCAAGTTATATCTTCGAACTCCAAAATTTCTTAAATAGATTATCATCAGTTCACCACTCTATTGGTAGATACAGATAGCATTGTTATGACTATTTCAATACCTTTTTAAAATGAAAGTTTTCAGGAATCTATATGCCTTACTATAACTAATGTTGCTAACTAAAACAACTAGTGTCCAGATAGTAAAAAACTATCCGGACAATTCACTCCCGCACATACACAATTTTTATTAGAAGATAGTCTATAAAAATATTAAGGCCCAAATTTGCGGTAATTTAAGAATAATTCAAGAATAACGCAAGTCTCAAGCTTCATCAAGAACTAAATTTTTTGCTTATTTGTGATTTTTAATACTATTATTCATCAAAATGAAAATAGCCAGTATAGGAATACACTCATTCAAAGAAAAATATTCTCATTAGATAAAATGTAGAATCCAGTTAAAAATAAGCAACGTTTTAATACAATATTTTACTTAGTTCTGAACTCTTATCATCATGAAAGGCGAATTTGACAAAGCCATGAATGGTGATGGAACTTACATTGTGATATTTTACAGTGTTTCACAGCAATAAACTTACTTGTTAAAGTAACGATCATTTAGGTTTATGAATGGCGACGACAAGCAGTTTGAGTCGTATCTCTTACAATTATCAGCAGTTCTGCTCAAAGCTCCAGTTTCAACCTGTCACTGATCTCCGATCACGATGCACCTGGTTTTGTGAGTCGCCCAATCTTGGACTTGGCATTGCCTAGAAACAAAAATTTATTCGTGGTTAATAGACTCACTTGAATGTTATCTAGTGTAATAAATTTGTTAGATAAAATTCTACAATTCGTGTTTTAAATTCTACTTCCCTGTTCGACTTTTTCCGAGCTCACGTTAAGATTAACAACCATGCTTTTATTGTGACTAGAATTTTCATTTTACTTGTACTTGAATTGGAGATTTTCTGACGAAAGAAGTTGGAAAAGTTATAAGGGATCATACTTCAAAAATTGCTCCGAATGAGACTTTCACCCTATTTTCCAATCACGATAAAATCCTTTAAAAATTTTCAACTTTGTGTTGTTATAAATTCAATATAGCTACTATCGCGAAAATTTACCTGTAAACTCAATTTCTCCTTCTCAATCTGAATCCAGAGACAAAATTCGGTACAAATAATCTCGAAGTATTTTTCAAAACAAAGGCGTAAGCTGAACTGGTAAGAGCTACTCACAAGGCATTCTGGGTAGCTGAAATTCTTTGATTCACGCCAAATTTCCCCAAGAAGAGCACAAAGATAATGTGACTTTATTCTATATACTATATAATAGTCATAAAACAATAAACCTTGAACATATATTTAAGCGTTTTTGTAACATACAATTTTGAATAAGAGCAATATCAGAAGAGACGAAACAAGCAAGACAAATTGGTTAACCCCGAATCTATGTTCAAGAGAAGACAATTTATTGGAGCAATAATCAAAACTAAATTATGAATAACATCTTAATTAATAATTAATAAAAGAAATAGCAAGAAGAAATGAGATATTATGAGCATTTGGCAACATATATCGATGAAATATGATTGTAGCAGATAGAATCGGGAAAAATGATTGCAACATGAGTAAAATTCAAGTTTAAAAAACGACGAAGATAATGAGACCAAATTAGTGATCTATGATTTCTATGTAGAATGATGGAAAAAATTTAAGCAGGATAAAAATCTTAATAGGATGAAATATTGGTAAAATTCAAATAAAATTATAACTTAAAAAATAAAATAAAGATTAAATTATAAAAAATTGAAAGATTTTTAGCAAAATACAGACAAAAGGGAAAAGGAAAACTTTGGCAAGATAAAAACACTTAAAAATAACTTTTTCTTGTTTAAAAAGCAAATTTCGTGATTATAGTTGTAAGCAATATAATGATGAAAGCAAGAAAAATAATTCTTTTGCAAAATGAAGTTCAAATAACCAAAATCGTTTTAGCAGGATAAATGTTACATTGAAGTGTTCGTTTTTTCAGACTAAAAACCAAAGCAAGAATAAATTCAATTTCTAAGCAAATAAAACTAAAAGAAACATTTAGAAGCGATCAAGTGGAAATTAGATCATGACCCAGTAAAAGATTTTGGGAAAATAATTGGCAAACCGAGAAAATTTAAATTTTTGAAAGAATGTAGATAAAATTAAGGAAAAATCATGTTAGCTTCATAATACTATAGCTTTTGGAACAATCCCTTTGGAAAATCATGTTTCATACTAACTTCAGCATGTTACAAATTGGGGAACGAAGATTGCCGCAAATTAAGTCGAGAAATAATAACAATGTCAACAAAATAAAATTAAATTACGAAGAATAAATTTTTCAGTGAAATCAAAACCAAACAAAAACCAAACAGAAAGCGTATAACTTTTTGGTGGTATGAAAAAGGTAAACGAAATCAACAACGGTCGAACAGATAAAAATAATTTTCGAAGTAAAAAAATGGTATTTACAACACTTTCTTGAGAAGCAGCAAAATGAAGTGTAAAAAAATGTTAGAACGAGAATGCACAGAATCAAACACAAGAAAATTGATTTTTCAGCAGCAAAAGGAATACATCGAGAATATGAGTTGTCGAAAATAAAGATGAAATTTAGGAAAAATAATTTTAAATAAATAAGAATCAAGTGTTTCATTGCAAAGTTTTGATGCATTAGGGATAAACTAAAAAGATAAAAAGTTCAACAGAGTAGAAATGGGATGAATGAAACTGAATTTTTAGAAATAAGGATATCAACAGAAAAAGCATTTTTTAGCTGAACGAATATTAAAGTAGGCGACTAGCTGAATGACTATTAGATCAAAGAGGAAAATCTTGAAGGAATCAAGTTTTCAAGATATAGATTTATAAAAGAAAACTCAAAATGTTTGGCAAGTCTTTTTAAGGTAGGAAATAAGGTAATGCAAACATTAAAGCAAACATCCATGATCTTTAAAGTCTTAAAACGCTTTCAGTAGACCAAAGTTGAAGATGTTTGGTGGATAAGGGAATAAGAATCTCTGAATGGATGAGAGACGTTTGTGTACGTTTGTTCAAGGAGTGGTTCGTTTAAAGACGATGAAATTTTAGATGTACGATGGCTAAAGCAGTGTGGTTTTACATATGTGGTCGCTAAAGGTTTAGCAAGCTCATGGTGTAAGAACGACTTAGAAACTTAATCTTGAAAGTGGTAGAAAGTTAAAACATTAATGAGAATCTTAAATGCATGATCGCCAAAGTCGTAATAAGCTCCAACTTAAGTGTCGTTGCTAAAAGAGTAGCAGACTCAAATTTGGTAAGAGCCTTAGATAAATGGTGGCTGAAGGAGTAGCAAGCTTAGAGTGAATAAGAGAGGTTAAGAGTTGTATGTTTGGTCGCTAAAAGAAAACCTAGCTTAGAATGGTTGAGAGACTTTGACGTGAGTCCACTAATAGCAAGCTCAAAGTGGACGACAGCCTAAATATCTCTCTGTTAGAATTATTCATTAACTTCTACGTTGTTAAACATCAATGACAAAAAACACGATCGCGATAGATTTCTACACGAAGATTTGTTCTCATTTTCAACATTCAGTACAAACTTATGATGATCAATTATGTTTGCATAAAACCGAATATATACGGTTTTATAAAATGCTGTGTAGCACCATTACATGTAAATTTGCCTCGCCTTAATTCACATGCCCATATGATGCACTTTCTCACAGGTTCAGATAAATAGATAGAATAAATGCCATAAACGACAGGAATTTAGACTCGCCTCCCAAACAATTAACTAAAGAATACAACCCTGCTATTGTGATCGATTTTTGAAAGATTGGATAAGAGTCAATGAAAAAAATCAAAGAAAAATCAAAGTCAGTTCACACGATACCGGATTCATTTCATATCGGATTCACTGACCCATCGGTACCGGATTAATTTTGTATCGGATTCACTCCTGTTCGCACCATGACGCTACGCTTCAACACTGCTCCAAAAAATCCATTGTCTTGAAGCAATTGCATAGCAACGTGGAATGTTGTTCGTTGTTTTGCTCTTTTTCTAGTTGAATGCATTCAGCGTGACGGAACTGATACGCTATTTTGTTTTGAAGAAGAAATATTACGAAATCAATTTTCAAACAATCTCATTCTCCTTTGCATTAATCTTGTGAAGCTCATCATCATCACAAGGAGCAAATTTATAGTTTAAATGCGATCCACTGTAATTTTGTGTCTTGAAAAGAGTGCCAAACTATTTTTAGAAACCCCGAAAACGAAGCTGCTTTTTCGAAACAGAGGTTCCGGAGCGAAACCGTATCGGATTCATGCGTTCACACGAGCTCAAAAGTGATCCGATATGATTCCATTCCACACTTACAGCGGAATGGTTTGACTCCGCAAAAACGATACGGAGCGTATCGGATTCGATGCGTCACGTATTGGAAGCGTCATCGTGTGAACAGAAGGCCTATCCGATATCAAAAGCGATCCGAAACGAAATGAATCCGGTATCGTGTGAACAGGGCCTTATTGTGACAAAAATTGATTTGATCGTTATCACATAAACTTGCATTGTTTTGATTCCATGCAAGCGTATTGGAGCACGCCTAAATGGAAGTGAACTGTCAAATATTCTAGCATCAACCTTCTACAAAGTGCGCTTTTGGCTACACGGTCCTGCATACCTATCTATCTCTAGTGTAACAGGTTCCCTCTCCTGACTCCTGTTATATGTCACGCATGCGCTGTCACTTCATAGTCACATGACATTTAACTATGAATATTGTAAATTCATCGTGAGTTGATTCTTAAAACATGATTACGTAAGAGTGCGTTCTTTATTGCCTCTCGCTCTACCTTTCTCTGTAATGAAACGCTTTATATGCTGGTAGGGGTTGGCGTCTCTGATGCTATTTGGTCCACCGCGTTCATATTACCCTCTGCATTGAGTGAGATTCACCGATAATGTACGCATTAATTTTAAGCCTTACCTGGAACAATACCACTGATGTCGACATCGCGAGCATCTCTTTGTTGCGTCTTTGCCGCATTTGCTGCATTTCGGAGGCTCTTCGACTAGATTCTCTAATATGTCAAGGCTGTAGGTGGCTGCTAGTCTAAAAAATGTCAGGATAGAGAGCAATTAAAAAAGAGAAAAAATATATTCAAGTTTTTTTAACAAATCTCGATATGATAAATGCTATGACACCCGAGGGGAGTCACTCAAACGTTTAATGTTCGTAGAGAACCACCCACAGTTATCAAAATTTCACCTGAAAGAACCATAAACAAATAAAATGGCCTAAAGTTATCAGCTAAAAATTGTTGAGAAAACGAAAAATTATCGAAATGCAAAATCTTATGGTTGAGCACATAGAGAGATCACGTGTCATAGCAATTCAGAATATTTCCTAAAATAATCAGTTTAAACAAGCCTGCTTATTCCTGTTTTTTATATTGTTATGTGTTTGTCGAACTGATATTTTTAAATCAGGTATTTAAAAGTATCAGATCACAATGAAAATCCTTACCCAAAATTATCGGATGGACCCCCTCTGTATATAGAATGTTCAAATGACCCCACTGGGTATGACACTAGGTTTCCCTTTAAACAACCTCTTGTAAGAAAATTATGACAGTAAGAAAAACAAATTCAGGCAGGTGGACATAAGTTGAAGCATTTCTCGTCTCGTGTTAATAGGATAAATGGTAGAAAATGCAAAGAGAGAATCAAAACAACATGTTGCTAAGATTTAGAACAAATACGTGCGAAAGATATGTGCTGTGAGAAAATTCTTAACATAATTAGCTTGATATAAATTAAACCTTTAGCTTGAGAGACGTTCCATCCTTTTTAGATGCATTAATAACAAAATGTCAGAGGATAACAAAGTTGCCGAGTGTCCTAGTCACTCTATGTATTAACACTTTATCCATCTTTAACTCTATCTCTGAATACTAGCTCTTTCCTGATTAAAGCTCTTAAAAACGGTGAAATCAAAATGAAAATAGATATTTACAGTGTTATTTATAAACTTCAGTATTTGTCAGATATAGGCATTTTAATTAGAAGTTTTATGACCATGGCTACTGCATTTGTTACTGGGATAAGGTAGCTGGAATAAAAGGTTTTAAGAGTAAGGTCACCCAGGGACCATTCCTATTCAAGCAAACACAAATCCCTCATAAAATCTGAAACAGTTATCCCCCACCCAAAAACTTTAAAGAAAAAATCAAGCATCGTGCAATTAAAGCCCAAGATTGATTCACACAACAGGGTTATTTTTCAGATCACACCCTTTCCTCTGATACACATCATTTCACATTTTCCAACATCATTTCATTGAACCTCGCTAACATCTAATAGCACGTAACTATATGGCAAAATTTATTTCTCCTTCATAAAATCTCATAAAAACTTAGCAAGACTTATTACGATTAGCCTTGGATATAATCTTATCAAAAACTATAAGAGAAAATAAGCTTTTGAATAAACTTCATTTCCCTTGGTTGCTAGAATTAATATATATTCACAATTGTTCTACTTGCTTTATGAAAATGGGTAAAATCTGATTAAAACGAGTCAATCACGATAGAATGTCAATGATGTCATATCGAATACTAATAACTGAACAGACATTGTCTGTGGAATCAACTCTGCAAATACTACTATAGAATAATACTAGGCTTGTTTGCTGACGTATTTTATTATTCATCAATTTCTAGCCATAGTTTCGTTCCATATTACTCGAGTTTTCGATCGAGGGTACTAAAGGATAATACTTGTAAGAACTATGCCAAATTTATCAGCAGTACTTACACATATGCAGTTCAACTGCCCAAAATTTAAACGGGTATTTCTAACTAAGAGCTGCATGTTTAGGCTACAGGTGGACCGTCTTCACCTCATGAAAGATAATTCTAAACGTGACGGACTCTGGATCAGAGCCTTGAGGTATTCCTTCAATTTCCTCTTCGTGCAAACAGTTATCAGGCCTGTGTCTTCTATTTTGGCTTCCACTCAGAATTAACAGTCCTGGTCTGTAAGGGATCCTTTCTGCCTAAGGCATATATATCTCTCAAATAATCAGCAGCCGGGTTATATAAAGTTTTCAATAGCCAATAGCGTTTGATTGAAGCAGCCAACAAGCAATGGAAGTAACAGACAGAAATCGAAGAGTGCTGATAGGCCAAACCTTGAAACCGATTCTACTCAACAAAAACATTCTTCTAAACAGGTGCCTACTTGATGAAAGTCCAAGAAAAGTAGCGAAAGACAGTACTATACTGGGCAGTAGCAAAACCTAATCAGTGCTTATTTTATTATTCTATATCATATTTTAAAACAGTATACTTGATAACTGTTATTGGGTCCACCGTTCCACACGTATTTTTAAAGGCATTCAGATTTGCAGTACAAAATGCCTCAATATACAACACAAATCGGCATGGGTTGATTCAATCTACCAGTAAAATTAAGTAGCGTTCTACTTCTCTTTTTATAATTCATACGTCATGGTCTAGATTGTGCTCATCGAGAAAAATAAATGCTTCGTAGAATAAAACAAGTTCACCACACATACCGAAAGACAAAACATGAGAATTGGATGTTCAGATGTCATAAACTTGCTGAAGATATTCAATCGGCTTTGTAAACGATGGTATAAATAATTTGTTACTTTTAAGAGCGCCATTTCAAAGTGATTATGACGTTTAAAGAAGACTTTGGGATAAAAAAAGAAAGATTTGTCCCCATGACGAACTAAGATACAGAATAGAATATTACGTTTATCGGTCTGTTTCGGAATAATTCAGCTAGGCCCGCCAATCAAGACTAAACAGATTGCGAAAAGGATAACATACTTAAGCTGACGCAAAACAGCCTCTGCATTATGCATTACAAAACAAGAAAAACAGTCTTTATGAATGTAAATATGCAACGTAATGAATGTAATGTAAATGTATTTTATGGGTGCAAATGGCTTGGTTGGTATCGCCAGAAAGATTCAAATTTTATTTTTGTTCGAACAGAAACTAAATAGTGGCACAAAATTTAAATTGAGATGAAACAAAAGGAGCACTGTGCAAGGAAATGATTCTTACTACAATATAGAGTGTAAATTTTTGACAGATTCATACCACTGCAGACACAGGCTTGCTTCATGCCTCAAATTACAAAAAAGAATACGTTTTGAGAAACCTGTTTCACAAATACCACCAACGAAGTTGTAAATCAAGGCAATTAAGAATATATTAGAAGGAGTAAGATTAAAAAAGATCTTGAAATAATCAGTGAAGTGATTAAGACCACCATATATTATGGAACGCAGTCTATAGCTGCTGTCTGCTCACTTGGATCTCAACAAGATAAATTGGGTCCTCCAACCTTACAATAGAACTTAAGTAGTTCAGCATTAAAAAACTTCAAATTGATCTTCTTACTAATGTTTTTACCCCAGCTTTAAACCCAGAAAATATCTTTAGACGATTACCTGGGCAAGCATCTTAAAAACCGAGACATGCAGATATCAATGTCTCAAAATACGATCTGAAAGCTGACAGTAATGAGACAATTCTAATCAGCAGATAGCGTTTCATTTAAGCAATTTGAAAAGGCAATAAAGTTTATAAAGAGACGGGAGATGAGATTAATACAATGGGCTAATAATAAATTTGAACTATGGGTGGGGAAAATGGAATTTTAATTCCAAACCTGATAGTGGATGATTTTCTAGTGATTTTTAAAAAGATATGAGCTTAATTTTGTAATTTCATGGAAATGAATAATTGAAAATATATGACTGCATTTTTACGTTATTAAGAATCTTGATATGAAAATTAAAGAAGGGGAAGAATTTTGATTTTATAAATTAAAAACCGTCATATTGAAGAAAGTAAAGGTTTATTATACAAAAATCATGCTGGAGCAGACAAAATTGAGAGGTAGCTGTTAATTTAATCTAGAAAAGTAAATTAACAGAACAAAACAGAGTTAATCTTATATGCCATTATACGACTAGCTTAAGATAAAATATCCTAAGACAGGGTCAACGAAATGAGAGGATAAACTGTATACAAGACTTAGGCTGTGAAAGATAAGGCTTCTTCTAGACTTCTAGACGATATCTTCATGTGTTCGCAATTTCTCTTTAATCTCAATAAAATCATTTGCAGAAATCAATTATAGGAGAGCTACAACTGAACTACACAGTAGGTAAAGAATTCTTAATCTTATGAAAGGAACCATACAAAACAAAAGTTTGCCAGGCCAGCTGATGAGAGTAGTGGTGATTAGAATTATAGATTTCATATCCTTTAAAACATTATTCACAGATTTTCTATAAAGGATTAAGTTTGAAGTTCGGTGCTTTACATAGCTCGCTCGTTTACCAACTCGTATGATTTATAATTTCTTTCATTCATCAACCTTCATTTCAACGATGGCCCAACGTTAAAATTTCATACCCTGTGCATCTTTCCTCTTGTCTTACAAAATGAAAACGCTTCAAATTGAAAAACAGTAATCTCATGCTCTTTTTCATGGGTGTCCATGCCAATCTGCAAGCATGTTCAATTGCTTTATCTTAATCGTAAAACAGCAAACAGGGGGAAAGTAGCTGCAAATATTTTTTTCCATTGAAAAATGAAGAAGGCAAAACTGTTCCATGTCAGCAATTGTTCCATGTTACACGTCCCATTGAAAAATATATACAGCTATAAATGTATTGCACGCTTTGTTTATGGAAACAGCCCTCGTAAGAAACATCAGGCTGAGATTTGTCCAAAAATAAGAACAGCATAAGAAACAAGGCAGGCTAAAATTCAAGAAAACTCAAGAAAAGAAATACCAGCAAAAATTTAAAAAATGAGAGAATAGCAACAGAAAAGCAGAAAGCGTTAAGCAAAATAGCATTAATTACTTTAGCAAACACAGGTCATGTCTGGACACTACTATGCACAGGAAATTCCATTACAAAAATAAGAAACAAAATAAGAAACATGTGATTCGGAAATTATCCGAAGAAACAATAAACGCCAGGGTGAAACTGGAGCCAAGCGTTCTTATAAAAAGAGCGTACACAGTAAATTTCTACTGACATTTAGCACGGGTGCTTTT